GATTGTGCTACACAGTCTTCCCAAAACCAGATGCTGTTTTTCACCAAGAGTGGATTTGGTAGAAGAGTCAAATCCAAAACGTTTACTTCTAAGTAGCAAATTATAGTTGCTTTTTTAGGGAGAGGATAAGTCATAACATATATTTCTTTCTGCTCTATTTCAGTAATGGATTAGATCAGTGGTGGCGAACCTATGGCACATATGCCAGAGGCGACATTCAAGAGCCCTCTCTGTGGGCACATGCGCTATGCCCTGGAGATGGCAATTGTCCCTCTTCAACCAGCTGCCCGCTAACTCGCCGAGGTCCCATGTGGCCAGATGCATCCCAGCACAGCTGGTTTCCCTCCCCCCCCCATCCCATCCCTCCTTGTCTCACATGCTCTCCTTTTCCCGGGCATGACCCACTGAATCACTTCCACAGCTGTCAGCCGGCCGGCCAGCTCAGAGGCAGCTTCTCTGAAATACTGGCGGCGGGCTGTGGAGCCCCAGAGTGCACCAGTCAAGGGGCCGGCAGGCTGTGGCTGCTGACGGACACTGTTGACCCCCATGTGCTCGCTGGCGTTTGTGTGCGGGGGCTGATGGTGTCAGGCAGCAGCTGCCCTGGCCCCTGCCTCACCTTGCCCTGCGACAAAGGCACCCTGCCCTGTCTTGCCTTGCCTCACTTCACCCTGCAGGACAAGCCTCCTGCCCACCGCCCCACCTGCCAGAGACCCCCTGGATCTTCCCCCCAACCCTGCCCAGCCTCCAGAGGTGTCCCTCCCCACGAGCAACATCGAGGTGAACATGCCCAACTTGGCCACACCCACCCAGTCTGCCATGACCACCACAGCCACGCCTACCCAGTGGGCCACACCCACCTGGCACCCGGTGATAAATAAGTAGGTTTGGGGTTGCAGTTTGGGCACTCGGTCGCTCAAAGGTTCGCCATTAGATCTTAGGAAGCAAAGTTGTTGTTTTTTTGCCTAAGTTACAATGAAATAATATATCCTGCTCCCAATTTGTCTAAGTTGGGACATGAAGATTAACATAATACTATTATACTTTTTCGGTATGTATAATCTTTGGTCCCCAAATTTCCTTTTTTGCAGACCTCCCCAAGCCCAATCTGATCATGACAGCTGAAAATGGGTTTATTTTTCTGCTGTGTTGACACCTGAAACAAATGAAACCTACTGTGTAAGCCCAAAATTAGGTATACTAAGTAAAAAAAAAAAGATCCTAACTATCTTTTAAAAAATATTTCAAACGCAGTCTTAGTTGCCAAAATGTTGCCAGTCTCTACCATGTAAGCCAAGGAGAATCAACCAGGTATCCTACTGAATTCCAGATGACAGGTTCCATAATCCTGATCCACTTGCAGAAGCTGATTCATCTATCTATACCAGGGGTAAGCAACCTTGGCTCTTTTATGACTCGTGGACTTCAAACTCCCAGAATTCCTGAGCCAGCCATGCTGAGGGGAAAGGGAGAGTTTCCAAGCTGAGCCATGGTGGCTCAGGAATTCTGGGAGTTGAAGTCCATGAGTCATAAAAGAGCCAAGGTTCCCTACCCCTGATCTATACAGAAACACAAAATTTTGGAGGGCACCCTCTTGTTCACTCCCACTAGAGCAGTGGTTCTCAACCTTTTTAATGCCGTGACCCCAACCGGTTGTAAATCGAGGACTACCCAACCGGTCCTAAGTCGAGGACTACCCAACCGGCCGTAAGTCGAGGACTTCCCTGACTGGGAGCCCCGTGCATGCGTGGTGCTGCCCCCTGTGCCGGCCAAGGCGTAGCTGCCAAGGGGCAGCGACGGCGCAGGGTGACCACTGGCTAGGCCACCAGCTGGCCCAGCCCAAGGGAGGTAAGGCACCCGCCGGGCCCCACGCGTGCCAGCAACCCTCCCTACGCCTCCGGCCTCCCACCCCTGGCCCTCTTTTACTTACATTTTTAGTAGTTGCTCAGCAGGGAGGGGTGGAAACTTCCAGACAGCTCGCCTTCGCTGCAGACAACTTGCAGCACCGTTTGCAGAATGGGACTTTTGGCAGGTTCAGCAGGGCACAGGCAGCCTGGACAATTCCTATTGGCTTTTGAAAGCCAATAGAATTAGACTCTATTCAAGAGAGTCTATTCTATTGGCTTTCAAAAGCCAATAAAATAAAAGAGAGTAGCACAGGTAAGGAAAAGGGGGAAAAAATGGCGGACTGTGTTGTTTGGCGACCCCCGTGAAATGGTTGTTCGATCCCAAATGGGGTCGCGACCCACAGGTTGAGAACCGCTGCACTAGAAGCTGCTGTAATGAGGAAATCACTCCCCTTTACCCACTGCACCATAACACCCATTTCCGTTTGTTCCTTATGTTATCTTTTCTTTTTTTCTTACTAATATCCAACATGCTCTAATGATTCACTGCAATACAAAAGAAGTGTTTTTTTCATGAAGTTTATTTCAATTTCATTTAAATTAAAACTCTTAATTAGAAAAAAAATCATTTTTTAAAAAACTGCAAACTTTAGAAATGCACACAGTGCAGAGAGACTAGATTGGGGGGGGGGGGAAATCACAGGTCCAGTTTGATTAGGAAGATAACATTGAGGGGTTTACCCCCTAGAAGACATCTTCTGCCCATGTTCCACTTCTAGCATGGAAAGCAAGGGAACAGTTCAGCCTCACTCAGTGTACACACACAATCACACGCATATCACCACCAAACACCTTGCTACCAAAAGAAGAAAATCCCAAAGTTTGAAACTGCTATCTTGCTAGAGACTTGTATTAGTAATAGCAACTCGGATCAAGGGCCAAAAGGATCACCCAGGAATGGTGCAAATATTCAAAGGTCACAGTAAAAAGGTCAAAACAGAAGTGCAAGGGTTCCCAGGTAAATTGCTGTTGCTCGAAGCTCGCTCACGGGGGTACAGTGCAGAGGTTTACAGAACTTGAACTTTCAAGATGACAAAGTTAAAGCTTGGTTCAGGAGGTCACAGTTGAGAGGTCAAAAGGCCACCACGGAAAATAAACTACCACAGTTCAAAGAACACCACAGAGACACTTCCAGATTTCTTCACACAAGGGTCACGTCTAGAGATCAGAGGTCAGCGTGAGGGGGAAAAAAACCAACCGCTCAAATCTCCCTGAGGAAAGGTTTCAACAGAAACAGCGGTCATGATGAAGAGGTTACTTTCTGAGGAGAATCCCTGGCGAAAGAGGCACGGGTCAAGGAGGAAGAAACAATGGCCACTGGCTGCAGAGGCTCTCAGAGAGAATGATTAACATTTCACCATTCAGACAAGACTCAAAGCCCGATTACAGCTGGACTGCAATAGCAAATGTCAGGACAGCTCAGGCCACCACACAGTTCTTGTCCCGGACCACACGCAGTCTTCGGCGCTGCCTTTTGCAAGCTGATTCACTGGGTGGCGTGACCTCTGGGGAACTGGCTCCAACACGCAAATGGGGTGGCAGGGGTATGGGCTCCCCTAGAAAGTAGCCTTCTTCCTCCGAAGATGAATCGGAGGACTCGGAGGAGCTGAAGTCCCATCCCCTGGGAGGGTAGCGCCGGTGCCAGGCAGGAAAAGCACTCTCCGAAGCTGAATAGGACAGGTTGGCTCCCTTCCTTTCCCCCCTCCCCTTCCTTGGCCTCCAGTCCTGGCTCCCCAGGTTGAGAGAGTTATCTGAAGTGGAGCGAGGGTGTCCCCGGATGGCTCCCCCCTTCTGCAGCACAGAGGTCTCCAAGGAGGCTTGCTCAGGGGAAGGGGTGCTGGGCTCTCCCGAGATTAAGGGTTCCCGGAAGCTAACCCGGGGTATTCCTCCCCGGGCAAAAGTCCCGGGCTCTCTGCCCTCGCTGAGTCGTGGCCGGGCAGAGGCTTGAATTTTGGAAGTGGAACTGCTGCTCCAGTCAGAGGTTTTGGAAGAGGACATCCCCAGCTCCGGCATAGAGTGGCGCAAAGGGGAGGTGCGCTGGAAACGTGGTTGGAGCTCGGTCCCTGAGGAGAAACCAGATGGTTAGTGGCAGGGACGGGGCTAAGTCTCAAAGCTAGAAGCCTTCCCCAACTAGCCCTGCACACCCGCAACATTCTTGTTCCATTTTGCTCTACCTCACCTGTCCCTGGTTCCTGGTCAGTGGCTGGGGGCAGGCAAGTTGACGTTCCCCGGGAAGCCCGTTCCACTGGCTCCTCACAACTCTGGCTGTAGCCGGAACCATTGCTGTCTGGATCAGATAGCTCTTCCATTTCCGTCGGCACCTCCTCTTCCTCATCCCCAGGCGCCCCACTCCAGCTCCTTCGGGTCCTTGGGGTAGAGTCCGATGGTACCGTCTTCCCCGCAAAGGAAATGGAGCGGGTGATGGAAGAGGGTGATGTGCCCTGAGACTGAACTCGGCGTTGCTGCCAGCTGGTCCTCCGAGCATCCTGAGGACGGGTGCTCTGCAAGGCAGAGTCACAGGAATCCGAGCCGTTGGGATCTTCACCGAGGCTGCAGGCCCGGGAACAGAAGATCTGACCCTGCTTGGGCAGGAAAGGCTTCCCCAGGAGGGGTTGCTGGCAACGGGAGCAGCTGAAACAGGCATTGGTGGCGTGCCAGTGCTGGCCCTCGTAGGTCATCTGACCCTGGTCAATACCTGCAAGGAAGGAACAAGGCCAAACCATTGGATGGGTTTAAGCACTTTGTCTCAAAACTCACAAAAGCTGGAAGGTCTTGCCAAAGAAGGTGATCTATTCCATCTACAAAAAACACATCCTCCTCCTATTTCTAGATTTTGCAAAGAGGATGAAGCAGCTGTTTTTTTTTTAAATGATAAAAAGCATTCTCTCTAAGTCAAAAGGTTGGAGAGCTGGCATTGAAGCCCTGTTCTGGAAAAAGCTTTATCCTGCCTCATTTAAAGCCCTGCCAAAGCCAACGCTGAGAACTTAGATTCATTTAGGAAACAGCAATCAGATATCTTTGCAACCTTGTTAGAAAACCAACGATGGAAGAATAGCTCCATTCCACGTCCTCCCACTTGGATCCAGTCCTGTCTATTATTCTTGCAAACAAGAATGAAATAAATCCTAAATCATTTGTCTGAAAAATGAATAACTAATGCCCAAATAAAATTCCTTTACATGTGTTCATTCGTATTACACCACATCCCTGATGGTATTTTTTGATGGCACTAAGCAGGACTTGCAGGAAAACCTCCACACTGTGGAATCTCCAGTTGCTATAAACCAGCAATAAACATTCAAGCTTTACACAACATGTTACAATGTGTTTTGATTAACCATGATTTGTTAAAGTTTCCTGGTTTCTCATACAGCATTGAACCATCATGCATGGCATATAAACCAGAATGACTCACACAACATATTATATTGGTGGGATATGGGATTCTGGAGGTAACCAATGGTTTCACTTTTGGTACTGATCATAAATGCATCTTCATAACTTCACCACTGCTTCAGGGCTGGGAATTCAAAGGAATCTTGAAGAAGAAAATGTGGGCTTTGCAGGAGCCTTATCTTGCCTAATAACAACCCAACGTTTCTTAAACTTTTTTCTTCCGGACCCCTCACCCCTTTTAATAATTATGGAGGACCTAAAAGAGCTTTTGCTTATATGATTACTCACCAATGGATAACTCACCATATGATAACTTTATCCGTATTTAGCGTGCTAAAAATTAAAATTGAGGCATTCACTGCCACTACTGCTTCTCATAGTTGTTTGATGGGATTTTAATCCTACAGATAGTCCTCGACTTGCAACCACAATTGAGCCCAAATTTCTTTTGCTAAGTGAAACAGTTGTTAAGTGAATTTTGTCCCATTTTAAACCTTTCAATGAATCTGGCTTCCCCACTGACTTTGCTTGTTCGAAGGTCGCAAAAGGGGATCATGTGATCCCAGGATACTGCAACCATCGTAAATATGTTTCGATTGCCAAACGTCTGAATTTTGATCACGTGACCACGGGGATGATGCAACGGTTGTGTGAAAAATGATTGTAACTTTTTTCAGTGCTCTTATAACTTTAAACGGTCGCTAAATGAACTGTTGTAAGTCGAGAACTACTTGTATATTATTTTTCAACATAGGCTGGCAAATAACGTTGAGTTTGCCAATCCCTGAGAGAGTCCTAGGGGGCCACCAGGGGTCCTAGGACCACCCATTAAGAAATGCTGGTAGAATCCAGCCCTCCCATTCTCCGGGCACCAGGTTGTCTTACCAATGTGCTCCCCGCATGCATCGCAGTATTCTGCATACAGGCTCTCATAACAATGGCAGCAATAGGGGCGACGTTGGCGCATGATGTATCGTTGCCCACCCAGGGCTTCCTCACACTCAAAGCAGCAGAAATGGCGCATGTGCCAGTGACGGGCTTCAGCTTCTGTGCACTCATCTGCAAAGATGATCTGTTCCGGGAAAGCAGGGAGATGGGTCCAAGGAGGAGACCATGGGGGAGGTGTGGGGGAATAAAGATTAGGAGAAAAATCCTGCAGTACTAAAAGTTGTTCCCATCTTCATCACACACCAAATGTTACAACCTTTCACAAGTATCCTTGGAACTTTACGAGCATAATTTATTGTTTTTATTATAAGCTGCCTAAGTCATGTTATTGAGATGGATGGCCATATAAATGCATTAGATAGATAGATAGATGGATAGATGGATAGATGGATAGATGGATAGATAGGTAGATAGATAGATAGATAGATAGATAGATAGATAGATAGATAGATAGATAGATAGATAGATAGACAGACGATAGATAGATAGATAGATAGATAGATAGATAGATATAGATACAGACGATGATAGATAGATAGAGACAGACAGACGATGATAGATAGATAGATAGATAGATAGATAGATAGATAGATAGATAGATAGATAGATAGATAGATAGATAGATAGATAGATAATTCCAAAAACTACCCTCTTCTCATTGATTTACTTTTCATAAATTGTCCAGCAGATTTGCAACTGGGGATTGAAGGATAGTCTTCAGGGATAGAACTTCAAAAAGCAGCCAAAAACAATATCAAAGATTTCCAAGATTTTAAAATTAAATGGCCAAAATCTTGCTTGTCTGCAAGACAGGATGTTCTCACAAGTTTTCAGGCAAGATTTCTGGATACTTGGAGGTGAGGTCACACAAAATATTGGAATGAGTTCACCTGAAATGTTTGCCACTCCCTCCCAGGAAAGCACAGAAATAAGAAATACAGAGAGCTGGTTTCACACAGAACTATTATATAAATTTGTGTGATTGCCCAATTTATGTATAATCTGGGAGAGAAGAGGTTTATATTTAGCATCTTGGTTGCTGCCAAGATCTCTTACGCTTTGTCACTTTTCTCCTAGCCTGGTTCAGTTGTTCTAATAACAGAACTGAGCTGGAAGAGCCCGAGTATGATAAAGCAGAAAGCTCTAAAATCAGAAAGAATTCAACTGCCTACCCTCACTTAACCTACATACAACAAGGGCAGACATCTGAATCAATGGTGCCTACATTCCATTAGCTCCCCACAAAAACACATCACATCTAACTTGTCCGTAAATGAAAATTAAAGTAACTTACCAAAAGCACTCTGATAATTCATGAATAAGATGACCTATTTAGTCATAATAACAGTTTTGAACCTGTTGTTTCTTCCACTCATGGTAGCAAGTTATATTAATGAAGAAAACTACTGGTCCATCCCTCATTAAGTAGCCCATGCTTGCTTCTTAAAACAAAGCTATTTCTCGCTTCAGAGGTTGAATCCATTGATTTTAAAGCCAAGGTAAATTTTAATCATGGTTTATTGCTGAGGCTAGAATTAGTTCTACAGACTATCAAAGTAACCATAGCTTATATAGCGCACAGTATTATGCTACTCACTCAGATACTATTCCAAATATCTTTGATTCTAAAAGGTATTTCTAAAGGTGTTTTGAGCCCGTTTATTCCATTATTTATTCTTCACCAGGAGTCAGTGGGGAAATCTGTGGTTTTAGGGAATCTTTTTGTGAGTTTAGTCTTTGAGAGACTCTGGCATGGGGGCTGCAGGTACATGTTTCTAGGTTTCTCTAACTGTGCATTTGTTAGCATTGTGTGACAAATTATTTTGAAGTGTGAAAGGTATATTTTGTCTATGTTTTTAGAGGGATTGATGAGGATAGCTGTGCATTTTTATGCTGGGAGTGTGCTTTGACTTTGTGAGGTGGGTAATTTGCTACACTCCGATAGGACAAATATATGGTTTGCCATATGAAAGTCAGATCTTCACATTTACCAGTTGCTCCAGAAGAAAGAGACACTAAAAGAAGAACTATTGCCAGAAAAAATGTAGTGGGTTGGGGATGAGGAAGGCTAGATTATCCAGAGGAGTGATGTTCTTTTTAGTCTTTAAGAGACAGTTCTTAATTTCCTTTGCACGATACTGCTGTAGATTGGCATGAAATTTGGGTAGAGGATAAAAATAAAGCAGGACAAGTTCTAACACAAAGAACAATCGTGGTTAAAATAGGTGAACTTCAAATCATGGTTTAAAATTACGGCTAATTGTAAAATACCTATCATTATATATTACCTGAGGTGAGTTTGCACCTTTAAACAAACCACAGATAAACTAAAAAAAAAAAGCACCGTCTTATTGTTATGTGGAAACCAAGCCAAAGTAACATTTGGACAGTTCACTTTAAAGAAGTGTTTTCAATCTCAGCAACTTTAAGACATGTGGAAAGTTTCTGAGAGTTTAAGTCCACAGATCTGAAAGTCGCTGTGATTGATAAACACGGCTTTAAAGCATGCGTGTATATCAGGGGTCTTCAAACTTGGCCCTTTTATGACTTGTGGACTTCAACTCCCAGAATTCTTCATCCAGGCACGCTGGCTAAGGAATTCTGGGAGCTGAAGTCCACAAGTCATAAAAGGGCCAAGTTTGAAGACGCCTGGTGTATATTCTCAACTAACACAAATGATCCCAGCTGCTCAACTTCCCCATTTCCCATTCTGGGAAGCCTTTCATAGGCTCCCGGCTGCTCTACTTAGAGTCTGGCTGAACCTTCTCACCTCATCACAAGCTTCGCAGCGTGGCTTGAGGCGCTCGGCATGGTGGCGCCCACAGTAGATTTTGCCCTCCTGGTAGAAGTAAATCAGGTCAACGAGGAGCTCCCGACACGTGGTACAAACAAAGCACTGAGGGTGCCAGCAGGCACCATGCCCAGCTCGACTGGCAAAAACAGCAATGTCCCCTCCGCAAATCTGTTTTCCACACTGCCAAGAAAAGAAGTACAAGTCAAAATCTTCGAAAAGCACACACAATGGATTCAAAGCTGTTGTTTTGAGCTCCGAGCTTGGCAATTTGGTTGCAAAAGTTTCATCACCATTCAATGGATTCAGCTTCCAGAACTCCTTTAGGTAAGGAATGTTTCCAGTTTATAAATGTTAGGGGCACTCCAGAGAGTCACCCGTGGTTTTTTTTTCTTTTTCCCACAGCGAGACCATATTTCTGGCACACGTATTTGCTTCAGGCATCCAGGTTTTCTGCCCTTAAGTCAGCCGTTCTCTGCGGGTGACGTATTTTCCAAGCACTCTAACCACATTAGTACACTAAGAAAAAAAATTAATTTGGTTGAAGGGAATTCCAAAGATGCTGGCGATCTCTGACATTTCATTCTACTTGAAAACATTTTATCACAGGAGCTCTTCCTAACTCACTGAAAGCTTTTGAGATTTTATAAGCAACTGAATAAAGAATACAACTGAGAAATGTCATTTTCCAAATTTCACAGGCGTAATTTAACAAATAAGCATATTCTGAATCGACTTGCTGGGGCTGCTCCTATGTATAATTTGTATTCAATTTAAAATGTATATATATTTCTGGACTTTTCACTTAGGTGAATTTAAGGAAAGGTAAACGGAATCATTTAGAAACAATAGATGTTTCTTTCTTTTAACTGTGTTAAGAGCTATACCCTAATGGAAGCCAATGAAGCACTAGAGGGCAGACTTGATCCACCCAGTATATTTCTTTTCTTTTTGCTACCACCAATGTTTCTCAACCTTAGCAACTTTAAGATGTGTGCCCTTTAAGAATTCTCCAGACGGCTACACCCTGCCTTGGCAGTCCATGTTCTCTCAAAATCACATCCTGACCTGATACTTGAAAGAACCCTTTTAAAACAAAAAAAACCAAAAAAACCCCAAAACCCTCTGTGGAAGAGACAAGGCGGAGCCAACCTGGAGACAAATACAGATGAAGAATGGTTGCAGGATTTGGGTATGGCCAGTCTAGAGAAAAGAGGGACATGATGGCAGCATTCCAGTATTTGAGGGGATGCCACAAAGAAAAGGGGGTCAACTTATTTTCCAAAGCACCAGAAGGCAAGACAAGAAACAATGGATGGAAACTACTCAAAGAGAGAAGCAACTTAGAATTAAGGAGAAATTTCCTAACAGTGAGGACAATTAACCAGTGGGACAACTTGCCTCCAGAAATTGTAGGTGCTTCATCACTGGAGGTTTTTTAAGAAGAGACTAGACAGTCACTTGTCTGAAAGGGTCTCCCGCTTGAGCAGAAGGGCTGGACTAGAAGACCTCCAAGATCCCTTCCAGCTCTATTCTGATTGATTGAACCTAGAGTAGTTAACAGACTGAAGCCTGGCATAGCTTCACGCTTTTAAACTTTTCCAAACACTGCTTTCAGTCTGAAATCAGGACCTAGACTAAACAGATTATATTATATTATATTATATTATATTATATTGTATTGTATTGTATTGTATTGTATTGTATTATATATTGTATTGTATTGTACTGTATTGTATTGCATTACATTGCACTGTATTATACTATACCAGTGATGGCAAACCTTTTAGAGATCGAGTGCCCCAAAACCGCCTTGCCCCCTGCCCTTACTCCACACCCGCTCCTCCCCCTGCTCCACCCCTGCTCACTCGCAGGGCCACCCACCATCTCCACAGCCCACCGCATATCGCCCAGGCAGCCCTGTAGCGCCATGGCAGCCATGCCCTCCACCCGCACCTAGCAGCAGCATCTACATGTGTCGGGGTGCAAAGGTGGAGTCTTGTCCCTGCTGCCTGGCTGCTATGTTCTTGGCTGTACTGCTCTGTGCAGGCCGTGCCGGGGGTAACTCTCCAGGGGGGCTGCTGGTGAGGAGGGGGCCGCTGGGGGAGGTGGGGCTGGGGCAACAGCATGTGTGCCCACAGAGAGGGCTCTGAGTGCCGCCTCTGGCACACGTGCCATAGGTTCGCCACCACTGTGCTATGCTATGCTATGCTATGCTGTGCTATGCTATGCTATACTACATCAAAACTTAAAAATTAAAAAATGAAAAATAGAATATTTCGGGCATGTGATGTGACACCCAGAAAAATACAGCATACTCCATTTAATCCTCCAGGGAAAGATTGAAGGCAAACGAGGTCCAGGCAGAAGAAGAACATCGTGGCTTCAAAATCTAAGGTATTGGTTTGGACAAAAACAGGATCGCCAACATGATCGCCAATGTCCGATAACGGATATGGCACAAGAATAATACTATACTATACTACACTACACTACACTACACTACACTACACTACACTACACTACACTACACTACACTATACTCCTTTTCCAAACATGTAAGTAGCTGTTTTAAAGTGAGCCATGCCTGTAAATTGATTTGCTACTGAAAATCACCCCCCTAGCAGCGGCCATTTTCAGTCAGAAGTGCTGCTTACTGAAAAGACTCAGGAAGAAGAGAGGTCTTTCAGCAGAGGAGATTCAACACAGAATTTGTTCCAGGTTAATGTTCTGTGGCTGCCTTTTTCTTCAAAATAAAAGTAAGCTCTTGTTCCCTTTTTGCCCACCACCAATGATAAAATCTCATGTCCAAACAATTTTTGCCCGGCAGCAGATACATTTGCACAGGCAGATTTCTGAACTTTTATTAATCATTAATTCACTTTCATAAATATTAACTCAGTTATGTGAATATTGCAAAGATATAGCATGTAGAGAGACATTTTGGTGTAATGATTGAGGTATCAAGTTAAAAACTGGGAAATTATAAGTTCTAGTCCTGCCTTAGGCACAAAGCCATGTGGATGACCTTGGACCCAGTCATACTCTCTCAGGCCCAAGAAGCAGACAAGGGCAAACCTTTTATTTATTTATTTATTTTATAATTTATTAAATTTAGAGGCGACACTTCCAGTTTCCTTGCCAAGAAAACTGCAGGGATTTGTCTAGCAGTCACCAGGAGTCAACACTGACTCAAAGGCACCAAAAAAAAAAAAAAAAAAAGCATGGAGAATGGACATTCAAAAATGTCCTTGTTGTGATTACAGAATTCTACAGGCAGGCAAAAACCTTTTGGTAAGCAAAAAAGAAACAAGAACAAAAGTGTCCACTTTATGCATATTGGGTTTGTATGTCACACTAAGGCAAAATCAGACCACACTGTAGCTCAGTGCAATGTGCAAAGTTCAAAAGAGCAGAAACTGTTGTTCATCCAAGGGGGCATCTGATCTTAACCAGTGGCTTCTCCCAGCCCTGCTCTCCCTATTAACTTTTCATTTGGACTTACAAAATGAACCTTGGGATCTTTTATACATAAATCATGTTTTAAAATACCCCAAACCACCCCCTGCCTGAAGACTAAAGTCCAGGAAAATCCTTACCATTTGATTCTATCAAAGGCAGACCCTACACCTAATATCTCATCTTACACTTGTGGCAAGATGGGCGGCCCATAAATTTTATAAACAAATAAAAATGCTAGATAAATACTTCTGAAATAAAGGAACAGGCCTCCAGGGTTCAAAGACTGTAATTTACAGGGAAGGGTTGTATTGTACATCTTTCCCTTTAATAAGCACAATTCTTTTTCATGCTACTTAAGAGTTGATAATAAAAGAGGCTGGTTTATACTTTATTAGTTTATAATGTCCAGGAGTCTCTAAATGAAACTCTGTGAAGCACCTGAGCCTTCAAGGAAAATGAAGCGGCTAGTGTGGCTCCACACAGTTTCACTTAGAGACTCCTGCATATCTTGGGGGCAGTATCACTAATCCCCAAATACAAGTAGTGAGTCATGCAAGCTGCTTCAGCCTCTTTTATTATAAAACAATAAAGTATAAACCAACCTCTTTTATTATAAACTCTTAAGTAGCATGATAAAGAATAGTTCCCTTATTGGCACAAAATATTCAAGAGCCGATTTTATTGGATACATGGGAGATAATTTGAGTTAGAAATGTAAAATTTACTCAAGCTCAAAGTTTGAGAGAAAATTTTTATAAAATGTTTTATAGGTGGCATTTGGATCCCCAAAAGTTGTCTTGTAGGTATCCTAACTTGCAGCCCAAATGTTGGAGATGTGGTAGTTTGGATGCAACTTATTTTCATATTTGGTGGACTTGTAGAAATGTAAAAGCTTTTTGGATTAAAATTTGGTGGAACATTCAGAATATTTTTAAAAGAAAGATGAAGTTTACTCCTCAACTATTTTTGTTGGGTATTATTGTAGACTTTGATGTTAAGGAAATTAATTTGATGTTGAATTTAATAACAGCAGCAAGGCTGTTGGTAGGGCAATAATGGAAGAAGGATTGTTTGCCTACTATAGAAGAATGGACGCTTAAAGTGTCAAATTTAGCAGAAATGGCTAAGATTTCTGCTTATTTGAAGGATTATTCACAAGAAAGATACATTTCGGTTTGGAGAAAATGGATAGATTATATTCAGAATAAAAATGGGACTAAAAGTTCCATTTATTTTATGAATAAATTTTAGAATATTATTACTGTTATTATTATTATTAATAGTTTAGTATAGTGGAAATTTTATGATATTGTGTTGTTTATAAATTGGGATTTTAATTTGTTTATATGATTAAGTTTATTCTCAAATTGTTTACTTTGTGTTAAAAGAGAGTTAAAGCACATTATATTTGTTTATCTATATAGTTGGTTATCCCCTTTATGGATTACTGCCTTGTCGTGGCGAAGGGGCTTGCGTAACTCAATGAAGCTATAAGCTATGCCGTGCAGGGCCACCCAAGACGGACAGGTTATAGCAGAGAGTTCTGACAAAATGTGATCCACTGGAGAAGGAAATGGCAAACCACTCCAGTATCTTTGCCATGAAAACCCCATGGACAGTACTAAAAGGAAAAAAGATATGACGCTGGAAGATGAGCCCCTCAGGTCGGAAGGTGTCCAATATGCTACTGGGGAAGAGCAGAGGGCTAGTACTAGTAGCGCCAGAAAGAATGAAGCGACTGGGCCAAAGCCGAAAGGACGCTCAGCTGTGGATATATCTGGTGGTGAAAGGAAAGTCCGATGCTGTAAAGATTTTTTCTCCATAGGAACCTGGAATGTAAGATCCATGAATCAAGGCAAGCTAGACGTAGTCAAAAAAGAGATGACAAGACTGAACATCGACATCTTAGGAATCAGCGAACTAAAATGGACAGGAATGGGTGAATTTAACTCAGATGACCATCAGGTATACTACTGTGGGCAAGAATCCCTCAGAAGAAATGGAGTAGCCTTCATAGTCAATAAAAGAATAGGAAAAGCAATACTGGGATACAATCCCCAAAATGACAGAATGATCTCAATTCGAATCCAAGGCAAACCATTCAATATCACAATAGTCCAAATCTATGCCCCAACCACTGGTGCTGAAGAGGATGAAATTGACCAGTTCTATGAAGCCCTACAGCACCTTATAGAATTAACACCAAAAAATGATGTCCTTATCATCATGGGGGATTGGAATGCTAAGGTAGGAAGCCAAAAGATAACCGGAATAACAGGCAAGTTTGGCCTTGGAGAACAAAATGAAGCAGGGCACAGGCTAATAGAATTTTGTCAAGAGAATACGATGGTCATAACAAACACTCTTTTCCAACAACCCAAGAGACGGCTCTACACATGGACATCACCAGACGGTCAACATAGAAATCAGATTGACTATGTACTCTGCAGCCAAAGATGGAGAAGCTCTATACAGTCAGTAAAAACAAGACCAGGAGCTGACTGTGGCTCAGATCATGAGCTTCTCGTTGCAAAATTTAGGCTTAAATTGAAAAAAGTAGGGAAAAGCACTAGGCCACTCAGGTATGAACTAAATCATATTCCTGATGAATATACAGTAGAGGTGACAAATAGATTTAAGGAACTGGATCTGATAGACAGAGTGCCTGAAGAACTATGGATGGAAGTTCGCAACATTGTACAAGAGGTAGCAACTAAAACCATCCCAAAGAAAAAGAAATGCAAGAAAGCAAAATGGCTGTCTCAGGAAGCTTTGCAAATAGCTGAGGAAAGAAGGGAAGCGAAAGGCAAAGGAGAAAGAGAAAGATACACCCAATTGAATGCAGAATTCCAGAGAGTAGCTAGAAGAGATAAGAATGCCTTCTTAAATGAACAGTGCAAAGAAATAGAAGAAAACAACAGAATAGGGAGGACCAGAGATCTCTTCAAGAAAATTGGAGATATGAAGGGAACGTTTCATGCAAAGATGGGCATGATAAAGGACCAAAATGGCAGAGACCTAACAGAGGCAGAAGAGATTAAGAAGAGATGGCAAAACTACACAGAAGAACTATACAAGAATGAGCTTAACATCCCAGATAACCACAATGAGATGGTCACTGACCTCGAACCAGACATCCTAGAATGTGAAGTGAAATGGGCCTTAGAAAATCTGAGCAACAACAAAGCTAGTGGAGGTGACAGTATTCCAGCTGAGCTATTCAAAATCTTAAAAGACGATGCAGTAAAAGTGCTACACTCAATTTGCCAGCAAATTTGGAAAACTCAACAGTGGCCACAGGATTGGAAAAGGTCAGTTTACATTCCAATTCCAAAGAAAGGCAATGCCAAAGAATGTTCAAACTATCGCACCATTGCACTCATTTCACATGCTAGTAAAGTTATGCTTAAAATCCTACAAGCTAGACTCCAGCAGTATGTGGATCGAGAACTACCAGAAGTACAGGCAGGATTTCGAAGAGGCAGAGGAACTAGAGATCAAATTGCCAACATACGCTGGATCATGGAGAAAGCTAGGGAGTTCCAGAAAAACATCTACTTCTGCTTCATTGACTATGCAAAAGCCTTTGATTGTGTGGATCACAACAAATTGTGGCAAGTTCTTAAAGAGATGGGAGTACCAGACCATCTCATTTGTCTCTTGAGAAACCTATATGCGGGTCAAGAAGCAACAGTGAGAACTGGACACGGAACCACTGATTGGTTCAAAATTGGAAAAGGAGTCCGGCAAGGCTGTATACTGTCGCCCTGCCTATTTAACTTATATGCAGAGCACATCATGAGAAAGGCAGGGCTAGATGAATCAAAAGTTGGAATTAAGATTGCCGGGAGAAATATCAACAACCTAAGATATGCAGATGATACCACTCTAATGGCAGAAAGTGAAGAGGAACTAAAGAGCCTCTTGATGCGGGTGAAGAAGGAGAGTGCAAAAGTTGGCTTGAAACTCAACATTAAGAAAACCAAAATCATGGCATCCGGCCCTCTCAATTCCTGGCAAATAGATGGGGAAGAAATGGAGGTAGTGACAGATTTTATTTTTCTGGGCTCCAAGATCACCTCAGATGGGGACTGCAGCCAAGAAATTAAAAGACGCTTGCTCCTGGGGAGGAAAGCTATGGCAAATCTAGACAGCATACTAAAAAGCAGAGACATCACCCTGCCAACAAAAGTGCGTATAGTCCAGGCCATGGTTTTCCCAGTTGCAATGTATGGCTGTGAAAGTTGGACCATAAGAAAGGCTGAGCGCCAAAGAATTGAGGCCTTTGAACTGTGGTGCTGGAGAAGACTCCTGCGAGTCCCTTGGACTGCAAGGCGTTCAAACCGGTCAGTCCTAGAAGAGATCAACCCCGACTGCTCTTTAGAAGGCCAGATCCTGAAGTTGAAACTCAAGTACTTTGGCCACCTAATGAGAAGGAAGGATTCACTGGAGAAGAGCCTAATGCTGGGAAAGATTGAGGGCAATAGAAGAAGGGGACGACAGAGAATGAGATGCTGGATGGAGTCACTGAAGCAGTAGGTGTGAATTTAAATGGACTCCAGAAGATGGTAGAGGACAGGAAGACCTGGAGGAATGTTGTCCATGGGGTCGCGATGGGTCGGACACGACTTCGCAATTAACAACAACAACATAGTTGGTTAATGTTAGTTAGATTATGATTATTATATTTATTACCCTGTATTCAGCTCTGGGAAGTGGGGTAGGGGGTTGGGTTTAGGGTATATTTTGTAATTTTTTGTAAAACTTTTCAATAAGAAAAAAAAGAATAGTTCCCTTATTAAAGCGGAAAGATGTACAATACAATCCTTCCCTATAAATTACAGTCTTTGTGAACCCTGGAGTCAGGGTGTTCTACAGATACCTGCAGAGAGTCCTCTTTCCTCTGGTCACCCTTCCTACAGCAATAGGCAGTTTCTTTGACTTAGAATTCCACAGAGGAACTGAAAAAAAATGGTCCCCCTCTCTTTCCCCCCTCAAATGGAAGAAATAGGAGCAAAACGGTAAATAACAACACTACAGAGAGAACTAGGAGGCTTTTCAGACGTGCTTTTAGCCGTTGCCCAAAATGCCAACTCCTGCAGTCATTGTAGGCCCACTAGCACGACATGACAGTTTGCTCACAAAATCCTGTATGAATGAAACCCACAATAACAGCAAAAGTGGACGATGAACAGAAGGCCTTCCAACGCACAGGGCTCTGAGAACCACCAGAAACGGGGAAGCATAGAAGTATTCTGGAATCAGCTAGAAAGTTCTGTTTCTGATTTAATCAGCCACTCTAAGGTTAATGCTACTTGCAACATAAAAGATTTAAGAAGCTTTGTTCAGTCAACAACATTTTTTACTATGGTTTTAATCTGAACTTTATCACATTAAATATTTGGAGGAAAGTCTGTTTTGAGAAGATGCCTCTGAACACATCTAAATACCTGAAAGTGAGGAAGGCAGCTAAAATTTGGAAGGGGAAGTGACCTCTTTTCCTCTGATGCTTAGCATAGTGGGAAACATGGTAGAAGAGACTAGATGTGGGAGAGAAGTGGTAGGCTCTTTTTTTTTCATTTTTTTTTCTCCTCCCTCATCCCCCAATCACTTGCTATTTTTTTAGATGTTGGGCCTAAAACAGAATTTCAAAACCCTACTGCCAAAAGTCTAGCTTGAGTCAAATTATTTCTCTTAAAAACTTTTTTTTTTTAAAAAAAAATCATTCTTCTCAAACTGTTTTACCTCAATAAAGATACAAAATGAGGCCCCATACCTGTTCACAGATGGCTCCGGTTATGGTGACAGGAAAGAGTCGGACCGTTCCTCGGCCAAGGTTCTCTCGCTTACGCTGCTGTGAGAATAATTTCAGCTCTTTTGCCTCCTCCTCCTCCAGGGAGCTGCAGTACTGAGCCTGGATAAAGATTTGAAAAGGAAGGCAAGATGGTCAAGAAAGGTCAAGATTATTTTTTGTGTGTGTGCTGATAACTCTGGGGCAAGTCTTGCATTCCAGGAACACTCAGTATGCCCTGCTCTCAAAATGAAAAAACTGGAATAAAATGACAAAGTGAGGTAGCTGGCTGATGAATACTTATTGGGACCCCAGCATTCCCCTTGGTGGTGAACTCCAATTCTTCTTATGTCCAGCCAACAGTCAGTTCTGAAGCATGATGGTAACTGCAATCCATCCACATCCGGATGACTAACTAGGCCCCAGTTGAAATAGAGAACCATCCATTTAGTAGGCCAAGTTAGACAACACCAGTCTTCAGATTAGGGCAAGAAAAACAACAGGTTTAGCATAATGTTATACAGATCATTGGTTAAAGACATCTGTAGCAAAGAAAAGAGAAAACAGAGATGGCAGAAAGAGAAGATGATATAAGGGGATGCCCAAGAAACAGAAAAAAATAGGTAACCAACTCATTGCAAGCATTCAGCCCGGAACATACTCTTTCTGAGAGAATGAAGAACTCAGCAGAAAAAAAGATTTTACACTACAGCCTTTGATTTGTACAATGCAGACACCAAAGGAACAGATTCACTGCTGGCAAATGACCAATTCCAGCAAGTGAAAGCAGCCCAGGTCAGGGTAGCAACTAACTAGCCACAAATCATGGGATCAGACAGCCCCAGGGATCTGGTAGGCCAGAAGACAAAAGAAATCAATTAAATTTTGCCCAGGAAAAACTTTATATTTTTACATCAGTCTATAACTGAGAATAGTGGCTGCCCACAAGTATGGGAAAACCATTAGCTCGCTGACCTTGTGTAAACAAATCAATTCCTACTCTCCAGGAGGTAAGGAATTTCCAGGGAGAGCTCACACTGTCCTGGGACTCTGGAGGGCGATCAGAAAAGGACATCAAAGAGGGCCCCTTCTCAAGGAAGCTCTGAGCCTAATGATTAATTTAGCTCCTTGAAAGCTAAAGAGAAAAGAGATTTAGCACAGAAATCCTTCATCTGCTTAGGGTTTGAAATTGGCAACCTTTACCAGGGTTTTTTTTTTTTTCAAAATTCTGAGATGCCTGAGGACAGAAGTTTGTTTGAACAATCAGTACTCCCACACCCTTTCTTCACTGCATTCTATGTGAACATACTTTTCTTCACTGCCTTTTGTCCATTTGTCAACAGTCCGATAACTGGAAGGAAACCTGAAATAGATCTTGGCATTATATTTTAACTAATTAGTTTTGCTACCTCTGGTAAAAAAAAAATGGTGATCCAGGAGATACTTCAAGCCTCCTTTTCTGTGTAAAAGGGCCCCAGGCAATTAATCACCCAATCTCTTCTTTTAAAACAGTGTTTCTCAACCTTGACCATTTTAAGGCATGTGGACTTCAACTCCCAGAATTCCACAGCCAGCACTGCTGGCTGTGGAATTCTGGGAGTTGAAGTCCACATGCCTTAAAATGGTCAAGGTTGAGAAACACTGTTTTAAAAGGTGCAGACTTTCTCTATTTCATTTCTCCCAGTTATGGTTATTATTGGGAACAATGTTTGGTCCTTTCAATCTGCAACCCCTTCAAAAGTGCAGAAAACTTAAAATAAAGTGCAGCATTCTAATGTTTTTAATTAAAAAAAAAAACACCAGGTTTCTAACTCTTATTGAAATCATTGATCAAAACATAATGGAAATTCCAGAGATTTGTTGGGGGAGGTGTTTCAATGGAACTTCCCCATTCCTTTACATACACCAAAAGCAGAATAACAATGATAAATAACAATGCCAACCTCATTCAAGTAATCATAATCATGGCATCAGTATAGTATCTCCTGCTGAGATATTTTGAAAATACACATATAGAATAATGTTTTGCTCTGCTAGCCTAATGAGTATCACAAATTTCAAGAATAATTATGAATGCCTTTTTTTTTTTTTTTTTTGGTGATCTTCGGTCCTGCCACCTGTGGTAGATTAAGCCCAATTATTTAGACTGCAAACAGAGAACAGGATTGTGTAAATGGCCTTCAGAGCTGATAACTGCCAGTGACTGACAACCCAGCAGGTGAGAAGGCAAAGAAACTAATCTAGCAAAATACACAAGATTGATCTTGAGGAAATTCCTTTCTGATTCAGAGGGGGCAATCTTTATAGCCCTTTAGACTTACCATTGTAAGCACACTCCTTTTCTAAACTGATGATTGGTAGAAGCTTGGGGAAGGTGGATTGGGATCTACTGTAAAGGTGGCAGGACTAGAAAACAATTTCCAGAGGACATAATAGTGTTCTGAAGAAGGTTCTGCAGAAAATAGCTGAAGACTGCAGTGGAATGAAGAGCCAGCGAGTAAACTAACTCTTTAATAATTCCTCTCTGGACAAGAAGATTTGAAATTGTCCACAAGTGCTCCAGACAGCTGCTCCTTGTGATGGGGGGTCTCTGGCAGATTTAGAGAGAGGAGAGTAGAGCCTTCTTTCTCAAATTGCAGCCAGCACCTTTGAAAGAGCACGAAGTCTGCCTCCTTTTCTAATCACTTTCAGCAATTGTTTCTGAACTGCTTTAGAAATCTTTAAATCCACAGGTTTGATAGCACTGAGTGAATTTCCTTCAATCTTTGCAAAACTATAAATTTAAGAACTTAACTTTTTTTGGAATAAACAGCAAAGGGGTGATTAAAATTTTGATTTTCAAAAGCTACAAACAGATTAAGGGTCCAGGTAAAATTGAACACTGGAGGGAATTAGAGGGAATTAATGATCAAGTTAAAGGAGAAGAATACATCAATTCAATATACAAATACAGAATGAAACAAGATATTTTAACATTGAACAAAGGATATTTTTGAACAATGGACCCAAAAGTTAATTTTAATAGCATCTGTCTCTATAGGTAAACTGTGTTTAAAAATGTTATGGAAGAGGAACAAGTTCTACCTGACAAGATCAAGACTGGCATGGTAAAAGATGTATACAATGTGTATACAAAAGAAACTGGCTGATGTCTTAATATTTAAAAGGAATAAACAAACAACAAACTAAGAAAGTGACCCGGATAATTTTTCTATATTTGATTTGCAAAAGAAACTTGTTAATGTTCTGAAGAATTTTGTGAGAAGGGACAAAGAAAAACTGAAACAAAATCAAATTTACGGCACATTTGAAGGGACTAACCATTATAATTGTTAAAAGTAAAATAAAAGGAAGGTATCTAAAGTTGGTTTACTTGGTTCAAAGTTAAAATAGATATGTCATTCCTGGTAACCTTTCTGGACTTTTGCTGACAGTAGGACTGAACTGAGAATGCTTTATGGATCTATTTATAGATAAGAGATAGGATATGGAAAGAAAAGATCATTTGATGTATTTTAAGAGAAACTGATAAGTTATTATAATTATTTATACTTGTGATCAAATTGGAAGTTACTTTATATATTTTCTTTTTTGTTACTATATTCTTACTTATAGCATCTCTAGACTGGCTTCAGTTTTCCCCACACCCCAACATTGAGAAGAAAAGATAAGGGTTTTTTTTTTTTTTGCTCCTGACAATGAGATGGAAAAGGACAAAGCAGTAGAAAACCAGTCCTTGTCTCTAGTTCACTAAAATAGAGTCCACCATATTACCTGAAACACTTCTTCATTATAGTAGAACAATCATGGAAAACCCAAGACTTAGGGCTTTTACTATTCACATTTTGTAACTGAGAACACCTACATATTCATACCACCAATACAACATCAGTTATTTGGGGGTAATCTGAAGCCACTAGAGGGGAAATAGAATCAATTCCCCCGTGTGGTAAAGCTTAAATCCTGGCTTTGGGCTGCTTATCCATTTTATGGCACACAGTTATTATCTCTGTTAATACCAATAATACATACTTTTTAAGAAGCCACAAAATAAATATTTTTTTTAAAAAAGAGGATGGTGCAAATATAAGCCAACTCTTCCCAAACAGAATCCTTGAGATAATTAGAAAAGATTTTGTAAAACAATTTTCTAAAAAAAACAAACAAATGGAAATCTATTTAAAGTACAACTCATGTAGACATTGGAAATCAAAGTTGGAGGTTCACAGTAAACACAATGCAAGTGGAAGAGCAGGTAGAAGGCCATTTGTGAAGGTCCAAACCTTTATGAGATGGAGTAATCAAAACTAGCCTAGAGAAGTTATCCTAAAAGTCATGGAAAACTAATGAAGATTGCAAATGCTGGCTAAAAAGTGCTCTCAGCAACCCACTCCTCAGTTGGGTTGGGTTGTGTTGGGAAGGCTACTATACTAAAATTTCTATACTGTCAACAAAATTGCCATACTGATTCAGAAGGAAAAATTGCAGCCTTAGAAATAACAAAGCTATCCTAAATGATGAACGCTGAATACTTCTCAAAGTATTCAGCGTTCATCATTTAAGATAGCTTTGTTATTTCTAAGGCTGCAATGTTCTCAAAACATTTTCAATCACACTGCAAACAAAAATATGAAAGAAGAGTGAATGAATTGAGGGAAGACCAAGAAAATCATAGTTAGATGAAGTCGATGAGATCCTCAAGAGGTGAGAAATGAGAAATTTAGCAGAAGAAAAAAAGCAAGATATGAAACGGTATCTTGGATATGGTGGAAGGAAGGACAGAAAGGTATGGAGATATATACTTAATTATATTAGTAGTATAAACTAAATTTAGCTATTGTTTTGTTTACTGTCTTATTCCCATTTGGTACTTTGCATAATAATTTGATCAACCTGAAGGAGACAGAATGATGGATATGTAGGTTTGTGCATACCTCTCTCCAAAACACAATTAAAAAATACTTCTACCCTGCTTATCTACTTAAAAAAAAAACACTTCAGTGCACCATTACAAAGCAAGTAGCAATAAAGCAGTAGGAAAAATGGGTATCAAATGCTCTTAGACCATGTTTCCAAAAGCAGTTTAAAAACAGTAAAAGAAGGAAGAAGCCAAAGAACAGCATAATTGAGGAAAGGTTCTGAAGCTTTCCCCCTATTAACAGGAAAATATATTGATTGGAGACCACCATTAACATGGCCCCTTTTTCACAAATTTATACAGTATTACAGTGCCATTTGCAGTCTCAGCAGAGACAGTGATTGGGCAAAGTCATCCATGGATTTCATGAATGAGGATGAACTTCCACTTCCTAGTCCGACGTCTCAAGCAGGGGTCTATGACAATTCGCCACGGCCAACTCGCCACAGGACAACTTGCTACAGGACAACTCACCGCGGGACAAGAGTTACACTAATATCAAAGAAATGGTGGAATAGAATCATTAAAGGAAGGATGCAAAACTAGGGACAAAATGAAATGTGAACGGCAAAAATTAAAATATTTTTTATATTATATAATTAGATTGCATTGTTCAATTGTCCCGTGACAAGTTGTCTCATTCCATTTAACCAGCACACTAGCAACAGAGGATGGTATTCCTGCATCTGTCAGTTTTTGCAAAGAAAGATCATTCTTGTTGAAGTTCTTGCTTCCACACAATTGATGGAAGACTCCTGAACTTTTGCATCTGGCCACACATATCAAGTACAGAACTCTTAAGAAAACAACTTTCTGTAGGAAATCATCTCTTAGCTCCATCACCCCCACCCCACCCTTCCTTCCTGTTCAATAAGAATCCCTCCTCACCTCACTGTCATGAGGTGGAAGCTGGTGCAACAGCTGACGAATGCGGTACCGTTCTCCAGGGCTGTTGACATAGGGAACTTTGTCTTCTGGGAGGCAGCTGAAGAACTGATAGACCTGAGGGTAAAAAGCACCATTTATAAATTTTGAAGGAGGAAACTAAAGAAGAGAGCCAAGAACAGAGCTCACAGTGGTTGCACCCAGTGCTCAGTCGGTCTAGCAAAAAGTTTCTCCATCTTCTCTACAGATCTTCCAGGAAGCCCACACAAAACTAAATCCCTCAAACAAGTTAGGTCATCCCAGTTAGGTGTCAAAATGCTGACACCAGCCTGGGCATATGCAGTAATCTTCTAGAAGCAAAAGCGTCCCCTGAAAATATGTTATTGTAAACATCAGATGTCTTTTTCAAGATAGGGGCTCCGTAGCTCTCCAAATTGTTCTTTCTGCAAGATCAGGGCCATTAACTCAGGGGCAGGTGGCATGTTTGATTTGTACAATGTTCCAAGTTCAAATCCCCAGGTTTACCAGATATAAGAGGCTCAAGTAGCAGTGCTGAGGAAAAACATGGACTAAACCTCACCACAAACACCCTCAGATGATGGGCAACCTGTGATTCAGTGAGGCCTGATCCCTCCCCCCTTTCTTTTACAGTTCCTGCAATTTTTCCAACCGTGACTGCTCAAAATCAGCACTTTTCCTGGTGTTCTGAGATATATTTGGCCTTAAAACAGGCTTAACTTAACACAAGTGTTCTCTACTCAACCCACAGTGCAGCCCTTGTGCCCTCTGAAACAGGAAATTGAGTCCCCTACCATTCAAAAGATTTCATCCCTGAGGAACAGCATGCAATAAAACCCTTCTGTTTGCTACTAGATCAAGCTTCCTTCCTATTATATCATTCAAAGATAAAGGTGCCCCAATCTGGCTACTGAATTCAACACAGAATCTCCTCTACCCATAATAATAAACCAGTGACACAAACACAGACATATAACACAAAATTTTCATTTTGCGATTTAAATTCAGTTCTGTCCAGGATGATGGGTGGAAGGCAGGAGATTTCTGTTTTAATAAGTACTATCCAAACGAACCCTCAAGACAACAGTGAAATCCATTCAGGGGCACTCAATTGAAACAGTCTTTCCTAACGTTGCTATTATAAATTCAACAAACAAACAAATATTATTCCCAGATTCAACTCTCAGCTCAGTGGATTCTTTCAGAAAAACACTTTCTTGTGATCTAATAAACTGGCCCTACAGGGTTCTCTGGATAATCTTCAGTCTAAAAAGGGTAAATACTTTCTATAATGAAAAATCTGATAAGAAACAGCAGAAAGTACTATAAATGATTCTCTTTAATCAGTTTAAAACAAGAGTTTACTAATCAGATTATAAGCAGCCTGGCTTTACTGGAATGATTAGATGACATAATATCCACATGTACACCCAAAAAGGTAGTTACTGCTTTATAATTAAATTAATTCTATCCTATTTAAACTTCCTGCCTTCTTCTTTGGAAAAACACCCTATTTTATCGAGGTTAGCATCAATACAGCCACATATCTTTAAAAAAAACCATGCGTACCTCTGCATGAAGATTTCAGTGAGATTCAAAACCTTGCTACCCAGAAATTAGATCAGTTAATCCAACAGAATACTGAACTCTTACTGAACTTTTTCCTTCCCCCTTTTAGAAGAATGGAATAACAGGATTGGAAGGGACCTTGGAGGTCTTCTAGTCCAACCCCATGCTCAAGCAGGTGACCCTATACCAGGGGTGTCAAACTACCGGCCCATGGGCCAAATACATCATAGCGAAACCGCGCTCACCCCATTGCCGGCAATGGCAAAAAAGGTCATGATACGTCATGACATGTCACGTGACGTTGTGAGTTTGACACCCCTGCCCTAAACCATTCCAGACAAGTGGCTGTCCAGTCACTTCTTGAAACCTCCAGTTTTATACTAAGAAAAGTTAATAACACTACAGTAAGAGAGCAGTTTGTGACACAGCCATTTAAAAGTTATTATTATCATCAGCAAATCACTGAAATGGTGTGTTTTGGAGAGGCCTTACTACTGAATCCTTCATGCCCAAGGGTGTAGCAAGTAAGGCCCGGAAGGATTCAGTAGTAAGGCCTCCCCAAAACACACCATTTCTGTCTTCTCATTTTAGCCCCTTGCACAAATCTCCAATTATTTGCTGTCTTTCTTCCCCCACTTCTTTCAAAGAAAGCAAAGCAAAGCAAAAGATGTTCAAGACTACAAATCTATACTATTGACTGCTGTGTTGTGGAACAGTCATGCCTTCTCCCACAGAACATTGGGAGATGTAGTTCAAGCAAAATTAACAAGCCAGGAAAATATGTAAAAATGCTCCGAACATTCCCCAAAACATCAACTCCCAGAAATCCTTGGAAAAAGCCAGGAGAACTGAACTGGCACTAAACTCAGAGGCTAACCAAATGACACGAAGGAGGGGAGAGGAGGGGAGCTAAAAACAGATTGCACCAAAAATGTCTGTAACCTTCTCCTGTCTTGCTGCAGGTTAGGTAAATTCTCAGAAGATGGAACCATCAGCATCACCTGTTCAGGCTTGAGTCCTGGAGGAACCCAAGCATATTCCTCCGAAGCACAGCCAGAATCATCATCTGAGATGGAGTGACGCTGGAAGTCAGAAATCAGACGGCACATCATCCTTTCCAAGTCGACAGGGACCATGCGTACCGCATGCTCTTCCCGGGGACACTTGCAGTGCTGGCAGATCTTCCTACACAGGAAGGAAAATGCTTATAGTGACCTAAGTCTTGGAAGATCCAAGAGAAGTTGCAAGAAAGAAAAGACCTCACAGAATTCTGTTACCTGCAAAAGATTTTTTTTTTAAAAAAAACCCCTCATTAATAAGCATAGTTCCTCAAAACTTTATTGGACCCTGACCAATTATTCAGTTGGTCCCATCAACCTCTACTTAGATACAGTCATTCTTAATTACAGACCCAGAAATGATTAACTTAATAACTAGCTGGCAAACCACAAGGTCACATTCAACCAGTTATAAGGTGGAAAACAAGATAGTGTGAGTAATCTAAAAATGAAATGAACCCAAAAATAGTAATAGGTAGATAGCTGATTTTTTTAAAAAAAGCACTAAGCTTTTCTAAACCAATACCGAATTCTTATGTTTCATTATTATTGCTACTGGTATCCCATCTCTTAAACTGAATTCTGAAAGTAGTTTATATACAGTACAAATTTCTACAACTGAGCAGCAGTGTAATCTATAAAACTAAATGGTTTTTTGTATAGATTATGTTTATTTGCACTCTGACTACAAATAAGGATCACTCCAGTTCCCCAAACTTTATAACAGTGGTTCTCAACCTGTGGGTTGGGACCCCATTTGGGGTCGAACGACCATTTCACGGGGGTCGCCAAACAAGGCTGTCCGCCATTTTTCCCCCCTTTCTTTGGCCACGCCCCTGGCACCTGGTGATGTAGAAGTGGTTGGGGGTCACCACAACATGGGGAACTGTATTATGGGGTCGCGGCATTAGAAAGGTTGAGAACCACTGCTTTATAACAATAGGCAGAGTGCAACAGCCTGTGCTCAATCTTCACAATGGGGTTATCACCAGTTCAGTAGAGACTATATAATTCAGTTGGTGATTGGTGAAGCAATTCTCAAGCTTCCCTTCCCACAGACTGGGTAACAGAAGGGAGGGGCTGGGGGGGGGAGGCAACCAGTGGTGAAACAAGATAATTCAGATAAGTGTAGAAATGCAGAGGAACAACTCATGCTGTAACATGGGGACTTGAAGAAGGGGATGGATGTACAGTGAATAATGTTCCTCAACTGCACAGTTTTTCTGCTCGCATGCAGATTTTTATTCAGAAAAGAAAATGGTCAGCGTTTCAAATAAAAGAATAATTGAACCCAGAAAAGTTATGATTGGAAGAGAAAGATGAGATGAATGTGAAAAGAGCAATGAGAAACAAATGAAAGCTATATATATATATGAATGCTAAAAAAAAAAGCATGCCACTATAACAACTGGAGAACAAAAGATGCAGGACTGAGACAATGTTTTAATTCATTTATCCGAAATTCTATTTGGATAGCATCACAACACATCTGCAGGATCTTATGGCTTTTATCAGTCTAATCCCTCTTCCCGGACTCAAATACAAAACACTTAAAAACAAATAAAACAATAAGAAGAGTGAAAATAGTACAAGGCCGAAAGGCAGATGTCAGAATGAATTAAAGGGGGGAGGCATATCAAGCAGCCCTAAGCATTTTTATTCAGAAGTCCGCTTCTGACTGCATGTGCAGCAATATGTGTATTCCTTAACAATCTTCCCAAGCCTGCTCTCCTCCAGATAAACTAGGTTAGCAGTCGTATGAGCAAATATATGGGATGATGGAGGCTACAGTCTAACCTTTTAAGGGTTTCAATTACAGAAAGGTGTAATGTGTATTATGCAAATTAAAAATGGGTTTCAAGATGAGAGAAAAGGGGTTTTTACAAGCAGCTAAAATCAGACTTCTTCAACTGAGTGCCTTCCAATGTGTTAGAGCTACATATTCCATGATTGACCATGTCAGCCGAGAATATTGAGACCTGATGCCAGATTTAGGAAGGCTGGGTGACCCTTAAACAGTGAATGCAAACAATACATGGAAAAGCCATTTGGAGCATGGAGGGGGGGCTTGGTGGAGCAAAGGAGGGACAATACATTCTCCTACCTCCATCCATGCACTAGGAAGCCTGGGCACTGCTCCCCACACGCCTGACACGGTTGGCCCCGATCAGGGTCCTCCAACTCAGGCAGCTGAGGTGAGACAGAGAGGCAAGAAATCAACCACCGAAACTGCAACAGCATCCATGTCACAATTCCCAACGTTCCCAGTATGGCTCCACCCTACAGTTCCTATTTAACTGCAAAGCTCCATTCCACCTGCCAGCATGATCAGTATACATTCACCAGCAGGAATCCTCCACAAGACCACTTTGAGCGAGGCCCACTTTTCAGTATCTACCCAACCAGGGGGATCCATTGATGCTCTCCGACTCCAACCATTCCAGTTGTCTCTTTCCACAGATGGGGATGCATCAATGGGTTCAACCTAAAAGTCCCAGCAGGTTCCCAATCACATTGTTCACCAATTCCCACTTAAAATGAATTGCCTATATTTTTAGGTAGGCTTTTACTACAGAACATGTACAGGTAGTCCCCAATTTACAACCATTCATTTAGTGGCTGAAGTTACAGCGGCACTAAAAAAAAGTGACTTATGACCATTTTTCACAGTTGCAACCATTATAGCATTCCCCCATGGTCACGTGATCAAAATTCAAACGCTTGACAACTGACATATATTTATGACGGCTGCCCAAGATCATCTGATCACCTTTTGCGACCTTCTGCCAAGCAAAGTCAATGGGGAAGCCAGATCCACTTAACACCCATGGTTAGTAACTTAATTGCAGTGATTCACTTAACAACTGAGGCAAGAAAAGTTGTAAAATGGGGCAACATTCCCTTAACAACTGTCTAGCTTAGCAGTGGAAATTTGGGGGTCAATTGTGGTTGTCAGTCGAGGACCACCTAAACTATATCTGGAGATAGAACTGGATTTGGGTATAGAAATGGAGAATTCTATTTCCAAAACTCACTTTACAGAAAAGGAACAGGGAAGGCCTGAAGCCAGCCTTCAAAACTTCTGGCCAGGCTTTGTTTGAAGCAGGAAGGATTTTTTTATAAGGGCTCTTGAGGCCTTGGACCAATCCGTTCTCTAAGCCGGAGGAAGCCAGCAAAGGCAATCCATTTCAAAAAAGCCTTGCCAAGAAAACTGCAAGGACTTGTCTAGACAGTCACCAGGAATCAAGACTGGTCCAAAAGCAGCACCCTCTCCTCACTACCAACCAGTGCTGTTGAGAAAGTGTGTGTGTGTGTGTGTGTGTGTGTGTGTGTGTGTGTGTGTGTGTGTGTGTGTGTCCCGTGTCGCTCTCTCTCTCTCTCTCTCTCTCTCTCTCTCTCTCTCTCTGTGTGTGTGTGTGTGTGTGTGTGTGTGTGTGTGTGTGTGTGTGTGCCCATGTCTATTCCTCCGTGCCAGCCATGGGAAGCCAGTGAAACTGCTAACCAAGGAGCTTTGAGGGTAAAACTCTGTTCCTGCACAGGCCTAGAAAAGGGAACGCTAAGGAAACCGTAATAAGCAACTAGCAGGGAATTGTGGGGAAAATGCAACCCACAGGCCGCGACCTGCTCTGTGTATTCAGCGAGGCAGGAAAAGGCCAGACGTTGGCTTTCTGCCACTACAGGTGACTGAGAAAAGTCGGCAGCAAAAGGCGCCTTGGGAAAGTTTTTGCGCGAGGCTGGGAGGACAGGAGACCGGAGCGGGTGCGCGAGGGAGTAGACCTTAATCAGCTGCGAAACTGCATAGAGCAGAATGGGAGTTTTCCCCGGACGATCTTTTGGGTACTTTCCGTCCATCTTGCTTCCTTCGTGTACGGATCTCATCACGCCAACGCGCGATGAATGAAGGGGGAAGAGACTCGGAAGGGAGAGGGAGAAGGTGCCGGGAGCCGCTCCCACTTCCCCCCAGGCAAACTTCAATGAAGCCCCGCCTGAACTGTGCAGGAAAAAGGGGTTTCGAGTATTTTATTCCCTACTCGCACCCTAAGGCCAAGAGAATGGCAGAAATGGTGAAATTAAGAGGAAAGTGGGGGGAGGGAGGTGATCCCTGGTCCATCCACCATCCATTTTCCCTTGAAGCCTCAAATTATTAGCTTTAACTCACTACTGGCACTTCATTTTATGCTTTCCTTACCTATCTGTAGAATGGCAGTGTATATCTTACCAGTTTTAATAATAATTGAAAGGAGACCTGTAAACTGGAGTCTCTACTTGGCTAACATTCACCCTCCCAGTTGCCCAAATTGAAGGAAAGAAAGTGATAAACATTTAAACATTGGTTTTTTTAAAAAAAAAATATTCTAACAGCTACCATAAAGATTTAGGGGGAAAAAACTATATTTTCCTGTTCTGAACAGAGGAATGTACCCTTCAGAATGATAAGCATTCTGCCCATGTCTCAAAGCCCCTTACATAGTTGTTATTGTTAATTTCATCAGATGACAAAGGGAAACAACCCTCAACTTTTGTTCTTAGATTCTTAAAAATAAATGTCTTCTGAGAAGTGCATTCTGCAAATGCTCAAATATTTGCACTTTCTATAAAGAAAAGCAAACACCCAACAGCAGCCACCATTTCTCAGCAGAATGGGCAACTATTGTGCTAGAATGCTTGCAATCCCTAAGCAACATAATTCCTTTCCCCTCACATCTGTTAACTGATATCCACCCAGTGGCTTGCAGCTTAGAAGGGATTTCAAGGGGGAAGGATATAGTTCATCAGATGATGCTTTGATAAATCTGCCAGAACAGACATAATATGAAACCTTTACCTCCCCCCTCTGCCTTCCAGACTGGGGATCCACCATTATGTGATTCCTTTTTATTCTACCACATAACTATTTGTCTTTCTATAATCTCCATAATGGCCCAACACAACCCAAAAAGCTTTGTGTTGGGAGAAAAGGCAAAATACCCACTGATCTATTACCAAGGATTTGGATATATAGAAATCTCAATTACAGCTTTTCAGAAAAATGGCTTGGAGCCCTACAAAAGCATTGCTCACTCATGGCCTTTCTTTCTTACCTACACCATTTGTATCTCCCCATCCCTATTAAAATTTGGTCTTACCCACTTCCAAGGCACTGCTCCAAAACTCAGACTGAAACTTCAGTAAAGGAGAGAAAAAATAAATAATGCAAGAGAGAGGAGAGAAAATGCTGTTTACATTTGCATAATAAACAGCATTATAAACAGATGCCCACTATTTTTGTTCAGCTGCCCCCAGCACCTACTGTGTCCCCAGTCCTCAAGACAAAACAAGAAGTATGGACTTAACTTGGATTGCCCTAGAAGAGGGACTCGAAAATTAACCATTTTATCTCCATTCACCACCAGAAAGAAGCAAAAGTGGCAAAGTCCAGAAATATCTGTCTAGACCCCCCTCATATCAGCCCACACATCAAATGAAGGACTCTCTCTGGGGGTCAAGTGCCTACAATAAGCTCAAACAAGAGTGTCCAATTATAGGATTTTCTCCACTCAGCAGAACAAGACAACCACCCAAGCAAAGCATGCAAATGAAAGCAAGATCTGCTGGAAGACAGATCTCTCTAGCAAAGGTCTTCATGTTGTCAACTAACCACTCTAAGCTGTTAAAAAGTTACCTGCTTTCTTATTCAGCTTGGACCATGCTCATTTGCCTCCCCTTATGCCTGAAAGTGCCTCTGCGAACACCTGTTACTACCTCTCCTTCTGTCAAACCCCACCTCTTTCACGAAGCCTTTGGCTTAACTCCTAGGTCCTCATTGAGCGGTAGCTAAAATATCTCTAATAACAATTTAGACATGTTATTACACTGTTAGGTTGCCTCTCCCTATCCTTTTATTGTGCCTCCTACAAATACCAAAATTAATGGTATATGCTCCTCCAGCAAGGATCCAGATGCAGCATTTTTTTTGCTTGTGATTCATGTATTAAATTCCTATCCCACATTTCCTTCAGGAGCCAAGATGGTGCACATCGTGCTCCCTCCTCCCATTTTTCCTCCCAGTTCTGTGAGCAAGTTGGACAGAGACAGAATGACTATATCAAATCACCAAGGAACTTCTATAGCTGAGCGTGGGCTTAACCTTTGGGCCCCTCAGTGCCAGTCCAAGAATAGCACTAACCTCCATGGCACTTTATGAAAACCTTCCACCTTCAAGACAAAAAGTCTCACTGGAAGACTCCATATGCTCTTATTAATTAACTTAGCATATGGATGTTACCGGTATGGGCAACTGGACACTTTCAGGTATTGCCCACAGGTGTAAAGATTAGAGATATGCAGGGACCATTTACAGAGAGAGAATGCATAACCATCATCATGTGAACAAACTTCATGCTTGTATCATCCACCTTTTCCTTAAGAATTTCTACAGTCTGCAGATTTGTTTTTAATTTATTAAGTCAATCCAATTCAGGATCTCAAAGCAGGAGATAAGGAATGCTACGGCCCTCCACATGTTGATGAATTGTGGCCTTCCCTCTCCCCATTCCTCCTCCCCCCCTTCAACCCCCTCATTATTTCTCCTAAAATAAAGCATGTTTAATTAAGGTTTAAGAGCAGAAGAAAGATTTTACAAATAGCCAACAACCTTCCAGATGTTTTGGACTGTGATTTCCATGATAGGTTCTATGTTGATTCAGGTGTATGTTGACAAAACTCCTGAGAACAGATGATTATGCTTTTTGCAAAAACCCTATAACCCAACAGGCATCCCCATCCATCTATTTCACACCACCTACCTGGGATTTACAAGACATCCTGCTAAAGCCAATGGGCCTCCAAAGCACAGCCACAGATAATGGCAACTGCCTTTGGAAAAACTAGCATTTTATTCCCTTTTCGTGGCCCCCCTGCGATATAGTGTCTGGCTGTATTGTCAGTGCTTTAATGCAATTGGCATCACCCACTTTAAAGGGACACCTTTCTAGGCTCCAGACTCAGCACCTTCTCTTGTTAGGATGTGGTGGGTGGCTGAAATTCTCTTGCTCTTCTCTCCAAGGGCATCTCTGGTGAAATAACAGAAGCCGGAGAGGCAAGATTGCTCCCAGTTCTAGCATTCCTCGTGGCAGCATCCCTAAGACCTGCTGCCACGGTATTGGGTTTCCCCCTGTGTCGCCAGCCATGAGGCCGAGCCACTTGCCCTCTTTTGCCCTGTAATCCAGCGCCCCCCGAGCACCGTCATTTATCCTCCGGGGAGGAGGGGGGAAATTCCCTTTTATCCGGAGGATTCCCTGGAAAGCTTGGTGTGAGAAAGTATCTGTACAATACAGTACTGAGCTCCCCCCCCCCGCCGCCCCATGGCGTCTCCTTTGGGCAAAGGGAATTAAGTTAATTACACTCCGCTGGGACAAGCCCCGCCGCTTCTTCTCCCCGCCCATCCATTACAGCGCCTCGTGCCGTTTCTGATCTCTTCCTCCGACCTCCCTCCCCCTCCCCCCCACCCCCACCCCCGAACTCCGAATGGGCCGCGGCTGCCTCCACGGAGGCTGGCTGGAGATTGCTTCGGTCCGATTCCCAGCCCATCCCTTCTCTCCCCTTGACAGGGACTCACGGCTCGGGTGGATCGTCGGCGCCGCGATCCGCGGTTGAACATGGCCCCGATCCCGCCGTCTTCAGCGCCCGGGCGCAAGGGGGAAACCTGGAGATAGGTGAGCCGCCCGGGCGCTGCTACGGCTGTGGCTTGCGTTTCCCTTCCCCAAGGGAGGGAGGAGTCGCCGTCTCCGGATCCCTCCCCGCCTCCAGCCACCCAATCCCGCCCCTTAGTCTTCTCTTACGCCAGCTTCCTTTCCATCTTCCTCCTCCTCCCAGGATCGTTCCCTCCCTGCGCGCTTTCGGCGTTTGTGTTCCTGCCGCTTTCTCCGCTACGTTTGTCCTGGGCCCCAATAACTGTAATGGTCGAGGCGCGCAGAGGTGGCTTACCTGCATTGCGTGATTGTACGTGTGTACCCGCCACCAATGGTGGTTAGAAGGATCAGGTCCTCAGGATGCAGGAACGCGGATCTCCGGCTGACTGCACAAGCAGGTGTCTCCCCTCGCCCTGCGCCCCGAAGCATCAAGCAAACGAGCTGGCTGCTTCCCTTCCCCGTTCGTCTGGCCTTCCCGCTGTCACCTTCCATCCATTTAAACTCTTCCCCGTCTTTTCTCCGTGCCTGTTGTCAATTCTTATTAACGTAGCCAACTCCCGCTTTTTCCTTTCTCTGGCATCCCTGCAACTGTTCCCCCCCCCCATCATGCTCCAGGTCCTTGGAGGCAATTTCCCCCCTTTCTCCAATTGTTGTAATTTCCCCTTCTTGCTTTTCTATTCCACAGTTCAGGATAGACCAAAAACAAACAAAGCAACCCATCCCCTATTGGTCCTAGCTACAGGAGACACCAAACTCTGTCTACACACAGTAGCCAAAAAGATTTATTCACTCCCTCTACTTGCCAGTTCAGTCCTGACACAATTTGACTGCTGTAAGCTTTTGCAAAGTAGAGAATAAAGTCAGCCCAAGAGGCTTAACTATACAGTAACTGAGCTATTGCTCTTCACTATATCAGGAAGATAATTTTCCAATCTCCTTGATGTTTACTTAGTTGTCTACTAAGTAGTGAGACACATCTCCAGGCAACTGTAATCACACCAAGAGACATAAAAACGTCCTGTAAAATCTGCCCTTCCTTATCAAAGTTAGCATCAGCTGGAAGCTTATCTTTGTAAATTGTCTCCTGAAGAGAAAAGTTAAGTATATGCCTCTACCCCATGTTCTTAAGAAAATTAAAACAGGAAGCACACTTAGATTTGCTAAGCTATGATGTATAATTATCACTAAAAAAAACCCACCTGGAATCTAATGTTCCATTGCAATTTAGCGACTTGCTGAAATGCCCACCTATTTCTACAAGATAGATGGATAGGTAATAATCTGATACTGTTCTGAATCTCAAAAAAATGTTCTTACTAATCACGGATTTGGACAGGGCAGACTTGAGTCCAAATCCTAGCAGGTGTTTCTCAGAGGTTGATGTGGCTCAAAGGGTTGTTGCAAGGTTACCATTTACGCCATCTGAACTCCTTGGAGGAGGATCAAGGTAATAATACTATAATAAAGGAGAGAAGCTGTGCCACAGCCCAATACAGAATTGAAAACAGACTTTAAAAACCACTTAAACCCTGTCAATTGGAATAACTCCCAAATAAAACCATAAGCATTAATTTCATATCCAAGTGGCCCAAAAGCAGAACATAAGAGTTGCAGACGGATTTGATTATTAGAGCCATCCAATTTAAACTGAAGTAGACAATCTTTTGGTGAGCAGAACTCATGCAAAATCTTTGCTGGGGGGGGTGAGGGTTGCAGTAAAATAACAATACAACATAGTTAGGTTGTCTCACACACTTAAGGACAGCTGGGATCTGTAGGACCACTCCAGCATCTGATCCTTGTAATTTGAAAACAGTCCAGGATTAGAGAAGAAGGGGTTATACTGGATGCCACAGGTCCACCTTCCCCTTATTTACTTTCTTCCCTTTAGAGATGACTTTAATCATTCTGTCTGTCTATCTGCCAGCTCTTTCTTCTTTTCTAACCCACTATAAATTAATCTCCCCCATCAACACGCAAGGACAAGGAAGCAGAACCACAGGAAAACCCTCTTAGCATTTTTGCCAAGAGTTATACATAGTGACCGTATTTCCAATCTTTGAGGATTGTTTATGACCATTTTACATTGTTATCAGAAAAAGAAGCTTGGGGAAAACGCGATTCCCCCCCCCCACCCCCCCAATTTTTCATAAAGACTAATCTCTCCAACAAAACCTCAAATAAGTTTGATATAAGGTAAGTGGACGCAAAATTTTGATCAAGTCGGAAGTGGAAAGTATCCTGAAAAAAACCCTACAAGTCAGAGACTGACTCTTGCTTAAGCCTGATTATGTCATTCTGCAACATTATTATTAGCTCAATATATAAATATAATATAGAAATGACCATATATAAAAGATTTGTCCTTATTTACCCATTTCAACATAACAGATTTTCATAAAGATGCCTACTAGGGTTATAGCAAAGTCTAGATCTGAGCTTAGCCACTTAAGGTAGAGCTGCATTTTGTTGAAGGGGTACAGCAGTGCTGGCAAACCTATGGCACGGGTGCCAGAGGCGACACTCAGAGCCCTCTCTGTGGGCATGCACGCCGTCGCCCCAGCCCTAGACCTTCAGCTGGGTTTTATAAAACCTTTTTGCTTTAGGCCTCCGCCACAGTGTGCAAAAAAAAAAAAAAAGGTTCAATCAATCAGTCAGTTTCAACTTCTTGTGGGAAAAAAAAAGATCTTACAAAGTTGGAATTGATTGATTGAACTTTTTAGTCCCACCCAGTCTGCCATTACCACCGCAGCCACGCCCAGCCAATGGGCCACACCCAGTCAATGGGCCACACCTAGCCAATGGGCCACAGCCACCCAGCACCCGATGATGCATAAGTGGATTTTGGGTTGCAGTTTGGGCACTCGGTCTCTAAAAGGTTCGCCATCACTGGTGTACAGGTATCTATAGCACAGGATACGAGGCTAGATGAATATAGGTTTTGAGTTGAGTTGAGTTTCTTCCCAGCTAGATTAGAAGAAACCTGAATGTTCTATATGACTGCCTTCAGAAAGGTCATAAGCATTAAAGAAAGGTTTTAAACATCTTCTAACAGGCTGTGGAGAAAACTTTTTTCCTAAAAAAATATTAGGAAACTTTCAGAAGAAAACTGGGGGGATCAGAAAAAAATTGACCAAAATTATCTGGCGTACTAATTCTTCATCACAAACTCTTTCCTGAAATATTCCCATGTCCCTGCCCCACCCTGTCTCCAACCAGCTTTTTTTTTAAGCTATGGAATGAGTAAGGTGAAGATAAAGGCACCCTCTAAACCAGCACCGTTTCTGCTGAATGCACAAATTCCTCTACCTAATTCTCTTGGCAACAGTACGGAAGCAGTTTGTCCCAGCCTTCTTCTAAAATGTTATTTCAATTTTTCAGTTTATTCTGTGACTCTAAAATGCCCTGGTCATCCGTCATCCAAGTACCAACCAGGTGCAAATCAGCTTTAAGTCTGTTCCAAACAAACTATTACAAATGGCATTCACAGGAGAAAATTTGGTGGGTTAGAAAAGGGTCAAGCAACCAACTTCTTGCAAGTATGTTTTCCTGTAAATGAAATACTGATTTTAAAGTCTCATGGGAATTATTGCCCACATTCATGTACAACAGGGGTCTTCAAACTTTTATGACTTGTGGACTTCAATTCCCAGAATTCCTCAACCAGCATGGCTGGTTGAGGAATTCTGGGAGTTGAAGTCCACAAGCCATAAAAGGGCCAAGTCTGAAGACCCCTGATATACACGGATTAGAACATCCTATTCAGATGCATGCTTAAAGACTGGGTAAGACAAGCAGGTTGAGGAACAGCATTTGGAGTCATAGGACAAACCTACCGATTGGTTCTATAACCATAAGGACTTAGGAGATAATTAGACTGGGTTTTCAAAGGGGAAAAATGTTCAATCTATACCCCTCCTTTGCACCAAAGAAAACTGCTGCTAGAAAGAATTTAAGTTGTTGGGTCCAGAATCCATATTCATTTCATGAAAGTAGCGCAGGAAATTTTTTTTTATTACAATGAAGACTTTTGGAAAATTGAAAGCAAGTGGTGGTAGCTTTCATAAAACAGATGTCATGCAAAGGACTTGCTATCCACAAAACTTCCACCAATCACAATATACCATTTACCAGATATCCTCCTGCCACACCCTCTAACCCTCCAGAATGTTCTCTACTGCTCCTCCCTTTCCTTTTTTGACCAAAACGCACTGGGTCTGTAGCCACCTGTCTTTATTTTCTAAGAATATCTGTGGAACCGTAATGGACCCCAGAAGCATTCTTGCAATAATGTTGCTTAGAGATTTATGTTCTACTGCATGAGATGTTAATTTCTATCCTTTAAAGAAATAAAAATAAAGAACTTTAAAAAAACAGATGGTCCAGACAACTTGGAAATCAGAAACATGTCAGCCACTCTGTTGTTAAAGCTTTGGAGTTTTATTATTTTATTAATATAGATTGGTTTTTGATTACCCACTCTTCGATGCAACACTGGAGGTCTGCTTAGAAATGGGAGCAGGGAAGGATGTGAGTAGACATAACTACATATCTACTAGAACAGGGCTTTTCAACCAGTGGTACGGGTACCACCTGTGGTACATTGGCACCTGGCAGGGGGTATGCGACCATCCTAGAAAAGTGGTAGTGGGGGAGGGGAATGAGCTGAACCGATGGCAGCACCGCACAAGCCTGAGCAAGAGATGGCTGGAGCTGCAGGGCTGTCAGGGCTCAGCGGAAGTGCCAGGATCAGCGCCAGGGCCCAGCTGGAGCTCAGCACTGATCCTGGCTCTTCTGCTGAGCCCAGAAGACACGCCGATCAGCTGGAATGTTGCAGCATCTCCAGGGTCTTGAGATTTACATTCAGATGCTTGGCAACTGATTCATATTTATGATGGTCACAGTGTCCCAGGGTCATGTAAAGTGACCAAAGCCTGCTGCAACCCCCAGCAGACAGGGGAAATAAAAACCAAACAAACACCCCCCCACCCCACCCCCGCTGCCAATCCTAAACAGAAATGTTCACAACAATGAAAGCCTCGGACAGAAGGAAGAGCACTGCCGAGTGGGCAGGCAGGTGTCTTGCTCGGCTGTGGCTTGGGGGGCACTTTTTTCAGTGCCATTGTAACTTCAAACAGTCACTAAGCAAACTGTTGTAAGTTGAGGACTACCTGTACTTTATCACTTTTTTCCTTTTGGGGGGGGGGTCATCGAGTTTTTGACACCTTGCTAGGCAACTGGTGGTACTCGGATATTGCCATATCCTAAAAGTGGTACAATGGGTGAAAAGGTTGAAAAGTCCTGTACTAGAATGCCTGCATCCAGCCATTCAATGGGTTTAACTGCATGTTCCATTACATGGCCATCAATTATAGCAGTATTTCCCAAACTTGGCAACTTGAAGATATGTAGACTTCAACAACTGGTTGCCAATGTTGAGAAACATTGGGTTATAGTTTACAAAGGGCTTGTATAAGCATCAACTTTAGACAGACAGACAATATGGGGCAGTAATTAGTATCAACCCAGTAATAAGCCTCAGGACCTCATCTGATGATGTTGGGAAGGAAAGGAAAAAAGTAGTTAAGAGGCAAGGCAGGCACTAATTCTTGATATCAAAAAGGAAATCTGCAGGCACATATTACAAAGAGTCCCACCAGAGTCTGATTCACATTTGTAGTCATCACTTGTTGACTATAGCAAGCCAGGATTGACATGTATAATTAAGGTAGACTTCATCATCTGTGAATCACCAGAGAACATGTCATGGCATCAAAGGTGAATTCGTAACATTTTGACCTGCAGGTCATTGAATCTAGGAAGGATTCCTAGTAGATTTGCTCCCTCTTTCCAAAAGTTTTATTCACCGACCATATCAGACCTCAGGCAGAGGAGCAGACAAGGGCAGGAAGAGTTGGCCAGCTCCCTCAGTGGCACCATTGCAGGTTCCTAGATAAGAATTATTTGTAAAGCTGGAGAATAGGCAGACAAGGCCAACCATGGAAAAGCTTACACCATTTCTTTGGTTTCATATAATTTTCTCCACCTGATACAAATATACATATTTCACCCCGGACGTGGCTGAGGCTTACGGAAGCTGAATTCCATTCCATTGGAAAGCTTGAGGAAAGTTGGCTTAGAACAGTGTTTCCCAAACTTGACAATTTTAAGGCATGTGGACTTCAACTCCCAGAATTCCACAGCCAGCGTTGCTGGCTGTGGAATTCTGGGAGTTGAAGTCCACATGCCTTAAAATTGTCAAGTCTGGGAAACACTGGAGAAGAATGACTAGAAGGAGGGATACACCAGTGTTATGTAAAATTCTCCACACAGTGAGGAATACAGGGGATTTTCCATCTCTTTTCAAAAACTAGAATATGGAATACCTCAGTATTGCTGAATAAGAGCAGGAGGGAGCTCCTGGGCTTCTGCTTATCTCTGCCTTCAGCTGCTGGGTGGGGAAAGGCCCAGTCCAAGTGGGCTTGGAGCACAAAATAACATTCAGAAGTTGTTCGACTTCAGTGCAAGTCAACAGGTAGGAAAAAGGTTAATTCTGTGGGTCTGGGGAAAATTGGGGTTACTTTCTATAGATTCCTGAGTATCTAGGCAGAAAAAAATGGGAGGGATGACAGCTATTAAGTTCTTCTCTAATTTTGTCTTCACTCGTCTGTCCTCTTTTTTTTAAGTGAAGCTCATCTTTTATTTCCCCCCCTCCTTTCCTCTTCTTCATTCCAACATCACAGAAAGATCGTTAAGAGGAATGCTCTCTGTTCACTTCCTCTAATTTCTAGTCTGTGGCTGAAAGAACATGCCAGTGGCTTGGCTGGGTATGTGGGATTGATCTTAAGACTGCCAACAAGCTTAAATACAAGCAGCTGGTCTGTTCCTGTGATTTGTTTTTCAGAAAGTAATAGAAGAAACTTGGTAAAACTTGGAGTTAAATGCTTTGTGGGATAGATATCAGTTAGTAGGTTGAATGCAGTGTTGTTTTCACAGTCTTGAACTCTTTCAGGCAAAAAACAAAAACCCTTGTCTCAAAAAAACTAATTTCCAGAGACATGGTTGATCAGCCTATTTTAATTCAATTTTTACTATCAAAGAAGTTGTGCAGCATCTTCTTCCTTTATGAACTAATAAAGTATTATGAAATAGGAGCAGGTTATAATAAATCAACGTCTTCTCTTCTTGGCTTTGGTAATGAAAAACAAACCAAGGAGCCATTCAGGAAAATAGTGATAGGCGTTAGCCTCCCTTTTCCAGCCATTTTCGGGCCTACTTTCCAGTTTCTTTTTTCCCTGACATAAGAAAAGATGGTCACATTCACCTATGTAAACAGAAAAGGGGGTAAGGAAAAATTAGGAGAAAGGGGAGCAGTTAACACAATTCCTTTGGACTGCAGTTTCCTTGTCAGTTGGAACCTCAGGAAAGGGTTACACGTATGTCTGTATGTCTTCGGTGTAATTGCTTGGTGCCTCCAGATATTTAGGATTAGAATTCAAGAGACTTTCTTCTTCTGCCCACCAGAACAAGTTAAATTATTAACTGATGCTAGTACATTTTTTTAAAAAACATAATGCCTCTCTGTAAGTTCACAAGATATTTTATGCAAAAAATATGATTCGCTTCTTCATGGTTTAATTTATTGTATGAACTCAGCTAGTGTGATTCATAAACTATTGTTTATAGTTAACCCAACCTTACTTTATTCAATGAGAAAAAAATAAGCTAATTGCTGATCAACATACATCAGTCGGTTTGGATTTTTAAAGCTATTTGTAAGGTCTCTCCAGTACACTATCATTTGTGAGATTTGTAGAAGGGAGGGGTTTTTTTTACATTTATTTCATTATTAAAATATGGTTTGGATCAGTCGAGTTCCATTTCTAACGTGAATCAGGAATGATATATTCATTATGAGTCTGTTTTTAGTTGGGACAGTTCGCTTTGCTGTGGTGTCCTGCCGGTAGGACTCTACATTGGTTGCACTCTATCAATTCAGAATTCAAGTTAAGATATCGTATTTGCATTGAGTTGCCCAATGAGTAAGAGATTGCGAGAGACAGAGAGATCATCTTGATATGCTCTTCCAGAGATACTTAGCATGCAAAAATTAAATGCACATAAAGATTTTTCTTATTGTGAAGATAAACTATTGACATCTGCACACTCAGTGGCTTCGAAAAGCACTGCTACCCTACCCAGTTGAAAGAAAGGCATCGCTCTCTTACATGTAAATAAAAATTAAGACATGCAAAATGATGTTTTAATTTAAGAGGGAATTGTTTGTAAAAAAAATGTTTACTCCTTTTTCCCTCCACGCAGGTGGTATTTTGCTGTGAATGTAGAAATCAGAGCTTTTTCAGGGACATTGTTTAACCAAAACAGATGTTCTATATTAAAAGGAAAAAGCATTTCAGTAATTTGCTTTGTTTTTTTTCTCCTCTGCTCCCACCAAATCTTACAAGTTTCTTTAATCTGAAGTGGCACCAGAACCTGGGGTTCCTTTGAGGGATGCAATTTCTGATCTGGCTCCAGATCAAGGAGGAAAGGAACAGATGATGGGGTGGTGTCTTAAAAGCCAGCATCCAGCTCTTCTTGTTGCGTCCTTTATTTCTAATCATCACAACTGGGCTGGGTTGTGTTTTCTTTAAGCCAGATAAAATGAAAGGAGCTTATCACTGCCCAACATATGCATATGCCCTTCTTGTGAAAGAGCATGTAAAACCAAAGGTGGCCTATCTATCACTGTGGCAAATTGGGGTTAGAATTAAAATTAATTTTAATTTATTTAATTGTTAGTTTAAATTTGGTTAGGTGTCAGATTCTGGGATTATTTTAAAAATATAGTGATAGAGTAATCATATGCATGCTTCAATTAGATTAGTAACTGAAGGAACTAGTTGAAGTCTATAAATTCTCTTGCAATGTAAGAGATTCCAGGAGCCTCAATGCTAGTTTAGTTTCCTTTGGATGGAAATGTACTGTCAATTCATATTATCTTTGCAATTATTTACTCCCCTAAGCAGTTATTTTTTTAATTTATTTTAGAAAGAAACTTCCCATTCCCCATTCCAACACTTTTTTTCCCTACACAAATAACAAACATGGCGCAGTAAGTTCTGTGGTCATTCCTCAATTAGTAACTTACAGTATTTTCTCCAACGATTCAACCACCATCATGCTAAAATAACAGTAATGAGGAGATTCTTTATATCTCTTCAACAATGGTTGGATGATGCTATGAAGGCACTGTAAGTCATTAGTGAGGAAATGTTGGGGACTACCAAGACTCAAATTCGACTACCACTCCACTGTGGAGCTTTAGACCAATTTTTGTCTCTTGGTCCAATTTCCACAAATTATTATCGACCTAAAAAGAAAGAAGCCCTTGAATATTCAGAGAAAAGGTGGAATATACACGGAAGAGATAAATTCTATCTCTTCACCCTCCCCTATACTTTTCTTAGAAATGCTAGAACTCTTAAGAACATTCTGTGAGGTCTTTGAGTCACTTAAGAAAAAGAAAAACTGGAATTATAGAAACGCAGTCCACTATACGATCTTTTCTTCTCAAAGATCCTCTGACACCAAGATCAGATAGCTAGGCAAAAAGTTTTGCTTGATAAAAGGACAAATGTGAGTCACACCAGATAGTTCATGATCAGTGTTTCCACATATTATTTACCAATATATATTCCTTTGCAGGATAATTTTATGCATATCTGTTCTCTGCATAAAAATTATATTCTTAGCATAATTTCCACCTGGATCAAAAATATTATCCATATAAAAATACAAAGGTTGCTGTATCTCATGCTATTGTCCTTTATCAAGGTCCACGTTTGTTTATAATGAAAAGTTACAGTTCCCTGGAGTTGCTTGCTATGTTTTTGCTACTTAAAAAAAGTCAGAAACTCTTTACGATACACAGATATATCAGAATGTTGCACAGAACAGATCAAAGCCTTCCGCTGCAAAATTGGTCCCTCCACACCCTCTCCTACCTTAATGTGCTTCTTTTTGTCCTGAGGGCTAAGTAGACTTTCAGTTCTACAATGATTCCTGCCATTTAGGTGTGTTTCCAGGAAGATTAAAGCGTTCTACATGTCAAAATATGGAAACAACCATTGTTCCTTTTCCTAATTCTAAACTGGTTTCAGTCAGTTGTAGAGTTGATCAGAGGATGACCATCAAAGGACGGGACTTTTAAGAGAATATTTTTATTTTAAGAACCATCTTACTCCAAAGTACAATTAGACTACCATAATAACTGCACTGTACACATCAATTGGGTCAATAGATGACAGCAAAGAGTTGGAACACTCTGTATCTCTTTGCTGCCACCTAGTGATCATCTATGATTTTTCAGCATATAATAAGGTGAAATGGGCTGGGACACAGTATAATATAATAACCCTCTCCCAAAGGAAGTCAACTTCAAATTCAAAATGCTTCACCTCTGAATTAAAGACAAAGCCTGCCCTATAGCAAACATATAAATTATTTGAGGGAGAGAAAAAAATCATCTTTCCAGGTAAATGTCATAAATCGAGTATGTTCATCAGCTCAGGAGCAGACTTTCCTTCATCAGCAACATAAATTGACCTTCTCTGCTGGTAGGCAGATGAGTGCGACTATTGATCAATAGATCAGGACCAAACCAATTCCATTGAACTAAACTATTGATGAGAAATTTTTCAATTAATTAGCAAATTGTTAATTGTAAATCTGCACATGTGCCGGGCTGCCTAGTTTTGAATGGTCTGCTATAATTGGCACCTGTGATACTGCAACCTTAAAATAGTTTTCAAACACACACACACACACACATTCCAAATATGTGCCTCCTATCCAGCCCCACACAAAGAAATGACAAATTTATTTGTCATTAGACTTATTTTTGTGATCATTTACCCTGTTCCTCAGTTGTTTAGAAATATGAGCAACAACCTTGTCTTTGAAATCCAGTCCATAATTTCTCACATTGTGTAATGTTACTTAGCTTGACTCTCTTTCCTGATAATGTTTTCTGCCCTTTTTCTTTTTTTTTCTGATCATCCCCCCTGGGAAGTTGGAAGATTATTCTCTTTGAAGGAGGGAAAGTTTCTTCCATACCTGCTTAGCAGCCTGTCTTGTTTTATACATTTATCCAAAGGGTAAAATACGCTGCACCTGCTACACAATTAGCAAAGGGACACGAAACCTGTCCTAGAACACAACAGTCGGTCTCACAACCTCTCCTTTTCCAGAATTATATGTCTTAACGATTTTTTGGGAGTAGGACACAGTAATTATCCCTGGCATTCATTTCTGAGTAAACCTGGATGGGATCATCCAGCTGTAAATTTAAAGAGACTTTTTATTTTCTTGGATCTAATGCCAACAGCTTTTCCCTTCCCTGAATTCTGATGAATATTTTCCAGATGCCAGCCTAATCTTAAATGGGTTTTCTTAGAACTGGTACAAGATCTGGTAACAGGCCTTCAACAGGAGCAGCGGTGGTTCAAAAAAATAGAACTATGGCAGCCATGACCATGAGACCAAAACAACTCTTTGACTCTTTTGATGCTCTCCTCTCTCAAATTTCCTTAGGCCTTAATTAAAAATTAATTTCTACTAGAGAAATTAGAAGAAAGCAAGGAAAAAATAATTTCAATATTACTTCCAAGGCAAAGCCGTGTCCCTCTAGAGGAATCTGTAGCTCATTTAACTATTTGTTGTGTGGATATTTTGCACGACTGTTCCCAAGATTTGTGACTATGGATCATGCTTGCTGGAACCAATGGGAGCGATTATCTACAATATCCAGAGAACACTGGCTTGCCTATCTCTGAGTAAATCAATGGCTCTCTTACCTAGCATTTTACATCAAACTCTTTCTCTCCTCCCAACCTTTTTTTTTTAAAATCTTGCTTCTGGATTTGGGGTGGAAGGAAAGAAGCCTTGATGTAAAAAGTAAAGAGAGTCATTTATCTACTCAGAAGTAGGCAAGCCAATGTTCTCTGGTTATTGTAGATAACAGCTCCCATTGGTTCCAGCAAGCATGACCAATGGTCTTGTAAAAAATGGACCAATCCCACATGCCTGAATTAACCTATAGTGGGACATTTCACTCTGTTCCTTCTAAAATTTAGACCTTATCCTACTCTTAAAAGAACACAGTTGACTTGGTCTCCTCCAATCAGGTTTCCTCTAGAGCAGTTAGAACTTCAACTCCCTCTAGAGCAGGGGCCTTCAAACTTGGCCCTTTTATGGCTTGTGGACTTCAACTCCCAGAATTCCTCAGCCAGCGTGTCTGGCTGAGGAATTCTGGGAGTTGAAGTCCACAAGTCATAAAAGGGCCAAGTTTGAAGACCCCTGCTCTAGAGCAGTGAGGACTTCAATTCAATTTTGTGAGGACTTCAACTCCCAGAATCGCCCAGTCAGGCTGCCTGGGGACTTCTGGGAGTTGAAGTCCATGCATCTTAAAGTTGCTGTGATTGAGAAACATTGCTTTAGGTGCCTCGGTCCAATGCCTCTGGCAGGCAACAGTTTGAATAAATTATTCTACCATGCTTAGAGTGGCATTCTCATTCCTAGAACTTTATACTTCAGTTTATTCTTTTTTTCTTTCTTTCTCTTGAATAGCACAAAACTGGTTGGCAACATGGCCTCAATCCTGCAGTGCTGCCCTTTCCTGACCCGAGATCCATCTCTCTTTCTACGGAAAGTCGGCCCACTGCTGGTCAACAGTGCTCAACGCTGCCCCGTGATGATGGCCCGCACTTTCTCCAGTTCTCTCACTGACCTGCAGAGTGAAAAAGACACCTGTGGAAACACTGGTGAGATGATGGAGCTCAGAGAAAAGATACTAGAAGGGAAACAGAAACTGATGTCATATCAGATCCGTAGATGTCAAACCAAAATACAAATTTTATGCTTGGAGCTCACAAGTGGGCTCTTGTACAGGTGTACCAAGTTCTTTAGATCAGTGGTTCTCAACCTGTGGGTCGGGACCCCATTTGGGGTCGAACGACCATTTCACGGAGGTCACCAAACAACGCAGTCCGCCATTTTTTCCCCTTTTCCTTAGCTGTGCTACTCCCTTTTATTCTATTGGCTTTTGAAAGCCAATAGAATAGAATCTCTTGAATAGAGTCTAATTCTATTGGCTTTCAAAAGCCAATAGGAATTGTCCAGGCTGTCTCTGCCCTGCTGAGCCCGCCAAAAGTCCCATTCTGCAAATGGTGCTGTACCAGTTGAGTAGTCCTCGACTTACGAACGGTTGAGTAGTCCTCGACTTAACGACCGGTTGGGGGTCGCGGCATTAAAAAGGTTGAGAACCACTGCTTTAGATCAAGTCAGTCTCTTGGTAACAAAGCTAGATTTTGTGGGTATAGACTAGAGTGTGTGTAAACCCTGAATAATTTGATTACATGTAGAAGGGTTGAAATCTCTGTGTGAAAACCTCTAAAACCCTCTTTACAGAGTGGCTCCTTTTTGAAATTGTTCTTTTGTAGTTCAAGACATGTCATCATTTCACAGTCACTAATTAGGTCAGAGGCAACTTGTAATTCTTCTAATTTTTACTTCTTGGCTGACATTACGTGGACACATTCAGAAATTTAATAAGTTTTTGGTCTGCAGAAAAGGAAGTGGAAATTGCATCTTTTCTTCCCTATGCATAAAAAAGGTTTGCCTTGACAAAGCAATCATATTAAATAAAACATATTTTTTTTAAAAAAATAATGATGAGAAAAATGTATTTCTGCCTGCAGTCGTGGAGATTCAATGCAAGAACCCCAACCTTCCCCATTCCAGTACTCTCTAGCCAAGGGGTGCCTAACCCCCGGTCCGTGGACCAGTACCGGGCCACGGCATGCCAGCAACCGGTCCGCACAAAGAAGGAAAGCCCCATCTGTGGGATGCAGGCAGCATACAAAACCACACACTCTCAGGTCTGTGGAAAAACTTTTCTCCATGGAATCGGTCCCTGTTGCCCAAAAAGTTGGGGACCTCTGCTCTAGACATCCTGGGATAGATCTTCTCAGATTTACTGACAATGTGGCCAGTACCAAAATTTTTCGGAGTTGGATTCTCATTTTGGAAGGCATCAGCTTAGAGAAACAGGAGACCATGGTGGCCTGAATGGACAAAGGAACTACTTAAGTCCAAAGTACTTGGAAAAAGAAGTGGTAGAGAATCTGGAAGCTACTAAATATCAGGTGCAAAGAATCAGGAGCATTTGCTGAATTCAAAGCACTGAAGAGTTTATTATTGCTACATATACATAACAATCTGGTCAACAAATGGTCAAAGCTAAATTGGCACTAGATAAGGGTCAACCGAATTCATGGGGGAGGGGAGGCTGGACATGTGTTTGTGCAATGAGTCCAAACAAACATTTAATCCTGCTTTCCAGTTCAGCCTACTCACCTACTACACTAAATTTGTTAAAAGCCATGCCTACTGGGGGTCTTATTCAAGAATATCAACCCATCTCTACAGGATGAAATCATGATGGGTTTTCTTTTGTTCATCTTCTAATTTCGATTCCCCCATCAGCACCCCGGTCTCTCCCAGCCACCCAGTGCCCTTTTATGGAATCCCAGCGTCAAAGTGGCCAGAGCTCCTTTGTGCAAGAAGCAAAACCTGAACTCCAGGAAGATGTCAAGCCTTTCAAATCAGGTAAGGAAGGAGGCCAACCTCCTTGGGATCACGGATGGTGGGAAGGATGAGACCCCCTGGGTCTTCCTCTGACCTGTGTGTCCCTCTCTCTCTAGGAGTGCTGACATCCTTGCTCAGAGAGGTGCACTGCAGTCTCAGAAAGAAATTCCTGGACTCTAACAAAGTGTCTCACCTCATTCAGGACAACATGCCAGGTTGGGGAATTGGATCCTGACAACTTCTTCCATGGGGGTGGGAGGGAGTTGCCCAGAAGGACTATCTTCCAGCTTCCCTTGAGTATTAGGGTCAGCAGTGCAGATTAACTGATTCTGTCTGAAGACTTAATTGTTTCAAGATTAACTGTCTGAGGTCTACTTGCGTGGTGGTACAGTGGTTAGAATGCAGTACTGCAGGCTACTGCTGACTGCCAGCTGACTGCAGTTCGGCAGTTCGATTCTAACCGGCTCAAGGTTGACTCAGCCTTCCATCCTTTTGAGGTGGGTAAAATGAGGACCCAGATTGTTGGGGGGTAATATGCTGACTCTGTAAGCCACTCAGAGAGGGCCAGTGGTGGGATTCAAATATGCAAACAACCGGCTCTCTGTGTGGATGCCGCTTCCGGAAGTCCATTCTGGGCCTGACCAACAAAAAATTAGCTACCGGTTCTGCCAAAGTGGTGCGAATAGGCTGAATCCCATCACTGCAGAGGGCTGTAAAGCACTGTGAAGCAGTATATAAGTCTAAATGCTGTTGCTACTTCCTCCTCTCTCCTAAATGAAAACTGGACATATAAATGACATTTACTGTTTATTTATATCATCTGTTACTGTACCACTTTTTAGCATTATAAAGTGAGGGTGCTTAAGACTTATTCCTATCCACTTCTCTCCATATCTTATTCAGAGGAGTGTCTAGCAGCCAGGCTGTCATCCCAGCCGCAACCTTCACAGCAGTCCCCAATTCTCAATCTCTTCTCTGTGATCCACACTAAAGCCCCAAAAGAGGAATGACTTGGGATCTGTTGATCCATTTTTTAGGAGAAATACTTAGATCACTCTTTGTCATTCTACGGTTATTCTGCCAGTGGCTTTCACAACTTAAGTAGAACGAGACAAATCTATAACGGTTACCCAGGCAAAGAAAATAATAATAAAGAGATGCATCTGAGAACAGAGATATTTATCCTGTCTCTATATTGGGGTTGATTTCACATTTCATTTGCAATCCATGCACAGTGGAGAATAATTGCCTGGATTCTTGACCTTTTCTGAGATCTGATTGGAAGATGGCAAGCCAATGATTGAGCCACACAGAAAAAACACCAGGCGCTTTCTCTGTTGAGCTCCTTGAGTGCATAGGAACCTTTAATTATTCAGTACCTAAGGTCAGGGCTTTTCAACCAGTGGTACGGGTACCACCTGTGGTACATTGGCACCTGGCAAGTGGTACGCAACCATCCTAGAAAAGTGGTAGTGGGGGAAGGGAATGAGCTGAATTGGTGGCAGCACAGCACAGGCCTGAGCGAGAGATGGGTGGAGGTGCAGGGCTGTCAGGGCTCAGTGGAAGCGTCAGGATCAGCGCCAGGCTCCAGCTGGAGCTCGGCGCTGATCCTGGTGCTTCTGATGAGCCCAGAAGAAGCACCGATCAGCTGGAATGTTGCAGCATCTCCAGGGTCTTGTGATTTACATTCAGATGCTTGGCAATTGATTCATATTTATGACGGTCACAGTGTCCAAGGATCATGTGAAGTGACCAAAACCTGCTACAACCACCCAGCAGATGGGGGGAATAAAAACCAAACACCCCCACACAAACCACCCCCACTGCCAATCCTCAACAGAAATGCTCACAACAATGAAAACCTCGGACAGGAGGAAGAGCACCGCTGGGTGGGCAGGCAAGTGTCTTGCTCGGCTGTGGCTTGGGGGGCACTTTTTTCAATGTTGTTGTAACAGTCACTAAGCGAACTGTTGTAAGTCGAGGACTACCTGTACTTCATCACTTTTTTCCTTTTGGGGTGGTTATCAAGTTTTTGACACCTTGCTAGGCAACTGGTGGTACTCGGATATTGCCATATCCTAAGAGTGGTACAATGGGTGATAAGGTTGAAAAGTCCTGCTATAGGTAATCCTCATTTAGCAATTACAGTTGGGATCGGCAAGTAAGTCGTCAAATAAAGCAGTCGCTGAATAAAACTGCAACTGTGCTTATGATCTTACTTCAGCTTTCCTTTGCTTTACAGACCTGTGAGGGTCATAACTGTGAGGACTGGTTACAGAGTTGCTAAATGAGGCAGTCACTAAATGAGGACAGCCTGATATTAAAATAAGGCTTCTATTAGGCTTACTGAAAGTTTACAAAAACAACAGCAACTTTACAAATGACCAGCCTGCACACTCTTTTCTCCACACTCTCAGCTGGGTAGGCTATAAGAAATGTGAAATAAATAAGCAAATAATAACAACAAACCTATTGCCTTAAACTAGATTCGGGACATCCAACCACCCCTTTGCATAATTGCTTCTTTGCTTCTTTTGTTTCTTAGCTATTGCTTTTTCTTTATGTTTGAACAGTTGTGCTCAGCGTGACGTTTGGCAATGATTGTTCTACCATCAAAAAGCTCAGTGGGAGATATCCAAATGCCCTGCATGAATAGGCTTTATGTGCTTTCTAGCAAGTCTAAATATTTGCCATTATTTATTCTGACTTGTTGCTGTTTTCCAGAGTTTCAGGCACGGTTTGCTAGTTTGTGGGTTTTTATATTACCAGTTCTATGTTCAGGTTGAAATGGTAAGGATTAAGTCTGTGACCTTCTGGATGCACACTGAATGCACATTGTGAGCTGGGCTGCAAAAATCTTGTCAGAATTTTCTGTATCTCTTTGCTGCCATCTAGTGATTATCTGTATTCATACCATTGATATTCTGGCCAATGAAGGCCCACCATAAAGTTCCACTATAGTGACTATACCAGGGGTAGGCAACCCAAAACACTCACAGAGCCACTTGGACCCGTTTCCCACCAAAAACAAAACACCGGGAGCCGCAAAACCCTTTTGATATCTAAAATGAAGATAACACTGCATATATCCTTTTTTACCTTTATTATAGGTGTGTGTGTGTGTGTGTGTGTGTTTGTGTATGTATGTGTGTGTGTGTGTATGTATGTATGTGTATGTATGTGTATATATATATACACATATACATATACATACATACACACACACACACACACACACACACACTAAAAATAAAAGTAAAAATATGACTCTTGGGAATATCCATACTATTAAAACAATGATCACCAAGAGAATGCTTTAAGAGAATAAAATTACATACACACACAGGTTAAAAAAGGATATATGCAGTGTTATCTTCATTTTAGATGTCAAAAGGGTCTCTCTCTCTCTGTCTCTCTCCCTCCCTCCCTCTCTATCTGCCCTTGGTCTGCCACTCCTCTTCCCCCACTCTCTTTCTTTCTCTCTCTCCTTTCCTCTCTCTCTCTCCCCTCTTCTCTCTCTTCTCTTTCTCCCCCCCCCTATCTGCTGCTCACCTGGCAAGCTTCAAGCTGTTGTCCAACAAGCTCAGGGGTAAGCAACCTCGTCTCTTTTATGACTCATGGACTTCAACTCCCAGAATTCCTGAGTCAGCCTAGCTGGGCTAGCTAGCTCTCTCCTGCCCTTCCTGCTTCCTGCTTCCTGCAGAGACGCAGCAAAGGGAGGAGCTCCGCCCAGTAAGCTTTTCAGCTCCTCGGAGAACACTGTGAGTGTACTCTCTTTTACACACACACACACACAAACACACACACACACAGAGAGAGAGAGAGAGAGAGAGAGAGAGAGAGAGAGAGAGAAGCAGGGAAGCGCAATTGCCTCTCTCTGTCTCTGTCTCTGTCTCTCTCTGCAAAGGCAGAGGAGGCTGGGAGCCACAGGGGAAGGCTCAAAGAGCTGCATGCGGCTCCGGAGCCGCAGGTTGCCGACCTGTGGACTATACTATAGGACAGTGGTGGTGAACCTATGGCACGGGTGCCAGAGGCGGCACTCAGAGCCCTCTCTGTGGGCATTTGTGCCGTCGCCCCAGTCCTAGGCCTTCAGCTGGGTTTTATAAAACCTTTTTGCTTTAGGCCTCCGTCGCCGTGTGCAAAAAAAAAAAAAAAAAGGTTCAATCAGTCAATTTCAACTTCTCACAGGAAAAAAAAAAGATTTGCAAAGTTGGAATTGATTGATTGAACTTTTTAGTCCCACCCAGTCTGCCGTTACCACTGCAGCCATGCCCACCCAATGGGCCACAGCCACCCGGCACTTGACGATGCATGTGGGTTTGGGGTTGCAGTTTGGGCACTCAGTCTCTAAAAGGTTCGCCATCACTGCTATAGGAAGGAACTAGAAGACCTTGGCACGTGTTTGCAAAGAACAGAGCTTGTGCCCAATTTTGTCCCCTGCTTTCATCTCTCACATCTCTCATGTGCTGAAACAGAGTCTCCCATCCTACTGGATTTGCAGGGTTGGGAATTCAAATTGGAGGGCAGCACATTGGAGAAGACTGCTAAGGCTTCCAAACTTTTTCTCCTTTATTAAATGCCACCAGGTTACCTATTGGCCTTAACCAATGAACTGCAAAATATTAATTATTCAGGTTCCACCCCACAATAATAGAAGGTTGACCAAAACTAAATAGAATACTGAGAGCTAGTTTGGTATAATGATTAAGGTGCTGTCCTAGAAACCAGGAGACTGAGTTCTAGTCCCACTTTAGGCACAAAAGCCGGCTTTGGACCAATCGCCCTCTGTCATCCCAACCCACCCCAGAGCTATTGTGGTGGGGAAACTAGGAGAACTAGATATATTCACCGCCTTGAGTTACTTATAGAAGTAATAAAGGCAGGATATAAAATAAATAAATAAACTTTGGTGGCCCCCTTCCTGCATGCTGCTCCTTAATGGTAAGTCAGCACTGAGAGACAATGAGTGAGGGTCAATGCAGGCAGAAATCAATCCCTGTTGTTTCCTAACAGAGACCCCTGTGTTTGACTACGATGCGTTCTTCGAAGAAAAGATCCAAGCAAAGAAACAAGATCATACCTATCGGATCTTCAAGACTGTGAATCGGCGGGCCGATGACTATCCTTTCGCTGAGGACTACTCTAACTCTGAGGTTGAGGCGCGGGAGGTGTCCGTCTGGTGCAGCAATGACTACCTCGGAATGAGTCGCCACCCTCGCGTGCTGCAAGCCATACAGTGAGCGACAGTCGATATTTCTTGCACTGCCATTTTCCATACCTCCCAAACCTTTGTAATTTCCCCCTTGTATGTCCAGCTTTTCCCAACTGGCGGGGGGGGGGACATGCATGATAGGAAACTGAGTCCAACCTGAGGAGGGCCTGAGGCTTTCCTTGACATTCATGAGCAACTCTCACTTTGCCACTCTATAGAAAAAAACTCTATAGTGGAGGGGGGGCCTCGATTTGCCACTCTATAGAAAAAAACTCTATAGTGGAGGGGAGGACCCTTGCTTTGCCACTCTATAGAGAAAAACTCTATAGTGAAGGGGGGGACTCTCACTTTGCCACTCTATAGAGAAAAACTCTATAATGCAAAGGGAGACTTTGTGTGGAGATGCAGCTGTAAATTTCTCGAACCAAATAAAATCCTAAATGCCTGTTGAGCTGGGACAGCCATTGAACTTGGGGATTGGAACTGAACAAGGGGAGCATCTACATGTGGTCCTTGAGTTACAGCAATCCGTTTAGTGACCATTCAAAATTACAAAGGCACTTTTCAGTGACTCAGGATCAGTGTTCCTACACTTACAACTGTCACAGCATCCCCACAGTCACATGATCAAAATTTGGACACTTGGCAACTGACATGCATTTATGACAGTTGCAGTGTCCGGGCTCATGTAATCATCATTTGTGACCTTTCCACAAGCGAAGTCAATGGTGGAAGCCAGATTCACGTAATGATTGCATGATTCATTTAATAACTCCAGTGATTCACTTAACAATTATGGCAAAGAAGATTGTAAAACTGAGTGTGACTTACGTCACAACCACCTTGCTTACCAACAGTGATTCTGGTTCCAACTGTGGTACAGATCGAGGAATACCTGTATTCAGAACCCTTCCAGGCTATCTCTAGCCAAGCAAAAGCTTTCCTCTCAGAAACCCGAAAGCCAGGCCTTAGAACCGGTTGCGGATTATCTTTGCTGTTTTCTGAGCAAAGTCCTATTCTCTTCTTCTAACCCTCAGGGATACTCTGCAGTGTTACGGAGCAGGAGCTGGAGGTACCAGGAACATTTCCGGCACTAGCCGATTCCATGTGGCTCTGGAGGAGGAACTGGCCAGCCTGCATAACAAAGATGCTGCTCTGCTGTTTTCCTCCTGTTTTGTAGCCAATGACTCCACTCTCTTCACGCTCGCCCGCATGATGCCAGGTAACCAGGCAGTACAGGAGACGTAGGATCAGCCTGAAGCGAAGACCTCCACCCTCCCTAATTTGTGGGGAGAGGAGAGATGGGGCATTACCTTTGGCTTGGTTTCTTTCCCATAGGATGTGAAATCTATTCTGACGCTGGGAATCATGCATCCATGATCCAGGGCATCCGAAACAGCGGTGTTCCAAAGTATGTGTTTCAGCATAATGATCCACACCATTTGGAGGAGCTCCTACGCAAGGCCAAACCCAGCACCCCAAAGATTGTCGCTTTTGAAACTGTGCATTCCATGGATGGTAATTGCCTCTCTTTAGGTTTCGCTACGTAGTGTCCTAATAACTTCATAAAACACCATCATGCATCAAAAAGGTGTCTCTAGGTATAAGATCGCCAAAAGCACTTCCTGAGCCAGCCCAGATTCCTTGGCCAGTTGAAGGAGAGGCATCTAGCAGCAGGTTCAGGGGAAAAATGGCCAAGATAGTGGGTCACTATGAGGACTAGATCAGGGGTGTCAAAATTCGCAACGTCACGTGATGTGTCGTGACTTATCGCTATTTCTCCCCATTGCTGGAGCTGGGGTGGGTGTGGTTTCGGCATGACGCATTTGGGCTGCGGGCTAGCAATTTGACACCCCTGGACTAGATGAACTATAAACAACAATAAACAGTGACTCAGCCAACAGACTTGTAGGACAAGAGGCGAGCTAAAAATTCTGGAAGCAGAGACAGCCACTAGGCTAATACAGGACTGCAAAAAGCGTGATCCAGGAGTTGCATGCACACACAAAAGGGGGTTGGAAGCTTTTGCTATTCAGATAAGAGCCAAAATCCAGTGTTTTCAACAGTCCTTTGTCCGCAGGTGCCATCTGCCCCCTGGAAGAGATGTGCGATGTGGCCCATCGCTATGGGGCCATCACTTTTGTGGATGAGGTCCATGCTGTGGGACTCTATGGGGCCCACGGAGCCGGCATTGGAGAACGTGATGGAGTGATGGGCAAAATAGACATCATATCTGGCACTCTGGGTGAGTTGGGAAAGCAAAGGTCCAGAGAGGAACCAGGAAGAAAGTGTATTATAGATACTGTCAGGGAACCCTGCTGATTATTTAAAAAATGACCATCTCAAGACCCAAAGGTGGTTGAGTTCTGCTGGTTACTGCAAGTTTTTAGCCCCTGAATTTCTCGTCATTCATAAGAAAAAAAATGCAAGACATACAATATGTTCAGCTTGCATACTGTATGCCGTGTTCCCCCCAAAATAAGGTCAAACTACAAAATAAGCCCTAGCATGATTCTTCTTCGTAATATAAGCCCCACCCCCAAAATAAGCCCCAGTTAAGATTGTCAGCCAGACGGATACATTTAGTACCACATTTTCCCAAAAATAAGACCTAGCCCTAGAACAGTGGTTCTCAACCTTTTTAATGCTGCGACCCCCAACCGGTCGTAAGTCGAGGACTACTCAACTGGTGCAGCACCGTTTGCAGAATGGGACTTTTGGCGGGCTCAGCAGGGCAGAGACAGCCTGGACAATTCCTATTGGCTTTTGAAAGCCAATATAATTAGACTTACTCAAGAGAGTCTATTCTATTGGCTTTCAAAAGCCAATAGAATAAAAGGGAGTAGCACAGCTAAGAAAAAGGGGGGGGGAAAATGGCGGACTGCGTTGTTTGGCGACTCCCGTGAAATGGTCGTTCGACCTCAAATGGGGTCCCGACCCACAGGTTGAGAACCACTGCCCTAGAATAAGCCCTAACGAGTCTTTTGAAGCAAAAATTAACATAAGACCTGGTCTTATTTTTGAGAAAATATGTTACACGTTTCAGATCCAGCTTCCTAGAATTCACAGAAGTCAGGGTGCAATTTTTTTAATTGCATTAGCTCATTCATGCTTTTTAATGCTAAATACACTTAATAGCATAAGATATGCTTGTCATTAAAAGTACATCTTTCTTTTCCTCCCTTTCTCCTCCAGGAAAGGCCTTCGGCTGTGTGGGTGGCTATGTCACAAGCACCACTTCCCTCATTGACACAGTGCGTTCCTATGCAGCCGGATTCATTTTCACCACTTCGCTGCCCCCTATGACACTGGCTGGGGCCTTGGAATCTATTCGGATCCTGAAGAGTCCTGAGGGGCAGGTGCTACGCCGGGCCCACCAGCGCAACGTCAAGCACATGCGCCAGTTGCTTATGGATGCCGGGCTGCCTGTGGTCAGCTGCCCAAGCCACATCATTCCCATACGGGTATGGAAACTCTGGGATGGTGGAAGGAAGAACCTAGAGTTTTAGTACAACAGACACAAAATCTGGGGTTACAGTCCTCAAGGTGAAGGGCTTAAATCCCATTGATGCCATTTCATCATGCCCTTAATATACACAGCCCTTTATAGAATACTTAAGAAAATAAAATGAATGAATGGGACTGAGTAGCTGCAGAATCGTGACCCATCACACAAGGGGAACCCTGGATACCCTAAACTAGGGGTCCCAAAACCCCAGTCTGTGGACTGGTACCAGGCCACGGCATGCCAGCAACTGGTCCGCACAAACAAGCAAAGCCCCATCTGTGGGATGCAGGCAGCACACAAAACCATGCCCCCTCCAGTCCATGGAAAAACCTCTCTCCACGGAACCGGTCCCTGGTGCCCAAAAGGTTGGGGACCTCTGCCCTAAGCTCTCTATCCCCAACTTTCCAGATGAATGAAGTAGCTGGATGCTCTTCCTCAGTTGTCTGATTCATTCTTCCTCAGGTTGGAGATGCAGCCCTGAATACACAGCTTTGTGACCTACTCCTCTCGGAGTACAACATCTACGTCCAGGCCATCAATTATCCTACTGTGCCCCGGGGGGAGGAACTGCTGCGGCTGGCCCCCTCGCCCCATCACACCCCACCCATGATGGACTACTTTGTGGGTGAGTTTCCAGTGCCAGGAGCACTAAGGCCCCAGTTCTATCCTAAGTAAAAGTCATCATCTCGTTCTATAAATTAAATATTAGTACAGGGCAGGATTACAACTTTCAAAATCTCTGTGGAAACAAGGCATTTAAGAGATAATTAAGCTATGTTTGCTTCTGTTCATTACATGCCCAGGGCAGCAACCACTTAGGATGTCATAAACAAAACTGAATCCTAACCCTGAGATCCTAACCTTTACAAGCCGAAGTTGGTCTGCACAAACAATAGCTGAAACTAACTGCCATTTCATACATTGGATATGAAAAACAATTAATGAAAATTGATGTAACTTATTCTGATCTCCCACTTTGAATTTTAGCACCAGGCTTGCGGGTAAAATTAACTTCCTAGGAAACAAAATTCAAACTTTGTATCACGGAAAAACTAGATTCTGGAAAACCTACAGTACATATTATGTAAATTAAGAAATTCAAGAGACCAGCAACAAAACATTGCAGCTTGGTGTTCTCTGATTTATAATTTTAAGTAGGTGCATGTATATTCTTTTCAGTATGCTTCATTTGCTGTGCCTAGTGACCTGTTTTTTCCACCCAATAATTAATAACCACCAAATGCAGAAGGAAGTCTCCTCGCCCCTTAGTAAACTGTTTTGAAAGGGCTTGTGAAAGTTGTCCCTCTGGAAGTCCAGAACTGATCCTACTGGTACCTCTTGTGACAGTCAATAGGATTCAGTGCCTGCCTTCTGATCACTGGAATCCTCTTAATTTCTCTCCTGGAGTGGAAGATTTACTTTACGGGCACCCATGTTTGCAAGAGTTATCTGCCTAAGGCAGGGGTTCTCAACCTTGGCAACTTTAAGACTTGTGGACTTCAATTCCCAGAATTCCTCAGCCAGCAAAGCTGGCTGAGGAATTCTGGGAGTTGAAGTCCACAAGTCTTAAAGTTGCCAAGGTTGAGAACCCCTGGCCTAAGGTGAGTAAGTACTGCCACCAAGTGGCCAATGCAGATATTTTTTTTAACTCCACAAACTCATACAGTAAATAGCTGATGGTATTTCATGAGGAGTCTTAAAAAGTTCCACAGACACTAAAAGGTCTCTTTAAATATTAACCCATGTTTTTAAAAGGAAAAAATTATAGATTTTTCAACATTTTTAATCATTAAAAGCAAATTCAAAGGCAGAATAAAATAAGAGCTGAGACTTCTCTGCTGCTGCAGACAGAGGCAAACCCACAGTTCTGTCTACGGTATAGACAGAATATAAACAGCAGCTTTCAATTCAGAGATTTGACCCTTTTTCTCATATGGTGGATTTTGAAAAGGCCAGAGACTTCCTCTCAACTTAAGCTTCTACTTCAGGGCCACAGCCATTCATTTTCTTACCACTAGCTCCAGAAGTCACCGTAGAGCTCCTGGTATCTATGGAGATTCTTCATCATCCAGGTCATGGTTGTCCCAAAGCTGCTTTTTCAAGACACAACTGGATTTTCTTGTTTTTCTTTAAAGATATTTCGCTTCTCATCCAAGAAGCTTCTTCAGCTCCTGAATGGTCCATACAGCAGCAGTGCACTAATAGTCTGTATTTTAACCTGTTTTCTTCTCTTCCAGAAAAACTGCTGGCTGCTTGGCAGGAGGTGGGCCTGCCCCTGCAGGTCTCAACCTCCCCCGAGTGCCACTTCTGCCACCGCCCACTTCATTTTGCTCTCATGAGTGAGTGGGAGCGGGATTATTTCGGAAACATGGGGCCACGCTATGTCACCCTTTGTGCTTAAGGAGCGCCTCAGGCCACAGAGCTCACTGCCTGCCGATGGGGAGAGAGAGGGGCATGCCTCACACCAAGGCTGCCCAGCAGAAAAAGAGATGATCTGAATACAATAAAGCTCTAAAACTGCCTTTTCTGCATATTTCATAGAATGTGAGGATTTGGGCTGAAGAAATTCTTCCAGCTGGCAGCCTTTTGCATCCCTAGACCAAGATAGGAGTCAGTGGTACTGACTACACATAGTACATCAAGCCCTGGTACGGTATAAGTCACAGCTGGCTGAGTACAAAGAACACGCTAAGCTGTAATACAGTTTACTAAGGAACAATGTGACAGGCTCACCCAGATTACACTCTTATTTTCCACATGATTGTTTACTGGGCTGCCAATTAATAGGAACACCCAAATTGGAAAGCTAACATAGGATCAGCAGATAATTAGCTCTGGAGAAAACAAAGCAGAAAGAATGGGGAACTCTAGTGGAATTATTTCAATGAGCTGTGAAAGTGGGCAGAACTTTGTTTTCAAAACTAAAATTGAGCCTCTTGAGATTTGACCATGATTCTACTCTGTGTTGGCCTCTCTACTTGAAATTCTCTGGCCACAGGAGATGAGGGATTTAGAAATATTTAAACAAGATTTTCAGAGAATAGAAGAATTTCCCCAGTTTAGAGAAAAGGGTGTTTGTTTCTTTGTTTTGACCAAAGATCTTTATTTTTATCAAATGTTTTTTTAAAATGTGTTTTCTACAAAGGCTAGTCATTTCCTAGCAATCACAAAGATTTAAGTTTCTAATGGGGCAACAGGGAAAAGACGACTGAGATCAAAAGTTGCCCGAATCCTTTTAGAAGTTCCTGCAATATAAAAGAGCAGAAAAATATGCATCCCTGACCTCATGTAGCCACTTGCAATTACTTATCCCAAGTCAAAGTCGCCTGCCTGGGCAGGTCAAATGGGGTACATAGCACCCAAAACACAAATCAGACTCAGACTCCCCTTGCTCTGCTCAGGAAGCGCCCTAGCTGGCCCACAGGAAGTAGTCACACCGTGCACGGGGATCCGAGGGCTTCCCCAGAGGCCGGGCACAGACAAAGAAACGTCGTCCACAATTTGGGCCTTGTTTCTTCACTGTCCGCAACACACAGGGCTCCTTGTGGGCCTTGCAGCGAGGTGGGTGTGCAGGGCCAGGTAGTAGTGACTTCCACAACACAGACTGATTTTGCATAGAGGGGAGTGTGTTTTTCTCACAATTCGTAGCTGCCTTGCTGGTCACACCCTTAGAGGGTACCTTTGGACTCTCAATAGATGTCTGGGTTACCCCTGAGACTTCCTCCATCCCACATTTATCAGTTATCCTTTCAGTGCTCTCCACAATAGGCCATTTCCCAGAATCCTCTGCTGCTGCCCTCTGGACCACTTTCAAAACTGACTGGCCCCTTCCATCATCCATAGGCTCAGCATCCAAGGTTCCAGCTTTGAAGAAGCTACGCAAATCCCCTTGCCCTTTCTGTGCTGGGCCGGTCCGCCTTTTCTTTAAATTCGCCAAGGCAGTTCTCTCCGCTTTGCTCCGTTTCTGTCCCTTCTCAGGCAGTTTAGTCTGTTCCACTTTTACCAGAAACCGGTTGAGCTTCTGTTGGGTGCCAGCAAACTCAGGCAGGAACCGGGTGCAGAGCGGGGGACACCGGGGGGCAGACAGGCAGGTACTTTTCAGCACAGCCTGGACAGGACAGTGGTCAGAGCCCAACACCTCTGGCATGATCCGGGCATCGGTCAGTTCCAACAATGCCAGAGCACGGTCAGCCAGGATGTAGTCAATGCGGGTACCATAGTTAAGATGCCGGGATCCTGTTACATTACACCAGCAAGTGTAGGCTTCATCCTGACTCGGGTTCAGAAAGCGGAAAGTATCAACAAAGAGGTTCTCGTTCTCAGAATCTCTGCCAGGCTCCCACAGGAAACCGTCCAGCCAGTGGCGCCCAGGATGCTCCTGGAAGGATTCCTACAGGTCAGAAGAGAGGCAGGCTAGTTTTATGAAACTAAAATGCTTTTCCATGTATCTTCAAACTGGTGCAAGATTTTGGTACCTGGACTTCATAATGGGGAGGATCATGTCTCCCATGCAATGGCTCTGGTTGCAAATGTGGCCATATTTTAAGATTTACAAGACCAGAGTTTCCATCTCCTCTCCAACTCAATGTGGCAGGAAACTGTGCTGTTGGGTTTCAGTAATCATGGCCAGAGGGGTGTCAAGGGCTGCAAAAAAAAAAAAAAAAAAGGGGGGGGGGGCCTGGAAAGCCAGATGCAGGCCTAGGGCTATAAGTTGCCCTCCCCTGGATTGTAATAATTGTAAAGTTATTGTACAATAGATCAGCAATATTGTATTCATTTACTGTACACCCAGACTTTATTACTTTGATAACTCAAGGCGGTAAATATTTTCCTATTTTCCGACAACCAGCAGGGCTGAGAAAGCGACTGGTCCAAAGTCACCTAGCTGACTTTCATGCCTAAAGTGAGACTAGGACCCACGGTTTACACTTACCAAATCTCCTGGGTCACAGTGATCGATGGGCCTGTGTGCAGTATTGATGTCTCCCAGGATGATCACGTGGCTAGAGGAAGAGAGGAAATGTGCACCGTCAAAATCTGCAGTTCCATTATAGGGTCTGCTAATACAACTATAAAGCACAGCTGAGGTCTCAGAAGCAGGCAGCTGCAGCACTGAGAAGTATCAGCAGGGAAAAACTCGGTTCCAAGTGCAAAGTAGCTTACGCTGGATGAATATACTGAACATCCACTTAAACCAAGTGATATTTTTGGTCTGTGTCACGAAGGGTCAGATTAGCAATGGTTCCCCTAGGCTTCAAATACATCTCTTTTCTACCATTTTTCACCCAGCATTTCTGTTGCTCAAGATAAAAAACTAAACATGGAGCTTTTCTTTTACAAAGCATGCCATAACTTCCATTCCCTCACCTTAGCCTTAATATATAAGAATGGACTAAAAAACATATCTGCCCAAACCAAGTCAACAAATATATCTGAAAGAGCTCCGACATGTTTCCCAAGTTCTTAAAAAAACACTCCAAGCAAACTTCCCCAGAACTTTGTTCACCTAGTCACCCACCTTCCTTTACACACCCACAATGGTGCTCAGTGCACAACAGACACAAATAGCTTTTGAGCCAGAATTTCCTTAAAAAGTAGTTTTCACTAAAAATCTCAGTATCTACAAATCTGAATAATCTGTAATGCACGAATCCCCCTTAGTGAGTTGCATATAATTCAGGACAGATCTGAGATAAACAGGCTTTGTCTTATATTTCATACTCATATCATATGTATTTTGCTCAATTTATTCAGTCAAAGAAGAAGAAGAAGAAGTAGCTTGAAAGCTACCTTAAAAAAGAAAGACGTCAAAGGGATATTACAGGACTTATAAACAGGAACGAATATTTATTAGATTTCTCTTGGTTTTAGCAAACTTTACAGTAGTTTCCCTGCAAGATAGTTCAACGTTGTTCTCTTCTCATTGCGCAGAGTAGAAAGAATATTGCTTAGCCCAGCTCAATGCAATAATAACAGCTGAATCAAGGATTTCACAGCATGCCTACCCTCCAGCTCTAAGAAGAGCTTCAGCCCGGGCTTGCAAGAGGCGGTAGAACTGCAGCTTGAAGTCTCCACGTTCTGGCTTTTCAGGGTCAGCTCGAGGGCAATACACATTGATGACAGTCAGCAGAGTTTCCTGCTGTTCTGAAGTGCTACAACACAGAGAAAGTGTAGAGTTCAGTCCCTGCCTCTCTACATGCCATCCAATAATGCTCAGCCAACCGCACCTAGTATGAAGAACTTAACCATTTTCAGCCTTTATTCCAACTCCACTTTCTGCTACTGGAGGATGTTTCAAAAAGAGTAATATTTAGCATTTATACACCTCCTTTACTCAGCTTCACATCTTAAATACAAGCATCCTGCTGATCCAATCCCCAACACATTTACTCTATAATTCTATTTTCAAAGGACCAACTGGAAAGTCCTCAGAAAAGATATCCCCAGCACGCTGCAACTGACTGTATTGGTCCTCTACTCCTTTTGTTTTAAGCCACTGTACATAAACAGGAGTCATTCTAATTAGGTGACCCTATCAACTGAACAATTAAGATGGTAATGTTTCAGCAAGTTTAGTCTAGTACAGGGGTGTCAAACTCAATTTCATTGAGGGCCGCATCAGCATTGCGGTTGCCCTCAGGGGGCCGGGTGAGTGTGGCCAGGGTGGGTGCGGCCTACTGGGGGTGTGTGGATGGAGTGGGTGTGTGGCCTACTGGGTGGGCTTGGCCAGTTCTACATCCTTCACGTCAAGGGCGCCTGTGGGGGTCTGGACAGGAGTGGGACAGATCTGAGGGTCTCTGGCAGAAGGGGGTGGGACCAGGACAAGCGCCAAGGCATGGTCCACTGGAGGAGTCTCACCGTTCCTCTCAGGCCATGCGGGGGGGGGGGGCTGGATGGTGGTCAAATGCCCAGCCTGGCCCTTGAACACTCATGGCACCAAACCCAGCCCCACTTCCTCAAGGCTGGTGCTCAAGGTTCTCCTGGTTCCTCACTGTTTCCAGACGGCCTTGTGGAGCTAAGACTGAATGTGTTTCAGCATAGATGGCCACCACAAAATTGTACATTGGCTCCCGGCCGGCCTGGGCCAGAGCCAAGGCAGCGGAGGCCGTTCCCTCACTGTTTCCAGAATGGCTTCGCGGGCCACATGAAACCACTTCGCGGGCTGCATCTGGCCCCCAGGCCTTGTGTTTGACATGTCTGGTCTAGTAGTTAAGGCACCAGGATGGAAATCAGGAGACTGTAACTTCCAGTCCTGCCTTAGGAATGAAACCCAGCTGGGTGACTTTGGGCCAGTCATTTTCTGTCAGCTCAAGTCACCATCCAAGATTGTTGTTGGAAAGAAAATAGGAGGAGGAAGGAATATTGCGTTGTGTTCACCACCTTGAATTGTTTATAAAAATAATAAAGGTGGGATATAAGTAAATAATATGTTTATTATATGTCACATGGATGCTGATGTAGTTGTCTGGGTTTGTTATTTATTTCCTGTAATGTATTTCCATATATTTTGTCAAATTTACATTCTTTTTTGTGAGCTGCCCAGTCAGCCTGAAGTCAAGTGGCAGCAAAGTTGAAGTAAGTAAGCAAATATTATCATTATTATTATTATTATAAGTGATGTCATTGCAACAACTTCTTTCCACTGGCACTCCCTAGCAAAAAGTATTGCAAATCAAGTTGCCTTTGAAACTGATGGTAAAATATTATTATACAGTAATTACAGTAACTGAAACAGCCCTAATCTCCATGAATATATCTCTAATTCTTCTTCCATGAGCAACATGTAGGCTTATTCCATGGGTTATAATTATACCTTTGGCAAGGCAGATTTGTTTGACTGTGCCTTCAATGCCCATATAAAAGAATTCAGCACTATTAACCAAATCACATCTGGAGAGATGGGAGCCATTTACTCTTGCATATGTAATGTTGAATTTAGACTGGTGTCAGGAGTTTCTGAGTTCATATTCACATTTTGTGGGGCTGCAACATTTATCTATCAAACCTGTTAAACACTGGGATTAACCAGACATACCCAAGTTGCATACCTCCAACTGACTCTCTGCTACCATTTAGTAGCTGTCTGAATTTGTGCAGACTGTTTATGCCTAGAATTAACTCCCAAATGCCTGGTTTACAATTAAGGACTTTGCAGTGATCCAAATTCAAACTGAAAAGGTGATTCAGAGTATGCATGAGAGTACTTATCATTCCTGTCAGCACTTCCTTAAATCAAACACATCTTTTGAGGGGGATTCTCCTATCCTACAGTCTTGCTGTGTGAGCCCAGAAAAAAGTAGCTTTTTAAAGCAATCACCAATAGATGCAACAAGAACTCCTATGTGCTCCCAATATTCTCTTCCCCTTCAAATCCAGATCACAACACTGCCTTATTAACTACTGCTCTGTTAATCTCCATATCAGATGAGTTGTCAGCTTCCAGGAAATTTGCTAAGTCAGCATCAACAACAGGTATTCCTTCCCCGCCTTTGTGATCCCTATCTTTACCATATGCGGTGGCGGGTGATCACTGCCCGGCCTTCACTGTCCAGGGCCTTGAGCTCATCAGCTGTGAAGTCTTCTGTGTTTCCATAACAACCGATTGCTCCACTGTGCTTGGTAAACAGCCCAGACAAGCCCTCCTCAGCTGCTTCTGGGGTGGCACTGACCTTACAGAAGGTTGCAACGCCTAGAAACACAGGAGGTTTAAAAGGTCATCCTTCATCTGAAAGGGCAAAAAGGCTATCTACTTAATCACAGGCCCAACATTTTCACTAACTACAGAAATCCTGAACAGCAACCTATATGCACGAAGCTATAATACAGCCCTCACAGATTTTAGAGTGGCCTTTGATTTAATTTCCCAGCTTAATCTTTGGCACAAGATTCTTCTGCTTATCTATTACTTATATGATAAGGATGAGGTACAGTCCCCAGGAAAATTTTAAACCAAAGAGGAGATTCTTGCTAAGAGAAGAGTTCAACACGGATTTATTCAGACACTATAATTATTTAGTTATTACATCAATCCTTTAATTGTTGTGATGAACAACTCTTATCAACCACAAAAATGGTAGACAAGCATATAACAATCCTGTTATATCCTGACACAGTAAATTGGAAACAGAATGAAAAACAAGGAAAGACTTCCAAAAGATCTCTGAGCTTAGATTCGAATTGGTATGCTAAAGGATGTCAATGAACAAATAGTAGCTAAAAGAAGATAAAAGAAAGAAGGAATATATTAAAATATTGTACAGTAGAGATGGCAACATCCAAGATACCTTACAACAGGGGTCCTCAAACTCGGCCCTTTTATGACTCATGGACTTCAACTCTCAGAATTCCTCAGCCAGCATGCCTGGCTGAGGAATTCTGGGAGTTGAAGTCCATGAGTCATAAAAGGGCCAAGTTTGAAGACACTTGCCGTAGAAGATATGCTCTATTTACAAGAACCTGTAGTACTAGAAGATGAAGTTAGTTCACACTCCAATCATTACCAAGTTGGAAGGCTACAAGAACTGATGGAATGCCCATTGAAATATAGCAAGCAACAGAAAAAAGAATTGTTAAAGCTTCTAACCACGTTATGCCAACAAATCTGGCTACCAGATTAGAAGAGATCAATCTACATTCCAATGCCAAAAAAGGCAGTGCGTGTAAGAGTGTGTGCAAACCACTGTACAATATCCTAAATTTCACATCCCAACAAAATAACACAGGACACAGATTAGAACCTTACACTGAAAAAAATATGCCACATGTTCAAGCTGGCTTTAGAGACATGAGACTTTTTTAGCCATGCCTTTGAATCATAATTATTTCTTTACTCAGAGAATGACAAAGTTTAAGAAACAGCAACAATCAGCTGAGAAGCTGTCAATCCAGGAATCAACTGGACTTGTCAGGATTACTAATCCATCAGTACCTGAATAGCCACTGCGAATGCGACTGAAACTGAAGTAGGAGCTATAGCCCTCCACTATAGCCAATGGCTCCTCCAGCAGGTCCCCTGAGAACAAAGCAGAATTTTAATCAGGAAAAAGATCAGCCTAGAACAGTTTTTCCCAGCTTGGTGTTCCCAGTATGGTTGAACTTCTCCTGTGATCTCAGACAGCAAGGCCAGCAAGCTTCAGAGACAAACTATAATACACAAACACACACACAAACACACAATCACATTGCTTTTCTTTACCAGTTTTTAAAAAGGGAATATTTTCAGCATGCTAAAAAGAATCCTAGACTAATTTAATGCAGTGTATGGTCAGCCAGCATATGGCTTAAGACTCAACATGGAAAAAAGTATTTTTAAAGCATCTAATGTAAAATTATGCAAAATTTCTGATTGTCTGAAATCCCAGGGACCCACTACAGTTTAAGAACCGAAAATGACTAGCTAGATTAAATTTGGTTTAGCAAACATGTAAATGAGACATACATCAGGCTACTTTACTAAAACTAGACTTTTCTTGATTTCATTTCAATATTGTGGTTCCTACAGTTTTCTTTTACCTAAAAAGTTCAATCAACACTGAGGTGCTGTGAGAAAACAACAACAGCTCATTTCGCCCTCATGTTCGTCTGTTTTAATATTAGGGCAAATTTCACACTTTCTCAAGGGGAAATTAATTCCAATAAATGTATCATATATCCATAGTCAGGCTGAAATATGTTTCTCCCTTTACTGTCATTTATGGATAGAAAGGGCCTGATGATGATTAAGTATATTAAGTCAGCGTTAACTTTTAATGACAAAATAGATTTTCTCCAAGATGATGTGCCCTCCACCTGGCCTGTTATGTCTTTCAGTAGTGCACTCATGTTATAATCAAGTCCAGCCATCAACCTTTTGCTAGTGATCCCCTTTTTAATTTTCTTTCCATCTTTCCCAACATTATATATCCAGAAATACTGACATTTTTAACAATTCTATTACTCTCATAATCAATTTAAGAAATCCTGATGAGGAAAATATATTTTTGATAATTACACAAGATAAGTAAGGTAAGGTAAGGTAAGATGATAAGAGATTATAAGAGATGAGATAAGATAACCTTTATTGTCATTTTTTTTTACTGTGGGCACAACAGCACACATCAAAAATGAAATTTAGTTGCCCGCTCTCAAAGTGAACACATACATGACACACACCTAACATACTATGAACAACATGTGTATAGACCCACACCCCTACATATACGTAGCAAATAAATATTAAACACTGTCCATCTTGAAAATATAACGGAAGGAGGAAGTTTGAGAGTTCACAAGGTTAATGCTGTTTGGAATGAAACTATGGCTGAATCTGGATGTTCTACTACAGAGAGTACACAAGGCACTCTCATCATGTTCTTCCCTTTGAGTGGAAGACAAGCCGGAGGAGGCAAGTTTATCTAGACTTGCAATATTATCAATTATTATCACAGCAATAAATTACTACCTTAAAGTCATTGCATACATAGAGTTTCCATTTCATTTTTTAAAAATTCTCCTTTGCTTGTTTAAAAAGTACCCACTGAAGATGAATATTAAGATGTCTTTACATATTTGCTCTTTTTGAGATTTTCGAAAGGTATGCAGTTGAGGGGGGGGGGAGGAGAGGAAGGATGAATTAGCCAAATTCGTTAGGAATTGTTTCTAATTTCCATTAAATTTCTGATTTCTATTGCCAAATCTGTGGTTTTGATCCAGCAACTCCAAATCTGAATTAGCCAAACAAATCTCAAATTTGGGGATTGGGGCTACAGATGGAGCTGGTCTGCCACCTGCAATTTCCAACTACTGACCATGTTGTCTGAAGCTGACGCATTTGGGGCAGTCTCTCCTTCTCTTTAGATTTTTATATACTTCAATTTTAGACAGGATGGTTGCTAACCCGACAGACCGTTTCCAGCCACCCATCCCGCCAAAGAGCAAGTGGTCAAGGCTGCAAATAAAAAAAAAAAAACCTAAAAAACACGGGGAAACCCTGCCACCTTTTGCATTTTAAACACTTGTCAAGCTCTGCCTTGCATGCACGTGGGGATGCGGTGACTCACGGGTTATCTTAGTCTCCTGCAAGCAAATAACATCCGCTCCCAAAGAATCCAGGAGCGGCCTCAACCCCGCCGACCCGGCTCCTGCCCGAAGCCCGTTCACGTTCCAAGTCACCAGCCTCATCCCAGCTAAGCGGGGCGTCTCGGACCCAGGCAGAGAAGACAAATTCTCCTCCGAACGTCATTTCCCACCGCCAAGCAAGATGTTTTTTTAAAAAATAAAATAAAATGGGCGTTCACTTCCGGTTCTATTTAGACTTATTGATATGCGGGGCGGAAGTGGAAGGAATGGAGGAGAGCAGTTTGAAAGTTGGGCGTTCTATTTCGAAGAGAATACACTTTTTTTTTTTAAGGGGTATATCTACAAGAGACGATTCAAGATTTAGAGTCCACTTTACAACATGTGGCATTATGGTCTAATCAATTATTGTTGCTAAAGATGATTACAACCATAATTTTGTTTTTTTAATTGACTTTCATTTTTAACCTGTTCGTGGACGTTTGGAAACCTAAGGTCTGCTGCCTTTGAGAGAAAATTTAATCTCATTTCACACCTGATTGTTTCTTAATTTGGTTTGCAAACATAAAATCCAATACAGTAAAATTAATTTTATATGCTGCAAAATCTGAAGCACGTGGGAGCTAGAGGCTATCTTTTGAAGGGGTGGATGCCAGGTAATACCCCTATGCAAGATACGTGATTTTTAATTGAGTTTGCAAAAAGTCAGAGGATTTTTGAAAGGGAAAGTTTAAGATCTTTATACTTTGACTTTACAAGCTTCATGATAATGTTATAGCCTTGAAGGTCATCTAGTCTTAAACTATGGGTTGTAGTCTCCCCAAGGGGTCTTGACCAAACTAGAGCAGAAAGGATTATCTCGCACATGTAAAGTGGATGAATTTGTCATTTAGAATCAATTTTTGGATATGGTTAAATTTGCAGTTCCAGCAATTTGTCAAAAAATGACAGCAGTTTTATTAGTTTTATTCATGGCGGAGGCTCACAAGGATGTGAGGAATGCAAGAAGTTACATGCATAATCCCCATGGTGCTTATTAATTTTACTGTGGGAAGGGGGGGAGGTAAAATATTGGATGTATTTTTCAGTGGGACTACAACCTTTTTGGAAATGGAATGGAATTTCAAGTAGGGAATGAATGTATCAGAAAAATCATTTTTCTTCAAAACTGTTATTCTAGATCAGTGGTTCTCAAGCTTTCTAATGCCGTGACCCCATAATACAGTTCTCCATGTTGTGGTGACCCCCAAGTGGGTGTGGCCACCAATAAGAGGGAGTAGGACAGCTAGGGAAAAGGGAACAAAATGGTGGACAGCATGGTTTGGCGACCCCCATGAAATGGTTGTTCGACCCCAAATGGGGTCCCGACCCACAGGTTGAGAACCACTGTTCTAGATCCAGTCTTTATGCTATGATTGTCCATCTCATGTGCATGTTAGAGCTAACTTTTGAAAAAAGCCTGATGTTTCCCAGAGTTGGCTATGTATTTGACCTGTGTAAAGAATCCCTATTTGTTAATTAGGCATACTTAATTATTTTTTATCCCACTTTTCCTTCTCCTAAAAATTTATAGCCACAGCCCTGTAAAGTATGTGGGGCTGGAAAAGAGTATCTCACCAAAAGCTCACCCAGGGACTTTTGGCTCTGATAATCCAAATCCATGAATGCTATACTGCTTTTTATTATAGTGTTCCACACTTACCTAAAAAGTTGTAATGATTTTAATGGGATTTGGATCAAAAGATCGTCTTCTGTGCTCCTGCCCATCTGGGTTAGACAATAACTTTACCCTACAATCCGCTGCTGCTGTCTCCTTCCAACTTTAAGGCTAATATTAGTACTGACCTTTTCTGCCAGGATCACATGGGGTTTTTTTGGAAAGACTCCTTGGATTGTTTTGCCTCCAGCTCAGCAACAATTATTAATGACACCATGACTGGAAACCTGACCCCTGAGGAAAGTTCTTGTAGTGACAAGGCAATCCTTTCAATGCCATGGCTTCTAGAAAAAAAGAGGATTGATCAGCTATGGAGGAAAAACCTACCAAAATCCCAGGTAGGGGATGTTTAATTGATAGGGCTGGTTACTAGAGAACTAGGAGGTCAATAGAGGTTGTACTTTAAGGATTTAAGGAACAGGCAGGATGTTGTCTTAGAATCTGATATTCAAGGACCCCATGTGCGGCAAACATGGATTGATATAGCTCCTGTCGCCTTGTTTTCTGGATGTAGGCTTGTGATTCCTGCTGGGAAATACCCAAGACTCTGCTGCACAGAATAACACGCTTCCCTTTTCCCCCCTGTCTGTCAGCTCAGCCCGATTAGTTGTATTATACTTCCTGACCTAGAATTTTGAGAGGTGAAAGGTGGAGGCATTGATGCCCAGGATCTGCTCTGCAATATACAGCTCAGGTTAAAGTTGTTGTTTGTGAAAGGGCTATCTGTGTTAAATGGAGGTAGAAGCTGTGTACATATTGAGCAACTTGCTGCAAAGTTAATCTACTTGAATAAGAAGGCACACAAATATAGCCAAACAGTTTTAATATGTGGGCCTATTCCTGTGGGAAGGATTGGGGAGAATGGTGATCTGTGTGTGTGTATATATGTATTATAGGCAAGTAAAATGCTCAGTGATTAAACACTGGGCTTATTGGCTCAAAGGCAACAGCCTGGGTTCCAGACCCGAGCATTACACAATTGAGTGAGTGCCCATCTCCTGCCCACCTTGCAGTTTGAAAGCGTGCAAATGCGAGGAGATAAATAGATGCCACTTTGGTGGGGAGGAAATAGCACTCCATGACATCATTCTGACAACATGATCGCGGAAGCATCTTCAGACAATGTTGGCTCAATAGCCTTGAAACAGAGATGAGCACCACCTCCTATAATTGGCGATGACTAGTCAATAAAATCCACAGGGACTCCTTTCCTTCCTACTCGTGTGGGAAGGAGTGAGGAGGATGGCAATCTCTCTCTCTCTCTCTCTCTCTCTCTCTCTCTCTCTCTCTCTCTCTCTCTCTCTCTCTCTCTGATGAATAGAGTTTATTAATTTTTATCTTCAAAAGGATCTTTACTCCATTTATTCTGTGTCACTAAACTTGTCTAATTTTGGTCTCTACCTCCAGTGTGATGCTTCTGTAAGTCCACTTTAGTTTTGCATGTTTTCCCTTGTTTTAATCATCAGGTTTATATGCCAGATTTCTTCCAGGACTTCACAGTGGTATATATAGAATCCCTCCTCCTTTCCAACAACAGCCCTACAAGGTAGGTTGAGCTGAAAGAAAGTGATAGGCCCAAAGTCACCCAGTAGCTGTGGATGGATATGAATGTGACTTTCTGATCCCAGTCCTACAACTTAAAAACAATCCCATTGTGGGTCATCTAATGTAGTCACTGGTCTTCTAATATAATAATTTTTTAAAGGTCTGCAGCATGATGCTATTTTTCCTTCTTATAAATTGGATATGGTAGTTATTACTGAATTATAATTTTTGATTTTGTATTATAGTCAGAACCCCCAAAGTAGATTATTTCATTATTTCCTATTTTTTGTCAGTCCCAGGGCAGTCACAGAGAATCAATATAAATATATCAACATTTAAAATCTGACTTTTTAAAAAATGCATTGGATTGTGCTTACTTCAGTGTAGCACTCTTCTGATGTATAGTCAAACAATTGATTAAAAAATTATGTAAAAAACATTCCAATAGAAGAAAGTGGTTTTCATCTGATAGTGATCACCTGGTGCTAGCTACTGCCTCGTGCTCAAAGAAAGGAAGTAAGTATCAGTGTCTGGATCCCATCAACATTTTAAATGCTAAATTTCCTGATTCATATGATGATGGCAAACTGAAAAAAGTTTCCAAGCTGATCACAGGCAGAACAACTCAAGAGAAATGGTGAATTGATTCTTTAGGTCATGGGTTCTCAACCTTGTCAACTTTAAGACTTGTGGACTTCAACTTCCAGAATTCCTCAGCCAGCTTTAGGTAAGGAGAACCCCTGCTTTAGGTAATCAAGTCTTTATCTGTTCAGAATCAGAACCAGAATCAGAAATTTGAATTATTAACCAGGTTCAAGATATAATTCTTCTAGAAAGTCTTATGCACATGTTCCAGTCTTTTGAATCAGATTTACAAAGCATCATTTTCCACTGGACCATTTTCTTTGTTCTGAGAAATATTATTTTGTAACTTAACTTGTCCAAGCACTTTCTTAGATTATGATGAGAAAATGTTGGCTTTAATCCAAGAACATTTTAAAACTTGGCTCATTACAGATTGTATTCTTGAAGTTTTGGTTTTGTGGTTTGAATTTTATTATTTTTGGGGTTTTTTTGTAGAATTCCTACTGTTTAAGTACTGTTAAATATTAATGAGTATCTTGCAAGATGAGGGGCTTTGCTCTCCTATCTCAGCTCTTACTTGTTTACCTTCTTTAGTATTGCCTGGGGAATGCCGGCAAACCAACATATGTCCTCATAGCAATAGTTTAAACTGTATGTGCTAGACCCACTGAAGATAGTTATCCCATAAAACACAAATTTTGAATATCATTGGGTAGAATTCTTAGGTCCACTGCTAGCCAGAAGCTCTGTCTTCTTCAGGAATTCTAGTTTGGTGGGCTAATTCCTTAGTAAACACCAGTAACCACCAGCATTTTGTTTTGGCTCATGAACTGTTATGGATCAATAACATACCCAATCAGGTTGAGCCCTTGATGCCAGTTTCAGTAGTTGTTCAGGATCATTTCTTCCAGCCATGATCTCTGGCAAGCTCTGCACTCTGTCTGGGACCCAGAAAGCGAATGGTGATTGGAAAGTAGAGGGAACCAGTGGTTTGCACTGAAAATAAATCAGTATAATGGGGCTTTGGAACTCTCCATGGTAGCAATTATGTCACAGAGAGCTCAAACCTATGCAAATTCTTGCATTTCTCTGCTTTCATTTATTAGAAAAGCGAATTTCTAACTCGTGGTGGTAACAGCAAAAAAATGAAGAAAGATGACAAAATGTTGAAAACTGAGAAGGATTTCATTTTATTGGAGGGAAGACTCAGATTTCTTCACTTAATACAATATTAAATATCATCCAAAGCCTGTATCTCTGTCCCTAATGGATACAGTATGTCAGTGGTGGCGAATCTATGGCACGGGTGCCAGAGGCGGCACTCAGAGCCCTCTCTGTGGGCACACGTGCCATCGCCCCAGTCCTAGGCCTTCAGCTGAGTTTTATAAAACTTTTTTGCTTTAGGTCTCCACCACCGTGTGCAAAAAAAAAAAAAAAGGGTTCAATCAATCAATCAGTCAATTTCAACTTCTCACAGAAAAAAAAAGATCTTGCAAAGTTGGAATTGATTGATTGAACTTTTTAGTCCCACCTAGTCTGCCGTTACCACCGCAATGGGCCACACCCACCCAATGGACCACACCCACCCAATGGACCACATCCACCCGGCACCCAACGATGCATACGTGGGTTTTGGGTTGCAGTTTGGGCACTTGGTCTCTAAAAGGTTCGCCATCACTGCAGTATGTCAAATAAATAACAAGGTATACTGACACATTATCATAGCTACATCCAGTTGCAGGATTTAATTTAGAGAAGCTGAACCTTCTAGAGAACTGGAAGTAAGAAATAAAGACTCAGGGTCTTTGATGTTGAAAGAAAGACCCCCTTGATGTCAGTTGAAAACAAAATCTGGATTACAAAGGCTAAGAAATGAAATGAAAAAGGACTTTTTTCAGTGTCTATGTGTCATTCCTTCCTGCAGTGCTGATTCTAAAATGATATCAGGACCTTTCACTAATATGGTAGCAAAATATATTTGTACAGAAGTGAGCTGCAAGTTATCTCTAGTGTATACAAAGGTGGGAGTTCAACGACCTCTCGTCCCACACTGAACCTATTTTTTATGCATATGCAAACACATGATCAGCAGCCATAGCTGAGCCTTCAGGAAGAGCCAGACAGTCCAGTTTTGCAGGCTAGGAAGACGGTTGTCAGAATGTCTGGAGAGCTTGGGGAGCTCACACAGACTCCCCTCCAGAAAGTATGGATTCCCCGCACCAGCAGGCGTCTGCAGCAACGCAGGGGATGTGAGTTGGGGTGAAAAAGTGGGTCAGCTCTTTCCCTGGAGGAAAAGCTAAGCTCTCTTGACGTGGCAGGAAGCTCGAAAAGGGACGGGCAAGGCAGGGCAGAACAAAACCTTCTGAAGCTTCTGAGGCAGGGATAATATGTGGGAGCTATATGAAGATGAGGGCTAAAGCAATCAGTGTCTATTGCCAAGGCCAGAAGTGGGAAAGACACCACTCTGTCTCTGACACCTTTTTTCCCTCTATATAATATTTCCCTCTCTCTCCCAAGCAGGAAGCCTGATTTTGAAATTAGCCAGAGGGCTGTATGCAAGCTTAAGGAGTCACAAGTATTCCCTAAGGCCCAACTTGCTCAGAGGGAAGTTCATTACATTTGAACATCTTCAAGTTTGGTCTCTGAGCTCAATCTTCCTGAAAGGGAGAAACTCTAATCTTCCCAATCATTTGTTCCCCAGCTTATAGGTTTGTGTGTGGACTTCCAACTTCCAGAATTCACAATAATGGTCATGCTGGCCTGAAAATCCTGCAAATTAATGACTATGAATCCAAAGATCACCAAGGCATAAAAGATCTGGATTAACTGTTACCTATTCCACAATAGTCTGCTGTGCTGCAGGTTTTACTGAAAGACTCTGTTGGTTGCTTTAGGATTCAGAGTTTTAGTGCTAAAACAGAAAAGGTTTTAGGCAGAATGCTATTTCTCTCTGTTTTGTGGGTTCCTGAAACTCATCACAAAATTAGGCTCAGTCTCTACTCCTTTTTCCATTTCTCTACAGCCTCAGTGCCACAGTTCACCAATTCACCAACTATGGTAATCATGGTAGGATTGCCAGCACGGGGGAAAACTTACATTTCTAAAAAGCTCACTCGCTACCTCAATTGGATCGGGATCCCCACTAAAGGTAAGGAAGGGAATAAATGATTCATTCAAGGTGAATGGAATCAAAGGGCAGAGGGAGAACCACTTAAGCCAATAGAAAAGGACTTACTTAAAAATACCGAGCCATTCTAGTCTCCGTCTCCCTAGTGTTCAATGTTGGACAGTATCGCCGTGAAGCCGTCCAGACATACAAGAATTATGAGTTCTTCCGCCCAGACAATGAGGAAGCTATGCAGATCCGGAGGTGAGCTTATTCAGATCTGATTAGTATAGTGGAGAAGACAAGGTTGTTTCCTACCACAATGCTCACTGTAATCTGCCAGGATGCCCTCCCACATCCTAGTTCGACTTAACTTGGGGAGAGGGGTAGCAAATAAGAAAGTTTCAAATACAACCCTCAATTTTTGTTTTCTGAAAATATATAGGATCCAGAAGCATTCTTGGAAATAACCATTATGCTTGAATGTAGCATTTCATTTTGCAATATTCTACCTTCCCATTTAATTTACTTGTTAAAAAAAATAGAACCTTTAAAACAATCAGATGGGATATAGAATCTGGTGTCCAACTGAGGTCTCTCCTCACACACTGGCCTCCTGCATGAGCTTTTTTGGGGACCAGGTGGTGTTCTTGGCAAGACCACATTTTTGTTTTTTGTAAACATGGCTGAAATATGTGAAACCTTCCACACATCTTAATAGGTGAAAAACTAATTGTTGGTATTACACTATAAAGATGCTGAAAAGGGGAGGCTCTAGAGGAAGAGTCAGCATTCCCACTACCCCTTGAATTTAATACAAAAATATAGTTAGCTGTAATACAAAAAAAGTGTTGTAAAGATTCAATATATAAAACATAATTTGACTGATGATGTGCCATCGAGCTGGTGTTGACTATTAGCGGGCACATAGATTGGTTTTCCCCATGACGATCTGGCCTTTCAGGTCTTCCAACTGTGCACTCATTGCCACTGTTACTGAGGCCATCCACCTTGATGGTGGTCATTCTTTTCATCTCTTTCCTTCTACCTTTTCCAGCATAAGAATCTTCTCCAGAGATCTAGGTCTTCACATAACATCCACAGTAGGATAATTTGAGCCTGGCCATTTGTGCCTTGAGTGAGAATGCTGAGGTGATTTATTTGATGATCCATTTGTCTGTTGTTTTGGCTGTCCACAGTATTTTCAACAGTCTTCTCCAATACCACCAATTCTCTTTCTAGCCTACCTCCTCAAACCTCAAGGAGGTAGCTTGGTTAGCTAGAAAGGCACTTCGCCTCTTTCATATTCCATATTTGTTTTTGGTTTTTTATTAATGTGTTGGTTTGTTGTTATTTATTTTGGTGCTACCACAGCAATGGATCATAGTGTGTAATCTCTTCCTTGCCTTCTCTTTTAGGCAGTGTGCATTAGCAGCTCTTCGGGATGTCCAAATCTATCTGAGCATGGAAGAGGGACAAGTGGCGGTAAGATGGCAAACGCCCATATAGATCTAACCCTATTGGCACCTATTTCAGGCTGCATGCCAATTTGGTTGCCTTCTCTTCTCCATTACCTAGGTTTTCGATGCCACTAACACTACACAGGAACGCCGTGCCCTTATCTTGCACTTTGCCAAGGAGAATGGCTACAAAGTAAGCGGGGAAATAAAGAGCCCATAAGAACAATGGGATGCGACCTAGAACTGCGTGCAAATTTGCAAAGTCTTGAGTGTAAACCCTTAGAGATCCTCAGAGTTGTTACCAAGTTGCATTTTTTTAAAACTATAGAAGGAAGAAATTAAGTACATGGCTGGAAAGTAGTCAAATTAATGTTTAATCAAGTCAATGTTAGTTCTTGCCCTGATGTCACCTTGTATTTTTGAAGTCTGGACTTTATCACCCTGTTCAGTTGCAAGGCTGGGTCTCTACACTCTTTGCCACAAGGCAAATTCAGATTTGAAAATACAGACTGAATTAAGCAAACTTGGGTTTTGCTTTTTCTTTTATTTACTTATCTTTATTTAATCTGCTTCCTACATTCACTTACAATGCAGAAGAAGCCAAGTTCACAATCCTTTTTGTTATATTCATCAACCATTATAAGCCATTAAGATATTCAAAAAGAAGTAACACCAGTAATTTTTTATTCTAGAATACCTACTAAGACAATGCAGCTCAGTTCTTAAAGCAAATTAATCAGTCCTAATTGTCAGTTAGGTGAGACTTGAGACTTGGCTGTGATTAGATGAGGATGATATTTAAAAAATAATTTTATTGAAAGTTTTTAAAAAAGAAACAAGACAATTGCAAACTAAACTCAGAAAGGAAAAGAAAAATAAAGAAAGAAAATAAAAAGTGCAAGAAAACAGAAAAAATAAAGAGAAAAAAATAAAAAAAATATTTAAAGAAGTGACTTCTGAACTTCATTGCAACAAGTACAAACGACATTGATTCTTCATCCCCTATAAGATTACATACAAATATATCCTCTTCCCATTACCCATCCCTTATCTAGACACAAATGCATAAATCATTAACATTTCTGTCCCGGTGTCAGCCAAAGTCCATAAAAGGTTCCAAGAATTTTATAGAAACATGTCTTATTTTAACTGTGGTCAAACAAACCAACTTTGAACTCCTTCCATTTGTTTCTAGGAATTTTGATCTTGAATTCATTCAGATGTTATCAGAGGATTTGATCTCTCTTCAGATTTTCTTTTTCCCATCTCGAAGGCTACTTCAAGGCTAAAATTCCTTTTATAAATCCAATAAGGAGTCATTGTCCAGGTCATTCTTTTCGCTTATCGTTTGTATTTCGATTTTAACTGTCATCTCTGTCTTATAATCCATATATTTTTCATTTCCCAGTATTTCAACAACTTCTTTATATTGTAATATTTCACCCTCAGATGAAATTTGTTTTAGCTCTTTGTCCTGTAGATCTTCCAAGGTATTCTCTTTCATAACTGTCATTTCTTTTTAAGTATCTTTTTGGATATAACCGAGCCATAGAAGCAGACATCTCTGCTGACACTGTAGCTCCTAGTTTCTGCCCTGATTCTTCAAATGTCTCCTGAAGTATTTCAAATCGCATACCGTTATCTGTCATTTTTCCTCAATGCTGATAAAAGGCAAGCCTCTCTTTTTTTCTTTTATGCCTAGAATCTTTAGTCCCCTTTAGTATCCAATTTTTGAAAACAAAAAGCCTCAAATTTTTGTTATAATTTGAGGTAAACTAAATAATTTAGTTTCCACCAAGGTGCTGTTTATTTACATAATTATTTTTAAAATCTTATAACAAAAGCCCTAGTATTTCAATGTTATCTGCTCCCTTAATCCATTTACAACTTCCTCAAATAAAATTGAATTTAATTTGAAATTAAAATCTTCTTTAGCTTTGGCCATTTATTTCAAATTCTTTAAATTCTTAAGCTTATAGTTATTTTTTTTTCCTTTTTATTCCAGAATAAATGTAAACTCACCAGGTTTACTCCCCCTCTTTAGTTAGGGAAAGAAGGACAAAAACACATCCTTGTCCGCAATGTGGGACATTTCCTAAATACTGTTGCTGTAGTAACTTGGAATTCCCAAAGATAACCTGACCCTTTAAATCACGGATTATATTAAAATCCCAATGTGAGATTCACATCTGGAAGGTACCTAGCAGGGCTGTTGTTGTTTTTCTTAACCAGATTTCCAGGTTACATAGTAGATTAGGCATCTAACCTCGACGTGGATTCACTTGAGTCTCTCCCCACTTACCACCGTTTCTCACCCTCCCAGTAGGTTCTGAAGGTTACATAAAAATGCAACTGCAAAATTTGTACAATTGAAGAAAATGCTTCTGTCGGGAGCATTTCATATCCATTCCCCTCTGATGTTAATTGTTTTCACCAATTGTAATAGCTGGTTGGGGGCTGACTGCATGATCTTTTTTTCCTTTTTCCATGACCCCTTCATCTGCCACTCGAGGTTTTCTTCATTGAATCCATCTGTGATGATCCAGATATCATCCAGGAAAATATCAAGGTAAAACTCCTTTCTGTCTCTTCAGTCAGATATTTTGATAATGTGTAATGTCTGGAAGAGCGCTAAACACAGATATAAAATTTATATCTGTCCATGTTCAGGGGCGCTCATTTGCATAGTTCAAAGGGATGGGACTTGGCAATCTTAAATTCATTCTGGTTTTTTGTGATATTTAAAAGTAAACTGACAATTAATGGCTGATAATGGGGCTCCTTTTGGGCAGGGGTTTTAGTACCATTCTGGAATAGTGCTACTGTGAAATAACAGAACTGTACTCCAGAGAAGTGTTAAATCTGTGGTAAAAAGCAGCCTGAAACAACAGCTGATAAGTGCATGAAGAGGAGAGTTGTGACACACCACAAGAGAAAGCTAGATAGTGTATAACTGCATTCATTCATTCCATTCATTCATTCATTCATTCAATTTATTATAGCTGCCCATACCAACAGATTCTGAGTGGCTGGAAAAATCAAGTACAAGATAAAGCAATTGAAAACATAAACCACACAACAGCCTGGAAAACAGTACAATAGCCACATCCTCCTGCCCCCAAAATATTAAACCCAGGCCTGGGACCTAAGCCAGGTTTTAAGGGCACTTGGAAACCCTAGGAGAGTGAGCACTATCCATATCGCTGGGGGAATGCTTTTTCACAGGGTGTGGCTGTGAGGGAGAAGGCACACTTTCTAGATCCCACAGGGTGGCAGCATTAAGTATACGGGACCTGCAGTGCACCCACTCTGTCCAAATGTATTGGGAAGGCAGAAACAGCGGGAGGGAGGTGGTCCCTCAGGTAACCAAGCCCTGTGACATGAAAGGCTTTAAAGGTAACAACCAGCACCTTGAATCGCACCCAGAAACCAACTGGCAGCCAATACAGTGGTGAGATGTGGGCACAATGAGAAGTTACTGCTGCATTTTGAACCAGCTGTAGCTTCCGAATGGTCTTCAAGGGCAGCCCTATACAGAACACATTGTAGTAGTCCAGCCTGCAGGGGCTCCTGGTTGAAGAAAGAGCTCAAGCAATACACACACTATAGCTATGGAAAAGCCTTCCTGGCCACAGCTGCCATCTGCTCTTTCAGCAGTAGCGGTGAGTCCAGGAGGACTCCCCCAAGCCGTACACAGGTCTTGGGGAAATCCAGCCCCACCCAAGACAAAGATGTGAATGTTCCCAATCCAGGAGGATCCAACAGCCCCATCTACTGAGTCTTGTAAGTGTTGAGCCAAAGTCTCAGTGTTCCTCCCATCCAGACCCAAAAAGTTTCCAAAAAAATGGATCAGCACCTCGACAGATTTCCCTGCACAGTCTGGGGTAGAGATGTAAAACTGAGGACACCTCCTTCTTCCCTGGCTTTCTAGACTCATACTAATCTGGCTAATAACAAAGCTGGTTGGGTGTCTCTCCATCCTATTCTCTATCCCCATCCTATGTTCTCTTCTTGTCTGGTATACCAACCACTCACAGCAAGTGAAGCTAACCAGTCCTGACTATAAGGACTGTAACCGGGATGAAGTGGTGGAGGATTTCCTCAAGCGGATTGAATGTTACCAGAAAACCTACCAGCCATTAGATGACGAGTTGGACAGGTAAGGAGGGAATGTCTCAATTACTGTGTTGGGGTGGAGCAGGTACATCCAAGGCTGTCTGTGTTGCAGGGCATTTGACTTTGCAGTGGGTTCCAAAACATGGCTTGCACTGCTCACGATAGCATTACAGGTTTTGGGACAAACTTTATGCCTTCCACCAAAGTAAAACAAGTGGATTGCCAAGAACTACCTTGTCAGTTCAATTTGAGTATCTATAATTTCAAGAAGAGACCCCTGAATATCTTCAAGAAGTTGCTTAGGAGGTGAAGTGGAGAAATAATGATTGGGAAAGGGAGGCATCTGCTGCTTCTCCACACAACATTCATACACAATTCCAAATATCACAATGCATTTGCATGTAATGAAAATAAATTAAATATTTTCTGTAACTGGCACCAGACTTTACTGGTTGGTTTTTATCTTTCATATTTGTGCAAATGGGTAAAATGTATATGTTAGGTACTGATAGTAGGAACTTCCACACTGCCAGCATCATTTCAACCTCCAGATCTGTCACAAAACAGCTGGAAACAGCCCACAATCACCTTCACTTCTGCCTCTCGTGATACACAGAGAACACCATGGGACACTCTGGGTACAATATATCCTCTTTTCTTCCAGCTAACAAATTATGTTACCTAATCCATGTCATATTATCAGAAGAATCTGAGGGAGGGAAGACACCTAAATAATTAAACTTGTTGAGAGCTTTACCCTTTTTGTAGGCATGTTGTGGCATCACACACACACACATACACACACACACACACACACACATACACACATTCATACACATACATGGAGGGGCATGAGTGGCATGATGGCACAATGCTCTTTTGTCATTTTGATAAAATCACCAGATTCTGTAGATCAGGGGTGTCAAACTACCGGCCTGTGGGCTGAATGCGTCCTGCCGAAACTCGCCTATCCCGTTACCGGCAACATGTCACGTGATGTTGTTTGACACCCCTGCTGTACATGCTTCTGCTCTAAGCTACGTCACTTGTACAGTTACAGATGTTCCTTCTCCTCCCAGTCAGCACTAAAAAAAGTAATTTCCAATATTTTGCACCATCATATTCGTGAGTATATATGTTTGTTTACCTGGCCACCATTCTTCTGTCACATTTAAAAGCCGCTGTCAGTTACAAAGCTGAAATGATAGCAGGTTGACATTTTTGCAACCAAGCACTTTTTTCCCAACAGCTGTGAGTGTGTTTGCATGTTGAAACAGAAACTGAGTTGGTCGGAAGAGAATAATTAGGCTCTAAACAACGCAAACGGGAAAAGGCAGGATTTGGAACAGATTTGGAACTTTCTGCGAAGGGTGGGGAGAAGAAAATAATGGAGAAAGGGCGGGGAAGAGAAAGTATGGACAGTAAAGAGCTGGGAGGCAAGATGAGGCATGAGTTTTCTACCCGGAACTAAATTAACTTTTTAGAAAAATTGTAGTGATTCAATTACTAGCATTGCAACAATTCCAATAAATTGGACCACAGTCAGAAATAAATGATGCTGTTCCCCCAACCAGAGTTGACATGAGATCCGAGGTGAATCTCTAAATGGTATTCTTTCTAGTAAGGAATACAAAAATCTAAACAAGTACTTTATCTTTTATTTAACCCAGCCATCTTCCAAGTGAGTTTTCCAATAAAACAATATCCACGTTTTCAACTGTTAGTCTGTTAACAAAGGTTAGGAAGTTTTTAAGAAGGCTGACATTCTCCCAACGCTTGCTAGCTATCTGATTTGCATCACTGGCTAGAATTCATCTCTATAATTCTATTTTATTCCTATATTTAGTACTGGTATGTACAAGAGCTACAGTCTACTGTATATATAACATTCCAAAATTAACTTTTGCTTGTTTATTTCATAATAAATATTCTACCTCCATTCTTAATCAAAAGATAAAATTTCTATGAGAATATGCTATAGGCGATATGCTCAACCCCCCCCCCAAAAAACTTAACTATGATGGATGGACCCCATCTTGTGTATTTTATTCTGGTCATACAATCTTTTCCAGTCTAATGCCATGTGACTATATTTCCTAAAATTCTAAGCCCAACACATTTGGAGATAGGGTTAGGGAAAGCTGCTATAATTTTGGCAATCATTTAATACTGAAAATTGGTAGTAAAATTTTAGATGTTAGGAACAAATCAGGAGTGAATTATGCTGGTTAGAAATGTCACATTTTTGAAAACTAATATGAAAGAAAAGCAGGTACTAAGAAATGTTGAGTGCTTAATCCATGCGAGTGGTGAACTGGTTATCCCACAAAGCTGTTGAACTAAACTCCCAGAAAGCCTGTGATAAATGGTAAAGATGGATGAGAGTTGTAATCCAAACATCTGGGAAAGCCAGAGTTTTCCCAGTCCTGATTATAACTAACAAAAAGATTAGCTTTTACAAAACTGTCCCAAAAAATGGCTCCTCAAATGTGACCCAGTTATTCTTTTTACTGTAGTTCCCTATCCTACATTAAGATCTTCAACGTTGGCAGCCGGTACTTAGTGAACAGGGTTCAAGACCACGTACAGAGTCGCACTGTTTATTACCTGATGAATATCCACGTGACACCCCGTTCCATCTACCTCAGTCGGCACGGGGAGAGCGAGCTTAACCTCCGGGGATGCATTGGGGGTGACTCCGGGCTATCTGAGCGTGGCAAACAGGTATGCTTATCATATTGTTATATATTGGTATGTTGCTGCATATAAGCCAGTGTTTCTCAACCTTGACAATTTTAAGGCATGTGGACTTCAACTCCCAGAATTCCACAGCCAGCATTGCTGGCTGTGGAATTTTGGGAGTTGAAGTCCACATGCCTTAAAATTGTCAAGGTTGAGAAACACTGATATAAGCTGTTTCATATCAGGTCACGCAGCATAAAAGCATGATCAGTGGATCAATTCAGCAATTTGACGTAGTGATCAAAGCGCCAGGCTAGTACTCACAGAAAGAGCCTGTGAGTTCCATTTCCTCCTTAGGCCTATAAAGCCATCTGGGTGACTTTGGGCCAATCATTCTCTCTCCCAGTCCTAGGAAGATGGCAAAAGCAAAACACTGCTGAAAATCTTGCCAAGAAAACTGTTAGGACCAGTCCAGGCAGTTGCCTGGAGTCAAGTCTGACTTGAAGGCACATAAAATTCAGCAGAGTAAAATGTCCTAATGCTAATTTTATTTGTTAAAGCCCTCTGAAAATATTTAGGGAACAGCCGCATAGAAATGTTCAGAATATCCCTAAAATTCAAGCACTGGGTTTTTTATTGGGTTTACATAAACTGAACCATTAAAACCAACCTAGTTGTAAGCCACCATTAACAATTATAAACTGGAGGCTTTCATCTCAAAGCATCCGATTCCTCTCAAATCTAAAGTTCTCTTCATCTTTTTATTTATTTTCCATGGAGCTTCTAGAAGGTGCTGCAGCTTTTTAAAGAGGTGAATTATGAACTTGCCTCCATGAGGAGGCTAGATGTTCTGTATATTGGCTGCTGTTCATTTGACGACAGTGATATTTAGTAAAGATTATCCTCATAAGATTTTCCACCCAGGTGCCCATTAGAAATGCTTATATCCAGGAGCTCCATTTTAAGCTCATAGTCTTCAGAAAGTATGAACACGGGGCTTGTGCTCCTTCTTTCAAATACTAGGTGTGGATTCTTAAAAAAGAAGGGCAGGAGCTGAATGTCCTCTTTTTGGCTTAGGGCAAATGTGCCCTTGGGTGAGTCATATCTACCTTTTTTTTTTATCCTCCCTCATTTTCTTTGTCAGTATGCCTCTGCCTTGGCCAACTTCATCCGTTCCCAGTATATCCGCGACCTCAAGGTCTGGACAAGCCACATGAAACGCACAATCCAAACAGCAGAAGCATTGCATGTGCCCTATGAACAGTGGAAAGCATTGAATGAGATTGATGCGGTGAGAAGCTATCCTTAACACAGCCTGGTTCTTAAATTGGGAGGTAGCCCTTAGGGCTGCATATTTCTCTCACTCTGATTTACCACAATTTGCCTTCTATGACCAAGAGAGGCCTAACTCTCAAGAGCAGAGTCCCTTCTTTAGCTTCCTCCTGTGGAAAGCATATGAGGGAAACCTGATACCTTGATTCGCCATACATATTTCTTTCAGCTGACTGTTCTTCTCAATGTCCAGAGCTCAGGGATTTCCAAATTCTGCGCTTGTTTCAGGGTGTCTGTGAGGAGATGACTTATGAAGAAATCCAGGCCAGTTATCCACAAGAGTTTGCCCTGCGAGATCAGGACAAATACCGCTACCGCTATCCTAAAGGAGAAGTAAGAACTGTGCAATCTGGAACGTGGGCGGATTTTAAAGAGCTCGTTACTCAAGGGGGGAATGGCTCAAATTGGAGTCACCCTTAAGGGGGTCGCTTCTAACGAAAAACAGAACGATTCTAATCTAAGTACACGCCAACAGAGAGGCCTCTCCAAATTTCTTCCTTCAGTCCTATGAAGATTTGGTGCAGCGCTTGGAGCCGGTCATCATGGAGCTGGAACGGCAAGAGAACGTGCTGGTGATCTGCCATCAAGCGGTCATGCGCTGCCTCCTTGCCTACTTCCTGGACAAAAGTGCAGGTATCATAGAGTCCATTTTTCCACATTGCAAGACTTTCCTCTCCTCACTTCCTGATTTAGTCTTCTGAGCCATGTGCCTGGGAGACGGACCGTGGCAAAGCCCTCTGTTTATGATTCTTCTTGTATATATGGCGTTTTCCCCGTAACACTTGCCAGTGGGGGAAAAAATTGAGTTTCTTCTTTTAGATTGCAAGAGGAGATTGCATCACAAGTGGGATGGATTGTTCTTGTGCACCCAGTTCTTTCTCTTCCTTAGACCTCTCTGTGTAGTTCTGGAGATTGGGATTGCTTTTGTTTTATTTGCCATTCTTCCTTTTCAGAGGAATTGCCATACCTCAAGTGCCCATTGCACACTGTTCTCAAGCTCACCCCTGTGGCATATGGTAAGTCCTTTCCTCCTGGGCAAAGATCCATTTGGACAGCAAAAATGTGAGAAGCCTGCTTTGGGAGAGCATGCGGGGGTAGCCAGTGATTAGGCACCAAAGATGAATTTGTTGCAAAAGAAAACATAACATACTCCTATTGTTACCTAAAGTATGGTTACCTAATGTTGGTTGGGAGTAAATTGTTATCTAATGCTAATAAGCTTCCTCCCATTTTGTGGCTATGGACAGTCACTGATACAATCCTTCAGGGGCTTTTCCTACCTGCACAAATTCTTCAGAATACACAGGAAGAAAAAGCAAGGTTCGATGGCCTATATAATCTTTTCCAATTTATTGACTGCCATTGTTGCTTTCTTGGTTTGACTTCTCTGTCCACTGTAAGCAACAGTCCTGGTACTTCTAGCTGCTCTACTAAGCCAATTCCAATCCTGTTTAGCTTCTCCAAGGTCAGCTTAGGTCAGTTGTGTGTTGCCACCCAACTGGATTACAGCTGTTAAACATCTACCTGAACAAAGCTACACGTCTCTTCTATATTAACCTCTGCACACTGCACATTGCCCTTCCATGAATAAGCAGCAGCCTATTGGCAACAACTGCCATACTGGAATTCCAGTCCTTTTTAATTCTTCTCAGTTAAAAGGAAAAATCAGGCAGTTCCAAATCAACTATTCAATTCAACCAAGGCAAGTTTGTGCAGGCCTAGCATGTCATCTTGAAGCCGACAAAGCCATTGGCAGTGAATGAGTGTTTGGCACTCCCATCTACCATCAGTAATTGGGGGTTCATTGTTTTGGGGACAGGCTGCGAGGTGGAATCCATTTTTCTCAATATTGAGGCTGTGAATACACACCGGGAACGCCCCACGGTAAGCAGGATTCCCGTCACATGGGAGATTTTATATGAAAACCTCTGGAAAGAGGTTGTGAAGGAAGCTATGATTGGCAAAGGGCTTGTTTGACCTGAAGCTTTTCAGCCCCATCGTGTATTCCTGGTTATTGACTTGACAGGTGCTCCTGTTAAAGATCATTGTATTCAGAGTTGCATCTCTCTCTATGTAATATTTTCCTCTTATCTTTACTCCCCGCCCCCAAAACCACCCTTAGCATTTTTCCTACAAAGCTAGCCAGGCCCCCTTGTATCGGCACTACCGCGCTGTGCCAATGGCTAGCCCTGAGCCCACCAAACAACCCTGCTGGAAAGATCTGGGGCGCTCTCCTCCCTCTTGCCTGTTTGACCCTCAGGTAAAAGAATCCTCTCTTCACCTGACTCCCTAACCTAATTCTGCCACATCGGACTTTAATCACTGTGCTTTGCCGTGCTATCGCACTGCTTTTACTAACCTCCCTTTGAGAAATTCCTTCAAAGCCCAAAGACACAGTTTCACGGTGCCAGATTATTCACAAGAAAATCATATGTAGATGACAAGAACCAGTCAAACATTCTGCAGTGGGTCTGTACTGAAAGAAGTGGTAGAACTACTTTTCTCTGCCCACGGGCAGAGTTGAGAAACAGAGCCAAGATACACTGGCTATAATTCTAACACTCCAGATACTTGAAATTACTAATATAAATGGATGTAGATAGGCCTCAGTTCTTCACTGTACTCCCTTTTAAAGTCATATTGGTGCTTTAAAGTCTTTCTTTCCTTTCTCTTCCTGCAGAATGTTGATGTGTCACGAGATCCTACAGAAGCTCTAGACACCGTGCCAGACCATTATTAAACTTACACACTAAAAACAAAAATAAATTTACTTTATTGAAGAGGTTCTATTACTGACAGATACAGAGTGCCATCTAGAGAAATGTGACTAGTATGCAAGTTCTGAGCTACTTTGTATCACTTTATACATGTTAAGCATTATCTCAGACGTGTCAAACTCACGACATCACGTGATGTTGTGCGACGTATCGGGAACAGTTTTGCCATGGGGTGAGCGTGGCTTCCATGTGATGTGTCTGACCTATGGGCCGGCAGTTTGACATCCCTGCATTATCTCACCAAAAAGCAACTCAAGGTATAGATCTGCCAACCTAAGATGAATAATTGAGTCCCATCCATCAAATTCTTTAAACAAAGAATAAATCAACTCTAAACTATGTTTTTTAAAAAAACCACACACAGAGAGCATAACCCTGGCAAATATAAACATCTTTAAAGCCCCATTTCTTTAGAGATAATTAAATAAGCACTTATGTCCAGCAGAAGATTTGATGGAAACGTTGCACAGATTATATACCTTATTTTTATTCTGATTAATGAATACAAGACTCTACAATAGGGGTCCTCAACCTTGGCAACTTTAAGATTTGTGGACTTCAAGTCCCAGAATTCCTCAGCCAGCAGTTGAAGTCCACAAGTCTTAAAGTTGCCATGGTTGGGGATCCCTGCTCTACAATATATGCCATCTGAAATGAGGTGGAAATTAATGCAGAAAATATAGCACAGAAAAATGATTGCAAAAATATATTTATTTCCAGTAAATATTCTAACAGCTTATTTCCAGAAAATACTATTGCTAATGCTTGAATAATCAGAGAGTTTTAGATAAGAGTCTTGTCTTCATCACCAGTAAAATGGTCCAGTCTATTCTGGAATCTTTCCTTCACAGACAGGAAACTTATTAAGCACAGAGCACTTTACATTAAAACAGCAGTAACAGAAAACAAGCAGTGGTTGTAGCAGTTCCATGAAAGGAGTTTTTGACAATTCTTTATAACTGAACAACACCGTAATATTTATAACTTTCCCACCGCACCAGCTTCTGCTTCCGCTTCATTGTACTGGATCATCCAAGATTTGGGATTCTGCTTTTGTATCTAATCAAGGAAAATCAAAGGAGTCCAGTTAGGAAAATAGAATAAAAAGATATACCAGATTCTCTGCAATACCCTCCCTGAAACCATCACTCTATTAGGGGAAAATAGAAATTGTATGGGCATGATTTAGGCTGTACAGCTTTGCCTGCCTGCCTACTTATTTATATGTAACCTTTTCTCAGAAAGCAAAGGGTGGTGTATGTGGTGTATAAGGGGGTTCTCTTCTAATTTTACCCACCTATCAACAATTGTGTGAGCTGGGCAAGGTTGAAAGAGAATAAGATCAAGAAGGAACTTAAGCCCAGATCTCCAAGACTCACATTTTAACCATAAAAGCTATACTGGCTCTTATCAGAACACTACAGGATCTGTTAATGGTTACACATTTTAATGCCCTAACACTTGTTTGAAGCAAGCATGACTGCCAAGAAAAAGCTGAATATATTCAGAAAGGAAAACTTAAATGTTGAAGTGAGTACTTAGAAAATTGCCAATTTCCTGCAAAGTCCATAACTCCCATCATTTAGTGCTTTGATCCTGTTTCTGACAATATTTATTAAAAAGGATTGAAAAGGACAGTTCCATGTCAAAATGTATAACTATACTCTCCTCTTTATTGATCCAACATATTTTAATTCTACCAACTTAGTTATCCTTAATGCAGAAGTAGACTATTATTTTAGTTATTTTACAAATAATTCAAGGTGGTGAACACATTCAATACAATTTCCTCCTATTTTCCCTACAACAACCTGTGAACTCAGCTGGGCTGAGAGAGTCTCTGACCCAGGGTCAACCAGCTAACACTGATGGCTAAGGTAGGATTAGAACTCATAATCTCCTAGTCAGTACCTTAGCAACAAACTGTAGGATCTGCTTCTTGGAGGTCTCTTTAAAAGCTCGCGGTCCCCACCTGAACTCAAACTCAGGAGGATCTGTGTGTGGGAGACGTGTATATTCCAGATATCTAGGAAGTGAGAATTATGTGATCAGTGGGGGAAAAAAAAACAAACCTTTGTAATCACCAAACAGATTATTTAGTAAAATAACTGTCCTTCAGCTCAAAGATATCATTCCTGCTTTTTGGAAAAAAAATAGTCTGAGATTTCCCATTAACCTGTATCCTAATTAATAATCCTATCCCAATTCCCTTTCTTAAAAAGATCCAGATGTTAGCCCTTAAAAGACACACAAAACATTCTGGATTCCCATCTGCCAGTCACTCAAACCAGTATATGATTAATTTCTCTTCCAGCACTAAAGATAACAAAGGCTTTGCAATCCCCAACTCACTTTTGCCTCACAAATTCCTCTGTCACCAGCTTTTTGATATCACCAAAGACTTTGTGTTTTCCCCTGGGGAAAGAAAAAAGAATGTCATTCTCTCAGATCAGCTGACAAAGGAGATTTTTTTCCAAGATTCATCCAACCACACTGAAATATTTGAATTTATCGCTCAACGCTGTCTTAAAGCAGCCAGTATTACCCAGAACAATCAATATGTAATCTCCTCAGCATTTCCCAAACAGCAGCTGCACGAAGACAAAAGAAAAGAGAAGAGTTAAGCATATGAAGCTATCTAAGAAATAGAGTAAATTACGGAGGAGTGAAACCTACATTCTTTGACCACGTTGCCTTTCATGAAGATAAGACTAAGTATTATTATAAGGAGGCCCATCTTGGGAGCGTTCTCATCGCTGCAAAAAAGAAAAAAGAGGTTCCGCTTCTTAATTTGGAAGTGAAGACTGGGGATTTTACCTGAATTACCCAGTGAGAAATAACATTTTAAGCCAAACTTGTAACATTTCAGTTCAGGAACTAATGAAAGAAGATCTGTGGATTGCTCAAAGCATGGGATAACACAGAGGAACTCCATTTCCCAAAGCATGGAGGACACATGGGTTCGCCTCAGGAATAGGACCACCAGCTGAACTCTCACTGGGGGGTGCACTTCCCAAAACTTTTGATGAGGCTCCCCATGAAATTCTGCTATTACAATTTGAGACACTTTTCAATATGTCAGAAGGGGAGAATGGTTAAATGCATGACCGATAATCATATATTTAATTTAATTAATTTAGTACATTTAATTCAATGTATACTTCAATATATACAAAATGAAATTTAGATTCTGTCATACCACTCAAAGACTTAAGCGGCCCAGAAAAAGGTTTTGATCTCTACCTTAGTATCTCAAAATGCAGGAACACAGAAATCATGTTATCAGAAAAAAGCAACACTATTGCTCATTTCAAAATGCATGAAGAGATTTTTGACATGTTTTGTACAAGGTTTTATACAACATTTAGCCAACAGAGAAGCACAGAAACAGAGGTATTACATTCCCTCTTTTCCTTACTCAGTCACAATATCCCCTTCCAAAGGAGGAAATTTACTGATCAGGATGTAGGAATGGTACTTTGGGTCAATTTCCACCACTCCCAGCCCAAATACCTGAGAAAACAGGAAAGATAAATCAGAATAGAGCCCCCTTCCTCGTTCACTGTTATTGCCTCTTCTTTTTAAATGAGAAAACTCACATGCAAACATAATGAATTTATTATTTATATAAAATTAAATTCATATAATAAAATCCATCAAAACAATTAAAAACGATAATTTGAATATTTCGGACATGTGATGCTACACCCAGAAAAATACGGCATACTCCATTTAATCCTCCAGGGAAAGATTGAAGGCAAACGAGGTCCAGGCAGAAGAAGAACATCATGACTTCAAAATCTAAGAGACTGGTTTGGACAAAACTCAGCAGCACTTTTTCGTGCGGCTGCTGATAAAAACAGGATTGTCATCTTGATCGCCAACGTCCGATAATGGATATGGCATAAGAAGAAGAAGAAGAAAATCCATCATTTTCATGAATTATATAAGTTATCTTGTTCATGGTAAGTATTCAGATTCTGGATTGTTGACCAAGTGTTCAGCCTGAATTAGGATCCCCAACTGTAAGACTAGACTATCCAAAATTTAAAATATAGGAATACAATAAAATACATTTACAATCTATTGAAATTTCTCCATTCATTCAGGCTAAGCCAGAAATGCCATGTTGATGACAAGGGCAAATCACTCCTTGAATTATGAGGCTAGATTTCTCCATTGCTTATGGTCAATGGAGTATTTTAGTTTCATTATATCCTACAATGACCTTTTCTACATACTCTTGTAGCATATTGAAAATTGATAAACTAATTGAAATGTAAGCTTTCATGGATCATAGTCAATTCAACTGTTAGTCTTTAGGATGGACAACATTTTTTGTGCTGCAGGATTCCCACTCTGAAAACTTTTCTTTATTGCCATGTTTTAGATTGGCTTCTTCATTAGCAAAGTAAGATGGATAGATTGATCAAATTTATTCAAATCATCAATGGATTCCTCACCTGTTGAAGAGTCTGGTTGGCTCGTCTGAGGATCTCAGGAAAGAGATCTTTGTAGTCTTTGACGACATATTTCAGAATATCTGAAATATAATTTATATTTCAGAATATAAAAAGACAAAGTTGATCTATTAGCTCCTAGGGAGACTGATCTCATCTCGGGGGTTCTCATGAGCTTCTAGTTGGCAACTAAAATTTTGGACTAGATGTTATGTTCTTTTGATGAAGGCTACTTATACATACAACATTCTATGTTACCTTGGACATACTCAAAATAAATACAAATAACAATGAAGTTTATGGCATACATTCTTACAGAAACTTTTAAAAAGCAAATAATTTTAGTTTAGCATTCACAAAGTTCTTTTCTTATCATTATTAATTGTCATTTATTTACTATCCTGCTTGGTGGCTCTCAAAAGACCTTTCCCAAAAATTTGCATTAAAATGGAGGAAAGAGGCTCACCAATATGGTAAAAATCCTCCCATTCTTTGAAAAACTCAATCTTAGAACAGAAATCATCGAAAACAGAGCATATGCAGATATCCATATTCCAACCCTGGAAACAGAATCTGAGTCCCCCTGATGAAATAAAATAAAAATAAGTCCATGTTTACCTGTCCGTTTAATAGGGATTTTCTTCTGATCCTTGATCAGAAGGAATTGCACTAGTTCATTTACCTGCAGAGAGAATATAACATACGTTACAGCAGTGGTTCTCAACCTGTGGGTCGGGACCCCATTTGGGGCCAAACGACCATTTCAAGGGGGTCGTCAAACAACGCAGTCCGCCATTTTTTTTCCCCTTTTCCTTAGCTGTGCTATTCTCTTTTATTCTATTGGCTTTTGAAAGCCAATAGAATAGAATAGAGTCTAATTCTATTGGCTTTCAAAAGCCAATAGGAATTGTCCAGGCTGTCTCTGCCCTGCTGAGCCCGCCAAAAGTCCCATTCTGCAAACGGTGCTGCACCAGTTGAGTAGTCCTCGACTTACGACCAGTTGGGGGTCGCGGCATTAAAAAGGTTGAGAACCACTGCGTTACAGGCAAACCTGTGCATGTGGTACAGTTCCATGAGTACCAATTTACGTTTCTTATAAATATTGTCTTCATGGTTGTGGGGCACGCTTCAGTGTCCCTAGCTGTTCTGTAACTTTAAAAAAAAAATCTATAGGCCAGGAAAGCTGCTACAATGTACATAACTGTTACAGGTCATAAAATGTGTGCTTATTCATTTTAAAACAGAGCTTGCATAATAACAATAATAAAGTTGGAAGGGACCTTGGAGGTCAGCTAGTCCAACCCCTTGCTTAGGCAGGAAACCCTATACCATTTCAGACAAATTGCTGTCCAATCTCTTCTTAAAAACTTCCAGTGTTGGAGCATTCACCGCTTCTGGAGGCAGGTTGTTTCACTGGTTAATTGTTCTAACTGTCAGGAAGTTTCTCCTTAGTTCTAGGTTGCTTCTCTCCTTGATTAGTTTACACCCGTTGCACTTTGCAGAATAGCTTGACTCCCTCTTCTTTGTGGCAAATCCTTAGATATTGGAATAGTGCTATCATGTCCCCCCTCGTCCTTCTCTTCATTAAACTAGACATACCCAATTCCAGCAACCGTTCCTTATATGTTTTAGCCTCCAGTCCCCTAATCGTCTTTGTTGCTCTTCTCTGTACTCTTTCTAGAGTCTCAACATCTTTTTTACATTGTAGTGACCAAAACAATGCAGTATTCCAAGTGTGGCCTTACCAAGGCATTGTAAAGTGGTATTAATACTTCATGTGATCTTGATTCTATCCCTCTGTTAATGCAGCCTAGTACTCTGCTGGCTTTTTTGGCAGCTGCAGCACACTGCTGGCTCATATGTAAGTGATTGTCTACAAGGACTCCGAGATCCCTCCCACAGTTTACTACTATTGAGCAAGGTACCACCTATAAGAGGGGTGTCAAACTCAATTTCATTGAGGGTTGCATCAGCATTGCGGTTGCCCTCAGGGGGGCGGGGCGGATGGGTGTGGCCAGGGTGGGTGCAGCCTACTGAGTGGGCGTGGATGGAGTGGGTATGGCCTACTGGGTGGGCATGGCCAGCTCTACATCGTTTGCATCAAGGGTGCCTGTGGGGGCCTGGGCAGGAGTGGGACAGATCTGAGGGTCTCTGGCAGAAGGGGGTGGGACCGGAGCAAGCGCCAAGGCATGGTCCATTTCTTCATTCCTTACAAAGGGTGACACCTCCCCAGCATGCACCCAGGGGGTGGGGTTGACACAGCAGGGGCTGGTTCCTTGATGTTTCTAGATGCCCTTGTGGAGCTAAGAGTGAATGTGTTTCAGCATAGATGGCTACCACAAAATTGTACATTGGTTCCCAGCCGGCCTGGGCCAGGGCCAAAGCAGCGGGGGCCGTCCCCTCACTGTTTCCAGAATGGCTTCACGGGCCACATGAAACCATTTCGCGGGCTGCATCCGGCCCCCGAGCCTTGTGTTTGACATGTCTGACCTATACTATACCTGTACATTTGGTTTTTCTTGCCTAAATGTAGAACCTTACTTTTTCCACTATTGAATTTCATTTTGTTAGATAGCGCCCAGTGTTCAAGTCTGTCCAGATCCTCCTGTATCTTAAGCCTATCTTCTGGAGTGTTTGCTTTGGTTATAGCCAGCCATAACCCACAAGAAGCCCACAAAAAGGCATAAAAAGTGACTCACTTTTTGTTCCACTTCAGCGGGGGAGTGTTGCTCCAAATTACGTTGCGCCTGACTTAGCGTTTGAGACTGACTGAAAGTGAATTCTTCATCAACGTCCATACGCCGTACCTGAACAAAAGCAATTGGGTGATCCCTGAAAAATACTGATCCTGTGCATTTCCATTATTAAACCGATGTTCCTATGCATATTGACCTGTAAGCAAATCTCATGGAAAACAACAGAATTTATTTCAAGATAAATATGCACAGGGCAGTGCTGAAGCAGACTGTTTCACAAGGGGAAACTTAAAATAATAATAATATATAAAATAGTAAACAGACCAGTCAGTACTAAATGCTAAGCAAGATTTGCCAAGAACTTCCTTCAGAAGCTCATTCATCATTCAAGCACAACTGCGTGGTTCATCTTACTGCCTGAAAAAATGGCAAACAACATGGATTTGTTATCTTTCCCCATTTTCATTCGATACAAGGCAGAGGCAGAGGCATGACAGACCACACATTCCTATTGCAATGTGTGAAAAAAGGCATGGCTATTTATATTAATAAAATAAGGGTTTAACAACATATATTCATGCAACTCAAGGTGTCACGAATAGTTTGAGCTACTCTAATCATATCTGAGTATGCGAAAGACGACAATAAAATTAGCTATTTTTGGAATATCACATCTCCTGTTCCCTTTTCTAACAATGCATATATTTAAGGTTCAGAATAGGTGATGTTATAGACATACATACATACATACATACATACACATGCCTTTTACATCACCTCTGAACCTTAAGTTATAAGCTAGCCTTAGAACTTAACCTTAAGTTATAAGTTAGCCTTATAACTTCACCTACTCTGAACCTTAAGTTATAAGCTAGCCCTCCCCAACAGGTGCCCTCTATGCTTACTGGCATACCTTTGAAGAGCCAGATCCTCTGCTGCTGCTACTATGCCTGTGCTGAGACATGGCTTTGGAAAGAGGCCTGAATGAAACAGGAAAATAAAATTATTATAGCTTATCATATCCAGCCTATGAAAGCACAGCCTGTCTTTAACGTCTGTCAATTGTCTATATACAGGTGACCAGCGAATGGTCTCTTCTACCTGTAAATAAATGGAAGGTTCCCAAAATCCTAAATTAGCAGGTCTTCCTCTCTCTAGTTCTAGTTCCCAATATCCAATATGTGAAATCCAACAAGTTTATTCTGGTGGGGAAAACCCAACACTGGACTAAATTTCTGTCCAGGGGCAGCTCTGTGCCAGCCCAAATAGTTCCCATATTCTCGTAAAGGCTCCCATATTCCTAGTTATTATAAGTCTTTCTCCGCGAGGAAAACCTTTAGCCGACACACAGCAGGTAGCAATGCAAAAGACAGTGTTTTCAGCGAGGCAGAAAGTGTCACTCCGGCCTTCCAGCCCTGAAAAGACTTACTACCGCTCGCACTAGCAACATTTCTGGGCGCGAAGGCTAACTCTCAACACTCTTACTCAGTCCGCCTTTTCCCTCTATTTAGGAAAAGCTACTCACCTCGGTACCTTCCGCGGTCTCACTGCACATGCGCCTCTCTTTCCGCCCGGCCGGTAGAACTTTGCTATGGCGCACGCGCCTCAGTGTGAACTCTGCCTCTTCTTGCGGAGGCTGCTTCTTGAGCGTCGCTTAGCAACGCTTACTGGTGGCGAGCGTTGTTCAGTACCTCCTTCTCTAATGTGGGGCCTCCTGGTGGAAGAGAGAGAGGCCATCGGAGCTGCAAAACTCCCGAGATACGGTAGCAGCAAAGAGGCACAAAAACCGCTACATCTTTGCTGCTGTCTGTTGTTGACAGGATATTTGGAGCCCGAATGGGGCGGCCCTTGTCTTAAGTTTGTTGAAGACTGCAACACTTATGGTTCCCAGCCCGCGGTCCCCTGTTATTACAGATCGGGAATTCTGGGAGTTGTAGTTCATTGTAGAGGAAATGCTGTCTCAGGAAAAAATAGAAGCTGCTATTTCTTTCAATCATCAGAGTTTAGCGCATCTTAAAGATCTTTATTATATCATGAACGTGGGGTTGATTTCAAGAAATTCATCAGATCCATATGATTGTTTCAATCATACCCACAGTCACCATGATCAATGATAATGGAAGATGCTGTGCAAATAATAAATGGAAAAGAATCGTAGTTTATTTTCCACGGAAAAAGCACTAGCTATCCATAGCCATTACCTCATGAATTTGGCAAATTGTTGCAAATAGTTGCATTCAAATAAAGATAAAACTAAACTGCAAGCTTAACATATGGTATATGTCAACAAGCTTAAAAATCCCATGGTTAAAAAATATATATCAGCCAATCACAAAACACTGCAATGCTGTGTACATAGATTCTCCCCAAAAAAGTGCAGTAAAACTTGACTTTGACTGATTTTTATTTTTCTGTACTTGAGCACAGAATTTTAAAATACCATGTCCTAGAACTGATATTGTTCTTCTGCCTCCACCACAGCAGTGTCCTGGAAGCTGGACCAGATTCTTCATTTAAGCAAGGCATTATTTTATTAAGGAAAGTCTGAGTTTTACTAATACCTACCATTTGGCTTGTAACCCTTCTGCTAACCTATTGCTAAATTGCTAAGTTGCAAAGAATGCAGAAGTTGCTATTGTGGCTGGAGATAACTTTCAGGCAATCTTTCAACTCTCGTGTTGCTCGTCCTCCCAATTAATAAACCAATTTTTTTTTGCCAGTCCCACAAGTAATAAATAAATTTTGAAGTCAAATGTCCATGTTCTGATTTTCCTCTGTAACTTTCCAGTATATTTAAATAAATTGAACATTTATAGTACCATGCTCACTCTTGAATTAATTCACCATTCCTCAGATCTCACATTAGGATGATAAGCACAGCAGTGTGCTGCAGCTGCCAAAAAAGCCAACACAGTGCTGGGCTGCATTAACAGAGGGATAGAATCAAGATCACGTGAAGTATTAATACCACTTTACAATGCCTTGGTAAGGCCACACTTGGAATACTGCATCCAGTTTTGGTCACCACGATGTGAAAAAGATGCTGAGACTCTAGAAAGAGTACAGAGAAGAGCAACAAATAAAGAATGGTTGCTGGAATCGGGTATGTCTAGTTTAACGAAGAGAAGGACGACTGGGGACATGGTAGCAGTATCTCAGGGGCTGCCACAAAGAAGAGGGAAGTAGAAGTAGTGTATACCTTTTTTTAATGAAAATTATCAGCACTTTTGATCAGTGACGTCATCAAAGTAAACAAACCCACGTGCTGATTACGTCAACAGGGCACAGCCCTAAAAGGAAGTGACGTGCTCAGCCCCCACCCTCCGGATGTGACGTTTTGGCCTAATCCCATCCAGATTGGCAGTCAACCCTCTGGGTACATGATTAGGTTAACCCTAGACTAATTCTATGGACATTCAAAACCAAAAAGAGCTAAGTAAAGTGAATAATTAGCAGAGGCCTGTGTTTTTGGGGAACAAGCTCTACTTTGGGGAGCTGTTAACCCTAGACTATTTCTATGGACATTCAAAACCCAAAAGAGCTAAGTGAATAATTAGCAGAGGCCTGTGTTTTTGGGAAACAAGCCGTACTTTGGGGAGCTGTGAAATAAAAAATAAAAAAGGCTTTTTATTTCTAATCATTCTAGCCTAACGATGCTTTTAATTTTTGTGGAGTTTTAAAAATCAGTGCCTCAAAAGCTGGGGAAAAAGAATCCCCTGAAAGGCAGCCAGAGCCTGCATTTAACCCCTTTTTTCTAAAAGATATTTTTTTCTAAAAGGTATTTATGTCTAGGTTGTTTTAAAAGCATTTCCTCGAATGCAGGGGGAAAAACAAACAAACACAGCCCCTTTTAAAACCCACAGCTGGTTTTTACCTTTGTAAAAAATCTAAACACACCTATTTTGCCATTTGTACCCCGAATAAAATTTATTCTGCCCGCCTTCCCACTATAGCAAAAGACAAGGAATATTACCAGGAATTAAAATGCTCACAAGAGGCAAGCAGCCAACCAGGCTCACAAGAGGCAAGCAGCAAGCAGCCATGCCTGTCTGTCTGCTAGTAAAAAAAAAGAAGGGGTAGGCCTGGTTTGGGATGTGCCCGGGCATGTCATGCTCCCCGTGATCTGGGCATGCGCTATGCTCAAGGGCGTGTCATGGCAAGGGGCAGGGGAGTTTGCTCCCCCTGATCTGGGCATGCGCAATGCTCAAGGGCGTGTCATTGCAAGGGGCAGGGGAGTTTGTGCGGGCAGGGACATGCCCGGGCATGTCATGCTCCCCGTGATCTGGGCATGCGCAATGCTCAAGGGCGTGTCATTGCAAGGGGCAGGGGAGTTTGTGTGGGCAGGCCTTAACAGCTAGCGATTTAACCCCAGCAGTCTTTTGAAGATGGCAGCCTCTGATGGAGATTTGTTTGATGTAAATTTGACCCCCAAACCACCCAAGCGTGGGCGCAGACTAAGAAAAGGACCTGAGTTATACAGTTTCATTGAAGAGAACAAACTTATAAAACCTTGTTATTGCAGATTCTGCAAAACATCAAATGGTAAGTAAATATGTTTTTATTTATGATAATGTAAATGGTGCTGGAGCGGATACACCGCTAACAGGATGTGCTTTATATTTTGCAGACACTGAATTAGTAATACCTAGACAGCAAACACTTCAAGACACCCCGCTTTTAGATTCCTGTGGTAATCGCCATGGTCAGAAAGCTTCTGCAGATTTCTCTGATCTAGACTGTAACAGGGGTTATGAGCTATCCCAGAGACCACGCTATCTACCTTGTGAGTTAAAGAGCTGCAATTTGTGTAAAGACTGGTTTGCTTGTGACTGCGGACGTGATTTGTGGGGCTCAGACGGGTCAGAGTATTATAAAATAGTATTATCTTCTGATTCTGATAGTGGTGATGAGGGATATTTTTCTGATGGCAGAGCCGTGCACCCTCTGAATTCTGTATAAACAATAAAAGACTGTGTTAATGTCAACACTTGAACATTTGTCAGTGGTCTTTCAGTATAACGATGCATGAAAAGCTTTTAAGTCGTATTTATTATACTCCGGTGTGTGTAGGGAGTTATGGAGGTGTGAATGCCCTTTTTCAGGAAGCTAGAAAACATGATAAAAACCTGACCATGAAGCAAGTCAAGACGTGGCTGTCAGGGGAAGACGCTTATACGCTTCATAAGCCTGCAAGAATTAATTTTCCTAGAAATAAAACAGTAGTGTCTGGCTTAGATCATCAATGGCAGGCTGACCTCATAGATGTCTCCAAATTTTCTAAAGAGAATCATGGAAAAAAGTACATCTTAGCAGTTATCGATGTGTTATCTAAATATGCCTGGGCCTCCCCTTTATCTGATAAAACAGGGAGGGAAGTTACATACGCTTTCCAGAATATCTTTCAAACAGGACGTGCACCCCGAAAATTACAGACAGATGCAGGTAAAGAGTTCTTGAATATTCCACTGAAGAAACTTTTAGCACGTTACGGCATTCATCATTTTGTCACTCATAGCGAAACTAAAGCAGCCGGTATAGAGAGGTTTAATAGAACCCTAAAAAACAAACTCTGGAGATATTTCACAGCTAGAAATACCCACCGGTATGTGGACATTTTAGCAGATACTATTCAGGGGTACAAGAGCTCTTACCATCGTAGCATCGGTACTGCTCCTAACACCGTAAATTTGTCTAACGAAAGGGGTGTGTGGATGAGGCTTTATGGGGCAACTTTAAAAAGAAAAAGAAAGGAAAAATGTATTAAGATGGGGGATCATGTCAGGGTATCCAGACTGAAGGGTAAGTTTGAAAAGGGCTATCAGCAAACCTATACGGATGAGATATTCATCGTCAAAGAACTGCAGACAAGGGGGGAAAGAGCGGTGTATAGATTAAATGATTACAATGGTGACCCTGTAAAGGGGGCTTTTTACTTTGAGGAGCTCCAAAAGGTTCCTGCTGACCAACAGCGCATATACAGAATAGAGAAAATTATCCAAAAAAGAGGGCGGGGGAGACACAGAGAATTTCTAGTCAAATGGACTGGATGGCCAGAGAAGTTCAACAGTTGGGTTAAGGAGAATGAAGTACAACATCTTTGATATGGCAGAGTTTTACATCACCCTTCCCAGCAATGCGTCAGCAGCAATTTTCCCCCAAAACAGAAATTCTAATTTTACTATACAATTAGCAAGATCATTGGATCTTCCAGGGTCATGGGAAGTAGGGCTAGCAGAGATACAGTATCCGCATAGTTGGCACACATTAACTTCTCATGGATATTTTGAAATTGCTAATGAGAGAAAGAGATGGCATTTTTCTTTGAGAAGCGGATACTATACTAGCATCCGACAACTGTTAGAAAATATGAACAAGCTTATATCAAGTGCCAAGGACTGCCCTAAGACAACCCTACAGTATGATGCAGTGGGTCGAAAAATTAACCTTAAAGGTGATGAACCGCATACCATTCTAGTTAGCGGAGAACTTGGACATCTGTTAAGTACGTTCCCTGGATTCAACACCTTATATGTTTACACAGACATTGTAGAGCTCCAGATAGTGGGTGACTACTATGTGCCATTACTGCGCTGTGTGCCTGTGCAAGGGCAAGACAATGATTTCATCACAATAACCTATGACCGTCCACATTATGTACCAGTCAGCAAACATCACATCGATACCGTTACTATAGAAATCAAAACCGACCAGGACAAAAACGTGCGTTTTTATAACGGGAAGGTGATTGTCAAGCTTCATTTTAGGCCTCGGAAAAGTGAAGGATGGTTGTAATCAAGGAGCACGGGAACCCTCAAGACTACGTGGCTTACTA